GCGGAGGAACAGCAGTCTTGGTGGCAAGGGCTGGGGCTTGGGAGAGCATTTTACCTTTGCCCCTGGAGCAGTCCTTAGATCTCAGCAGACAAGGGGAGGGCATCTGTTTGCGTGCTCACATGTGACTCTGGCCTAATGGCTGATTCTGGGCACAGCTTTCAGTATGTAAATGGTGGTGGTCCCTTTTCGTATGTTGAACCTGTCATCTTTCTCAGTTTTCTGAAGATGCTGCATCCCGTAGTGCACACACAGGAAGGAACTCCCCTTTGGCCATATAATTAGGTGAACGTCTGTGGCTCTGCTTAAGTTCAGCAAACATTTGTCTTTTGGTCAGGAGGAGGCACAATCCGAGCGCTTCCAGAGCTGAGCCACTGGCTCAGTCCAAAGGGTTAGAGATAAGAAAGAAGCCTTTGTCTTCCCTCCAGATAGGCTGGCATTCTTGCCACATTGCTTTAGCTAAGGAAGTCTTGACAAAGAATGTGATTGTGTACACACTGTATGACCAGAGCAGCTTTTCACTGTGGGCCATGTCTTTTTGGAGGGGAGGTAGGAAACCACTGCTGAGTTTAATACCTTGATCTTGCTGCTTGGAGCCCCTGGGGTCCCCCAGTTTATGTGATGTGCGCATAAGTAGGCTTGCAGTCTGGTCCTTCTGAGGCACTGTCAAAATTGTCCCAGTCGACAAGTCCCCATATTTCAGCATCCTGCCTTTTGCCGTTGTCTTTCCATAGACCTTTCTTTCTGATTCATGGAGGCAGAAGCGCTCGGTGGCTACTAGCCGTGCTGGCGGAGTGCTGCCTCCTTTCCTAGAGGCAGCATGTGCGCATGCACCAGTTCCTGGGCAGGTGCAGGTCTTGCACCATCCTGCTTGTGTGATCCTGTGGGCAGGATGCTGGACTAGATGGAACAGGGGTCTAATCCAGCATAGCTTTTCTTAGGTTCTCAGAACATGCCTGGGTTAAAACACCCCAACCACATCTGCATAAGAATAGTTTTGGGGCTACTTTTATCCCCCAATAAAAGGCCCCAAACAAAAGAATAAAAGAAGGCTAAGTGCATACCGTCTAGTCTCTGAACTAGCCTTGTTGTGAATTGACTAGAGGACTTTTACTATTGGGTGATATAAAAGCAAAAGATAAACTTGCAGCATACACAGTTTTAAACTGTTGCTATTAATCTGCTTTTATGCTGGTTAAAGTTTAAGGCCAAATCATTCTTATGCAGAGCGGAGCCAAATAGGTTAAACATCATTTTACAAATTTTATGGTTATGTGCAGCTTCAGGAAATATTAAATCAAAACTTCAAAGTCATTCTTATTCTGATTGAAATCTGGGGGAGGGGCATTCAGCCTTGCCTGAGGCACTTTTGCCTGGAGTACAATAATGCCCCCAAGTGTGACTATTGCTAGGTTTGTCTTAAGTGCAGGATGGATCCCTGCTGTATTGCTGTCTTTTAGAATTCTTTGCCAGTCAGAGGATTCAGGGACTGGAAAGAAAGCCCTATAGGGATAGATTGAAAGAAGTGGGTGTGTTTAGTCTTGAAAAGAGAAGGGTGAGGGGAAACACGATTCTGATTGCACTCTGCATGTATCTGGAATGCTCCCCCCAAGGAGATTTGCCTGGAGCCATCCTTATGTTCTTTCTGGCATCAGGCAAAGACCTACCTTTTAAAAAAAGTTTTAATATCTGACACCACAGAGCCTTATTTGTATTATTAATAGCTTTTTTTTTGTTTTTACTCTTGGTGAAAACTTTGAGCACCATCTGATGGAAAGATAGGCTACAAATAGAACAAATAAATAGGTTCATAATTAAGAGGATTTATATCCTCCTGGATCAGGTAACTGTAAAGTTTAAATGCAATACAAATACAAACAGAACAATTGACAGAAGCACACTATAAAGCAACAGCAGCAGGAAAAATTCCTGGCTAGCTAAAAGGATGCGTCAAGTACGGGATCTGAACTGGCGGAGAAAACCAAGAGGTCTATGCCTAGTACCAAAAAGAGATCCCAGCTGTTACCAAGTAAGGTGCCATAGGGTACACCCTGGTAATTTGGCTCTCCTGTTTTCACCAGTTAGATTTTCCCATGTTCGGGCCTGGATAGAATTGTGAGCAGGAGGGAATTTCACAGTCGTCTGTGCTTCCTCCTCTGCTTCCACCGTTCTTCTTTAACTTAAATGCAGAGTGCAAATACTGTCTAAACACCTGGGCAGAGACATGGCACACGTCCAATAGACCTGGGTGCACTCTGGCGTCAGTTCACAGTGACATTGATATGGAACATGTGGCCTCCAGCTCATTCAGTTTTGCGCTCTCCACCTCTGGCAGGACGCCTGGTATGCCAGGCCGTATTTAGCCACCTGACAATTCTCCAAGGAGAAGCACCCAGGCACCCTTGGATCCGTGAGCCGCATTGGCTGCCCAGTGCTCAGCCGAGGGGAGTGACAAGCGCTGACACAGGGCCCCTTTGATGACATGGCACTCGCTGCTGAAGGGCACAGGGTGCAGGAGTGGATCCAGTGGCAGCGTAATGATCCCTGCTGTAAGGACCTGGCCCAGAAACAGTCACAGGAAAGGGCTGGAGGGTGACCGAGAGCACACGAGGGAAGCATAGCTTTGGTCACTCCTCCTGCGATAGCTGGGCTAATACTCTCGAGCTACCTTGCAGGGTTGTTATAGCAAGTGCAGTGCACACTGGACAGTTGTGGTGATATTATGACCCAAAGGGCTGCAGCTAATCTGTTTTCTCTTAGTTTGTAGTCAGTAGCTTCAGTTTCAGGGTTGTCATGTGCCCTTGTAATACTGCAACTGATTGTTTTTAAGACAGTTGGAAATGATAACGTGTGCTTTAATTTGAATCATGATGTAGGATAACCAAGTTTAACTACTCTAACCTGGTTTATGAAAGGATTTGAAATATAACTTACAGAACTGTTATAGCTGATGTGGTTTTGGCTAATGGTATAACAATGCTGCTTGTCAGCCACCTTTACTAGCTGGACGCAAAATTCTTTTTTTTGGAGCTTGAATGGTAGAAACGAAGGCTATTCATGTGTAAATAAGGAAACTGGTATCATTTGAAGAGGAACAGCCTTCACTGAAAGTCTGGCCGCGCTTGTTCTCCATGAGCCACGTGTCTTTGACTCTGTACCTTCTGAGTCATTTTTGAGCAAACAGTTGCTTGGCCAGTTAAGAGTGAGCAGAACCTCAAAGGTCAGCACCTCCGAGTCTCTGAAATTAAGTTGCATCAAGATGTTTGGGGTAGATTTTGACGTTTGCATGCTGGGGCTTGCAGAATCCCATGGTGATGACCAGAAACTCACTGACTGTATAATGCACAAGAACTGGCTATCTGACAGTCATGTGTTTCTATGTCGCTCTTCTGGGACTGCGATGGACCCCGTTCAGTGGAGAATTTTGCTTGGGACAGGGCTTTTGGTGGGGGGAGCATTCGCCTGCTTGCGCAATTAATGTCGGTGCCAAAACCGTGGCACAGTTGCTTGCATTCTTGGACCTCCATGTCTAAGTGCAGTTACCTCAGGAATACTGCTTAACCAGTAAATTGCATCCAGAAGGAATAGGGTTTAAGTGCACTGGGACCTCCATGTTTGCTGTGGGGGTGCAGGGCAGGAAGGCTCTTACAAGGGAAGGTCAGTGGAGGGGAAACAGGCTCCCAGAAATTCCCTCCCCTTGGCTTCTTCTTACCTCCCTCTCTGCCCTGTAAGGCTGTAGTCCTGGTTTCAGAGCCTTGCTGGGGAAGCACCCGAAGGGAAGTGCCCCCAGCCCGGCCCTGCATTAGCATCACGAGGACCGTACTGGGGTTGCAAGCCTGATTCTCCTCAGAACACGCCGTTTTCAGGCTTGAAGGGGCACCCGCTCATTCCTGGGTTGGCCTCAAAGCCAGCGGGCAGCTGATGCAACTTCCTCAGAACCATTGGCATGTGGCCTTGCCTTTCTTGTGCCTGTTGGGGGCAAGGGAGCTTTCTTCACTAGTCTGTATGTTTGTGCTCCCAAGAAGTCCAGTTGAGTTGGATAAGCGGGTATAGGATTGCAGCCTCGGTCCCAGAATATACACAGATTAACATGTGCAGAACAGAATTGCGTTGACATCTCTACAAAAAGAGTCTGGAGGATACGGAAAACATTTGGCCATTTTAATGATTTTAGCTATGCTTTTAGCATTTCAACCCTATTTATTTATAATAATTGTTTAATGTGTTTAGCTGTGGAGCAGCAGACAAAGTGGCAGACCAAACCAAGTCACTGTAGCAGTAAAATAAGAGAAGACAGAATTGAATGAGCAGAGAGGAATGACAGTATAAGGCTGTGCAAGAGTCACAAAATACCCTACCTGCGAGTGGCGCCTCCCTGCCTCTTGAGTGTCTCCCAGTAAACACTCTTGCACAATCTGTCTTTAAGGACTTTATGTACTTGTCAGGACAGGAAGTGTATATTTAGTATCTGGCACCAGTTTATTCAACAGCAAGCACAAATGTTTGTGCCCTGTTGATCTTTTGACCTGTAAACTTGTGAGCTGCTGGTTTAAAATTATTTGTTGGAAGGGCATAAAGTGGAGAAAGCAATGTGCCCAGGAGATTTGAGAAGCAGGCATATTGTTCCCTGGCACTAGGGAAGTCCTCTAGTTGGCCGAGTTTGGAAGCCACAAGCAAGGAAACCTACTGGAAGGAAGGAAGGAAGGAAGGAAGGAAGGAAGGAAGGAAGGAAGGAAGGCGGAGCTCATTTCTTCCCCCTCCCTATCGTGCCTTATAAAGGGGTCTGCAGGAATTCTGCTGCTTTCTGTATCTCCCTGAGCCCGAAGGATAGCAGGCACAAAGGAGCCAGTGCAGTTGGCCACAGGCTTCTGAGACCTGGCTCCAGAAGCAAGATCTGAGAGAAGCAGTCTGTGTCCTACCTCCTGCGCCAGACGGTTGTGTCCTTCCGAAGGGGCTTGGAGCCCCCTGGAGACTAGGTAGCTAAATGTGTTAAAATGTGGACCCTTTTGTTTCCTGCAGTTTCTCTCAATAGTAAAAATAGTGATTTTATGAGTAATTTGGACCGTTTTGTCTTGCTAATAAAAAATTGTTTAGATAAATCTTAGTTTATTTACCTCAATTCTTAACCACCTTCAAGACAGTTATTCTCTTGAGATGGTTTCTGGTATAATAAAAAGCATGAAGTAGTTTGAGGGTTCCTTTTCTAATGGGTTTTGTGGCCTTGGAAACATTCTCTGGTGTTATTTTTCCAAGTCCTAAACAGGTTTATTTATTCAGGGTGATCAGTTAGACTGTGCAGAAAAATGAAATAAAGTGTGGTGCTTTCAGCCTTTGTATGTAGTAAGTTAAGTGGATCATAAACCCGTTCAGTTATTTTGCTATTGCTATTGCTACTGCTGCAGAAGCAGAGCTGAAATGCATGGAGAAGCTGCTTCTCTCTCAGGAGTGACTCAGCCGCCACTCACCCGCCCTGCTCAGATGCTGTGCCGGGCAGAGCTGGCAGGCAGCCTGGTGGCGTGGATTGCCGTGTGCGTTATAGGCCCTCCCTGCTGATTCTCTCAGCCTTTCCTTCCTCACTGCCTCCTGTTAAAGAAGCACGCTGTACATGCTGGGGCTTCCAGGAAAGCCAGCTCTGTTTCTGGACAGTGGGACGCCCTTAAGAGAAGAGCACTCCTCCCGGAGTCTGACTAGCTGGAGCACGAGGCAGAAGGGGTGATTTCGGTTTGCTGCTCTCTTGAAGGATGGGGATGGTCTGAGCCTGTGAGCTGAAGCTGTGTCCTGGAGGGCCGGGGGTCGTCAGAAGTGCCCTCCTGGACTGTTTTGGAGGTCGTTTTGGCCTGCAGCACTCTTCTTCCTCCTCCTCTGGAGAAACACAGAGCCAAAGGTATTTAGTCCCTTGGGTAGAACAGCCTTCCTGCTGAGACGTATCAGAAGTTTCGATTGTTACATGCCTCTGGTTTTGAGATGGAAAGGGTCAGGTTCAGAAATGTTGGTCTGTGATGAAGTCTAGAGTTACACTGTAATGGTAGCTTGAATCCAGCAAGAGTTATAACTTCTGACATCTGTTCTGAGTAATGTGGCTGCCGCCTCCTCCCTCCATTGTTATTGTTATTGTTATGCTGTATTTCTGTCTTACCTTTCTTCCTCTTGCAAGGAACCCAAACCTGCTTGCAAGGCTCTCCTCTCCATTGTATGCTCACAACAACCCTGTGAAGTAGGTTGGGCTGAGAGCCTGGCTGGCCCAGAAGTCACGCAGCAAGTGTCATGGCTAACTGGGAATGCAGACTGGATCTCCCAAGTCTCACTCCAGCATTCTTAGCCACTGTACCACATGGGCTTTAGTTTTGATCCAGTGTGTCCACCGTGATGTATCACGTGCTGACTTTGAGCTGGGAGAGAACTGCCTGTCTTGGCTGGTGGTTGACAGAAGACCTAAATGCCCTGGCAGGGAGTGTGCAAGGACAGGAGTTGCAAAAGCTCTTTCTTCCCATCAAGAAATCCATTAATTGGCTTGCCTCTTAAGAAACATGAAGTGGGCAGAAGGTAAACTGCTTTCCACAATGTTTCCTGGAGAGTCGTGTGTCCAGAATTAAACATGTACATCCTGCCTCCCAATGACATATATAGTTCCTCAATGTCATTTTGGTAAATGGGTAGAGGGCTGGGGGGTACCTATAGTTGGGGTTTATTAAAAGCATTTTCCACGGTTTTTATGTGGGAATTTCAGTTTATGATCAAGTTTATGATGGATGAAGACCTTGGCACGTTGGCCTTTCCCGTAGTCACGGCAATGTCAGGCCACATGCCTCTGTGGGTGGCTGCTCTCCTGGGCCTCAGGCAAAGAAGGGGCCTTCCCAGAACCTGTTGCCTGATCCTTCTAACTGTCTGTCCTAACTTGGCTGCCCCTGATATGTTATTCATTTGGGTATTTCTGACCCGTCCAATTACTACACGTCCCTGGACGGCTTACAATAACCTTTCAATAAGTACAACACAGTAAAATCACCGTACATGGCAACACTCTTCTGCCCCAGGCAGCATGGGCAAGGAGAGCTGTCCAAAAGCACCTGCAAGGTGTCCCTTTGCTAACTGGCAGTGCCTGGAGTTCAGCTGGTCGTTTTTGGCATGCAGAATATCTGCCCTTGCGCCTCACTGCTTGCATACTGTTTCAACATTTTTACAAGATGTAGTTGAAAAAAGTCTGTCCTAGATGGATTCTGTGAACAAAGGAGTGCCATCACCTGTTAGAGCTATACAACGCTCAAAATCTCACTAAGAAGTTGTCACAGTCTTTGTGATGAATGCTACCCCGATGATCATGTGAGTTCTCCAGCAGACAGGCAGATCCTTGGTTTCAGTCCATATTGTTCGGTGAGACTCAGAATATGAAGTCTCTGGTAAACTGCTCATGAGAGGCCCTGTGGGGCTACAGGAAAATCCCGAAGGAAAATCCTAACACCAATTCTTGCTAGAGGGAGGAACTGAGTTAGTGCTTTGAGGAGCTGTTGGTCTAACTTTCACACACATCAGATGATGCGGTAGTCTACATTTTCACTGCACCACTTTAGTCTGCAGGTAGGGACAGATCAATTTTCCATTCTGGGTTCTTAGTTTCTCATTTTTCCAAACTTATGGCTGGTTCATGCTTGACTTTAAGAAGTAAAAAAGTTTGCATGTGCATTTTTGTGAGCATTTTTTCAAAGATATTCATTATTCTATGCAATTTTGCCTAATATACACATTTTTGTGAGAATTTTCTGTTAACACATGTTCATTTATATCTACATTTGGGTGTGCGCATTCCCCAAAATATGCATGAATAGGAGAAAGTTCCGAGAAGTGTGAATACTGAAGAACAACTTGAGTTTTGTTTTGTGTATTAGTTGGTGTATTATATTTGTGTAAAGCATTTCCTGCATAAAGAAGAAGAGCATATTGGTGCTAACGGCTTTAACTTAGACTTCTTCCTGGTATGCCAGATTTCTGTACGCAGGGATATGTTTTAGGAGTACAAGGCGGTCATGTCATGCCAGGTGAGTCTCCCTCTGCCATTCTGAAGCACTATGCTCCAGAAATACACCTTTTTACTGCCTAGTCTGTTGCTCAGGAGAACTATCAGGCCTTTGCTGTAGGCCTCAGAATCCACGTTTGGATAATCAGAATCTCTTCAGTCCTGAATATCAATACCCAGATTTACAACGATTTTCTGTAATTAATATTAGTCCCATATTTTTGTGTTGATAGTGAAAAAGAGGTGTGGCCAAGCAGAGGCTCTTGCCAAGTATTTTGCATCTAAACAAAAGAATGGCCTTTTTCTTGGATCACACCGGTAAGATGGAGCCAGATGCTAGGCTAATCCAAGCCAGCATCCCACACTCGCAGAAGTTTACAGGGCCCTTTCATGACATTGCCCCCCTCCAGGGAGTCTCCTGAGTTTTCCAGCCACCATTGTGGCTTTTTTTTTTTCAGAGCCAGGAATTCAGAATCCAGGAATTTTCCTGGATGCCACAGTGATTCTCTGCAGAAGCAGTGTTTTTCTCTGCAGTCTGCTCTGTTCCACAGCGCCACCTTGTGTGGGGTAATGGAGCACAGAGGAGCAATCAGAAAGGCAGAAAAAGGCCTCTTGCAAGGGATGCTCTAAACCAGGGGTCATAGAAGCACAGAAACAGGGTGAGCCAGAAGGGGTCTCCAGCCCATCTAGTCTGACCCCCGGCTCCAGCCGGCTCCGCTCACGACATGCCCACCGTGTGCACGTCCAGCCTGTCCTTAGACTACTGCCCACCATGCCCATTTATCCATGCTGCCTCAGAGGTTTTGGACCCACTTGGAGAAAACGATCTCTGAGCGAGTCCAAAAGCTCTGAGTCGGGACAGACGTACTCAGTGGGGAGATGGCGGCGATCGCGGCCGTACTCATGCAGGGAAGACGGGTGTGATCGCGGTCGTGCTCGGGGGGGTGAGATGGCCGTGATCGCACCTGTCTTCCCCCCACATCACGATTGTGCCTGTCTTCCCCCCCACCCAGCACGATCGTAGGCATTGTAGCTAAGTCCCCTGAATATGGACATGCTCTTCCCCACTTCATCTTGGGCTTCTGCTGCAGCCCGAGCAAGCAAAGCAATTTTTTAAAATTTTTTTTAAAAAATAATTTTAATTAATTTTAATTTTAATTAATTTTAATTAATTTTAATTTTAATTAATTTTTAATGTGCAGTGTGCATAGGAATTCATTCATATTTTTTCAAACTATAGTGCAGCCCCCACAACAGTCTGAGGGACAGTGAACTGGCCCCCTGTTTAGAAAGTTTGAGGACCCCTGCTCTAAACGTTCCTCAAAGAAAGTGGAAGAAGCAGCCTTGATAAATCACCAGTTTAAATGCCTCTTGCATAGCAGCCCTATGTCAGTTTAAAAATGTGGTACCCAAAGTAGAGGCTAGGGGATCTAGGAGATTTCTCTTTCTGTCTTTCAGTACTCCTGTCCTCTCAGATAGCGATCCAGGGATCACAATTACTCTCAGGAAGGGAGAAATAACTAATTGAACTGCATCCCTTCTTTCAAAGTTCATGACATACAACCTAGTGCTGCCAACTCAGTATTTAAATTCTGGCTCTAGCATTCTGTGACAAAGTTGGAACCCTTGGGCAAAATGTCAGAAGAAATTTCAATAAGAAAATAGAAATGTGGAGTTTGCACTTCATTGCACAAAATGCAAGAAAATAAAATGTTTTGTTTTGCCAGGCAAAACAAAACATTATCTTTGAATGTATACTGTTTCCTAACCCCAGGGAAATTGCTTGGGGCTTCCAGTTCAGGTCACTGTGCAGGCACATGCACAAGTTCTGTGCTTGGGTGATTGCACACAGTTAAGGGACTTTCTGGAACTGCAGCCTCTCAGGATAATTTACCTGCTGCCCCACGGCATGCACACCTGTGATGGAGGGAGACTCTTCTCCTCCCTTTCTTCCAAAAGAGAGACCTGAGAATAAAATCCCTGTTTCGCTGAGGAATGCCAGGAAGATGAGACTACTTACTGTTTGGGACATAATATAGCAGAGTGATAAAGAGTAGGAAGGCAAAGAGCCTGAGGTCTTAGAGATGCACCTACCTCTGCAGTGCCTGTCTGCTGCAAGCTGGCTGCATCCCTCAAGGCAAGCCCACCTTCCTTGCAGTGTTGGGGTGTGTGTGTGTGTGTGTGTGTTTGGGATCTTTCTGGCCCATCCAGTCATTTTCGTCTCTGGATGGCTCACAGCAAAATGTGAGTGTATGCTTGCACGCCTGCCTGGCTTCTCAACAGGTTTCTTCCGTGGGAGAACAACTTCCGAAGGCTTCCTTGTGGTTGCTTGCTGCAGGAATGCTTGCTTGTCACAAACATCCCCAGCACACCCTTTCCTTTGAAAGGAATAATACTGATGATGAAAGGGCCAGAATTTCGAGCCATTCCACAATCAGGAAAGGAGTACAACTTGCTGACCGCGCTTCCATCATTGCTTTGTTAAACGACTCTGGAGAAGGCCCCTCGTGTAGCTGCAAGCAGCCCTTGAAGGAAAGCAGCCTGCGCTCCTGGAAGCGGGGCAGTGGTGCTATTTGCTCCCTGGCATATCTGCAAGCAGGTGTAGCAAGAGCTTGGAAACCATTATTGGTTTCCATTACATTAACCATTACTGAAATTACTGACTGGAAGATCTACTTCCTCTTTTGTCAATGTCCCTTCCTGTCTGTTAGGAGACAGAGCAGAGACTTAGGAAGACATTGGGCAGGATGTCCCCAGTGATCCTCCAGTTGTGGCTATGGGAGCAGTTGCCCTCTTGGAAAGGAGTCTGTGTCCTTGCCTCAGCCTAGATCACCGCCAGCGCATGCCTTGGGGCTTAGATGTCTGCGAAGAGAAAGGACTTGGACTTCAGGGAGCCCTTGCTCTGGATTTGTTGGCGGGCACTTTTGCATAGAAAAGCTCCATATAGGTTTCTCTCTCCCTCTCCCCCCCCTCCTGCATGTATGTATGTATGTATAGGCCGCTGAATAACCTGACAGGGCTCTCTGTTTGAGAGCCTTTTAGTGATGCAGGCAGGAACATGTCCTGTTCATTCTTCAGTGTGACATCAAAAGAGCTTTCTTTACCAGACTGAAAACCCTGGTCCCACTTCTTCGCTTAAATTTGAAGATAATAGAGGTAATTCTCTGCAGGAGCTACCCTGGCCCCCAGCTTCTCTGCTGAAGTCTGCCTGGCCACTCTCTGGACCTGCGTGTAGCCGATGGTCCTGGGCAGGCTCTGGACCTACAGCTGATAACACCTCAAGTTGTGCCTTCTGAGGGTGACTGACACATGGTGCATAATGCCACTCTGTGGTGCAGAGGAGAAGGTGCAGGAGAAGCGGTGGGCAAATCTTGGAGCAAGGAAATGCCATTCAAAAAGCAGGCTATCTCACCCATGCACCTGCGCTCTGGCAAAGGCGCACACTGGCCAGGAGGGAAAGGAGCCGTGCCAGGGAGGACACTGACTTGGTTTTGCCTGGAGCGTGTTTGGAGCACAGGGCCAGGAAAGCAGGCATGTAAGCATTGCTCCATCCACGAATCCTCATTTCATGATGAATAACCTTTGGACTATAATGTATCTTAAAGAGAAAACTATCTTTAGATACATTTTTCCTTAAAAAGCATTTTATTTAAAAAAGTCAGTTTTAATTAAAAATCTGACATAAATAAAAAATCCAATTTAAATTTAAAAATCCTGTTTGTAATCATTGATTTTTATCCACGCTGCATTCAAGTGCATAAAAGGCAATGATGATGTCTTTCAGAGTGGAGTCTCCAGCATATTGCAGTTTTTTAAAATATGAAGATGCCACAGAGACTGATTTTTACATGATGGTTTAGGACTGGGGGAAGCTTCACTAGGAATCAGCTTGTGTAAACCCCATTGAAATAAGTTCATTGGGGTAAGGCCTGTTTACTCCGCTGTGCAGGAGAGGCTGGCAACACTGGCTTTGTTCAGAAGGAGCTATCTGTGGTTGCAGTGCTGACGATATTAGTAACATAGACATAGAAACATAGTGAGTCAGAAGGGACCTCCTGGGCCATCTAGTCTGACCCCCGGCTCCAGCCGGCTCCATTCATGATAGGCCTACCATATGCATGTCTAGCCTATTCTTGAACATCCCCACCGATGGGGCTTCAACCACCTCCCGTGGAAGCCCATTCCATACCCTCAGGGTCCTAACTGTGAGGAAATAATTCCTGGCATCCAAATCAAACCTTGGTTCCCTGAGCTTGGCTCCATTGGAACACATCTAGCTCTCCTCTGCAGGGGAAAACAAGTCTTGACCCACCTCCACATGACACCCCCTCACATACCTGTATGTCGCCAACAGATCCCCTCTGAGTCTCCTCCAGGTTGAAGAGACCCAGTTCCCTCAGTCTCGCCTCATACCCTATCCCCTGCGAACTGATCACCAACCTTCTGGCCCTGTGCTGCACTGACTCTAACCTGGCTATATCCTTTCTGTAATGAGGGGCCCAAAACTGAGCACAATACTCCAGTTGCGGGTGCACCAGAGTCGTATACAGTGGTAGTAATAGCTCTCTTAATCTAGAAGCCACACTTCTAGCTATGCAACCAAGGGTGGCGTTCTCCCTCTTGACCACTGCATCACACTGCTGACTCATGTTTAGCCTGCAGTCGACCAGCACCCCGAGTTCCCTTTCACAAGTGCTGCTCTCCAGCCACTTGCCCCCTAACCTGTACTTGTGACACCCATTCCTATGCCCCAAGTGCAAGACCTTGCACTTATCCGCATTGAATTCCATCCTGTTGTCTCCTGCCCACTTCCATAGTCTGTCTAGATCCTTTTGGATCTGGAGTACCTGCTCTCAGTTGTGGCCACTGCCCCCGTTTTAGTATTGTCTGCGAATTTGACCAGCAGCCTGGTCACCCTCTCTTCCAGGTTGTTGATGAAAAGAAAAGAGGTCATGGTGGATAAAATATTGAGGTAGAGGTCATTTTCACTGAAATCGGTGGGGTGTATTCAAGTATATGCAGAACTTGAATTTCTGTAATGGAATTTGTGGCAACTGGAAAACTCAGCTGCCTTTTTGGAAACAAATGTTGTAGGGTTCTCTAGACCTGGTTGCTGCGTTCCATCCTTCAGCTCCAAAATATGCAGGTGGTCCAATATTACATCATACGGGGAGTTTTGGGAGACCACTAGTAAAAGCAGCAGTTTTGTCAAATAGAGTTAGCTTTACATCTGTGTCTTCATTCTCCTTAGCTAGTGCTGCCATTCACGTTCTGTCAACAGAAGGATTCAAAGGCTTTGAGATGCAATCTTTGTTAAACAAAAATAATTTGCACCTTTGAATATCTGTGGGTCTTGGATATCTATCATTAGAAATCTATCATTTCTGCTGTTTCTGCCGATTTTGCTTGGCCTGATTAATTACATTTCTGGAAAATGCTTGCAGAGAGGACTCCTGTGCATTTCTGGCTGTACAGGGATGCAGGGGCTGTGGGCAGGCTTCCATGGGTGGGCATTCTTGTTGCCTGTGCTGGAGAATGGGCCCCCTCCTTTCTGACAGCCTCGTGTGCGTTGAGCTGGGCTGCGTGGGAAGGAAAAGGTTTCTGGCTGGCCTCATGAGTGCTGCATGCCACCCAGAAGGGATGGGGCCGTAGCCACTGCAGTGCAGAGTCAGAGCTGGGAATCCCCTCCCCCCTCCCAGCCGTGCTTCGCTTCAGCTTGGGAGAGATGTGCACAGCGGAGAGGCGGCACTTCGGGCGGTCGTGCATCAGAGCCCGGCAGCTCTGGCACCTTCAGAGGACGGCGCTTTTGATGGCAGCCCCCGGCTGAAGCCGTGACTCGCAGAGTGGGCCTTGTGTGTGGGAAGCACTTGCTTTGTCTCTGCAGAAGATGTAGAACAGTGACACAATGCCTGTTTGTTTGCAATAGCCAAGACCATCCTAAGAGGGCAAGAGACAGGGGCAAGTCGGAGGAGAAACAAGTCGGCGGGGAAACCGAGAGCGGTGACGACGCATCTTTCCTCTTTTGCTGGAGTGAGTGAGGGAAAGAGAGGCAGACCAGAAGGGACTGAGACCTGCAGCCGACAATGTGTCAGTCGAGTGCCCTGCGGGGACCAGAGCTGCACTCAGGGAAATGGTGAGATGCTGCACCCCTTTCTCTAACCCTCCTCCCTCTTGCTGTAACCTCCGCAAAGTTAAAGTTCATGTCCGGAGGCTGCGTTCGGGGAACAGTGGCAGTGGCGGCAGCTGTGCTGGGGAGCAGCACCCTCAGCTGGAGAACCCGGGCCCCCCCGGGGGCACCTCAAACAGGAGCTCTCGTTTCAGGTACTGTCTGGCGTGCACTTTGCTTTGCAAGAAGGTGCTGGAGGGAGGGGGCAGACAGAGTGGCAGCTGTTCTACAAAGCCTTTGTTTGGCCTAATTCCTTTAAAGCTCTTTAAACACTTGATTGACAAATGTGGGGGAGCCACTTTGTAGCCCCAGTTCCTTTTCTGCTCAGGCCCTCTTGTTTCAAGAAGGAAACATAGTCTGGGGCATAGAATGGGAATCCCTTGGAAACAAGGCCATACAGGGGCATGCAAGGGGCTTTTTACACCTAGCTGGAAGGCTGCATCTCTGCAGGGATTGGCCCAAGATTGTCTGCAGTGAAAAGGGGGAGATGGAGGAGTAAGGCAAGAGCAGCACCTGCCTTCTGGGCCCTTCTTGGGCCCAGCAAGCAAGAAGAGGATGAGCACCAGGCAGGAGATTCCTGCAACAACCTGTTCTACGGAACAGGAAACTGTGAAATGTGACTGCTCCTTGGGGGTTGAGCGTTGTTTGCATTTTCGGGAGCTGGTTGGGCGCCTCAAAGCAGTCCTGCTCGCCTTGGATCCTTTTGGTCCAGATAGCAGCAGTTGTAGCCACTTTCCAAAAGTTCCCTTGCCCTTTGCTTGGAAGCAGCTCTTTCGCTTGGGTGAGATCACATGAGGGAAAGGAAATTTTTGGGCTCAAAGGAGTTGAAGTGCCCACAGTCAAGTGGTAGCTCTGCTTCCAACAGTAATTTAAGCTACAGAAGTAGAGAAGAAAACTGCCTGCCCAGAGAGAACCAAGACAGACCAGCTGGATTTTTTTTTCTAGTGGCAATTTGATTTTCTTTTGTTTGGATGTGTATGAGAGTAATCTGGCCTCGGTCCATTTGCTTTGGTACTTAGTTGCAGGTATATTCAGCTCTCTGAGTTGTAAGGATGGCTCAGGAGATGATGCTCTTTTCCTGGCTCCAAGAAGAGTTGCTGCCCGCATCTGCCATTTATTTCCTGACCACCAGTAGAGGTCTTCTTTTATAGATTTCCAGCTGAGAGCACGTGGCTGCACAGCCCCGTCACTCACGGCTGTTGCAGAGCCACCCCAGTCCCACGCGAGATGCACTGCAGCCCTGGCAGCTCCTGCTGCATCCCATCCCTGGGATCTGCTGTGGAGGGTTCCTGGCCTTGGGGTCGAAACAGGGTGCTGCACGCCCCGGCATCGGTGCTCCCGCATGTCCCCTGCAGCCGCCGGGGACTTATGGGCTGCAAGGACCCACGGGAGTGCCGGTGCTCAAAGGAGGATGAGGCCATGCCAACTCACCCTGCAGCCTTCTCGGCGGAAGCATCATGCATCTTCAGTTGTCAAGACTTTGTCCTGTGAAGGCGATGTCCTGCGTTGCCTTCCATGCCAGATCCGTTTTTCCTGCAGACAATCTTCAGGGCTTCCTGAGGTGCATTTTGAAGGGGTTTCCACTGTCTTTCCCAGTCAGTACTTGCTTGCTGCCATGTGGATTGTGAAGACCGTGGAGCCACTGCCAGAAGTGCAGTGTGGGCCGTTTGCCCCCCGCGCCCCTTCAGGGCTCCTGTCTGTGTCAGAGCAGGGCTGCTCGCCTTGCTCTCAGTTCATGCTTGCTTCTGATGCGAGCTGGCCGTTTATTCTGGGGAAAGTGCCGGGGAGGAGAGCGATCCAGTGTCTGCCGGTGGCTTCTGAGAGCCAGGGATGCTGGAACTCTTTGTCGGCTGACCATCTTGTGTGTGTGATTCTGCAGGTTGCAGTTTCCCCAGCTGGCCCTGAGGAGGAGGTTGGGCCAGCTGAGCTGTATGTCTAGGCCTGCTCTGAAACTCCGTTCTTGGCCTCTGACTATCCTCTATTACCTTCTGCCTTTTGGTGCTCTCAAACCCTTGGCCAGAGTGAGATGGCGGCCTGTGAGCAGGGTAAGTGTTTTTGAGTTTGTGCTGTGCTTTGTGGCACCTGGCTGTGAAGGAGGAGGGTTGCTGTCAGGCAGGGCTAAGATGGCAGAGGGGGACCTGGTGCCTGTCCCGTCTGCTGCAAAGCCGCTATGGTTGGGGAGGACTTCCTTTTAACAGAGACCTTCCTGCGCTAGCGTGACAGCCAGCACCTCAGGAGTGGAACGAGCATAGATTGGGCTGCTAGGGCCAGGGAAATTCCAGGTGCCTCGCTTGCAGTGAGAAGAGGGGTGCTTTGTTCTCATGTCGTTCGTGGCTACTTGGAATTCAGCTGCCGAGAGGCACCTTGACATTTGCAAAGCCCTGAACTGTGCGTGTTTCAGGCACCCTTCCTTCAAAAACTGTAGTATGTACTGCACATTCTGAGTCATGTGCATTACACAAATTGCACATGGTCTGTTCAGTCTGAAAAAAATGTGGGTTTTCTTAAGTGAACTATTTGTGCTTGACCTGTCTTGGTGGCACCAGCATGTTGCTGAATGGGTTTCTGCAAAGGAGTTCTTGCGCAGGAGGGTTCCTTTACAGCCATCCAGCTTGTTCTGCAACCTAGCTTGATTTTTGCAATGCCTGCTGGGCTCTTTAGTGCCCATCTTTATTTTGCACCTAGCTCAGGTGCTACGGAGAAATGCCAAGAGAGAGAGAGAGCATGGGCAGAGGGTAGCTTGGGATCTCCTGATGGGTTTCTGGGCAATCTGCAGAAGATCAGCTAGGATTTCTGACTTCCAGTTCTTGAACAAGAGGAGATAACTCCTGTCCCCCTCCAAATACTTGATGGGAAGTAGAGTCTCATGTGGAAGGATTGTGCGCTGAGTCCATTTTTGGTTTCCAAAACAAAATCTGGAGTTCAGATTCTCCCATTCTAAGTGCATGTGGTTTGCACTTGTCTCTGGGTGGTGGATCTCCGGGGCTCTGGTAAGAAATAAAGTGGATTCCTCGATCTTGCCATCTACCAACCACTGAGACACAGAGCAGGCATGGTGGTACCTGTCCTCCCCCAGGAGATCTGGGGAATGTGGTGGTGCTTTGATTTCAGCTGCCCTGCAAGGCCATTGGGCAAACGGAGAGGCTTCTCCCTCACTGCACAGTTTTGATCTCCCGAAACTGAGTTTTGGGCCTTTCAACTTTCCTCATTGATACCAGTGTGGTTTTATAATCTTCCGTTGCACTCGGCTCCATTTTGGAAAAGGCCTTGGCTAGTGGGCAGTGCAGAAGTGAAATAAATTTCTGAGAAGGCCACTTCTGCGTGCTGGATTGTGTTGGAGGCATGAAGTTGTTAACGTTAATTTAGATGCCAAGAAGCACTTCCTGACGGTTAGGACCCCGAGGGTATGGAAAGGGCTTCTGTTGGAGATGGTTGAAGCCCCACTGGTGTAGGTGTTCAAGGATAGGCTGGACGTGCACATGGTGGGCATGTCGTGAGCAGAGCCGGCTGGTGCCAGAGGTCAGACTGGATGGCCCGGGAGGCCCCTTCTGACTCGCTCTGTTTCTATGCTTCTAACGCTAGTGTGACTTTAGGAGTGTCCATGATCCAGATTTGCCCAAGCCAGTTAAAAGAGGTCTGTAACAGAATCCGAATCAAAAGGCGGCGTGGATGCTCGAAAGGATGGGACCCAGTCGTGACGGGCAGTCTGTTGCCCTGAGGCAAGCCTTTGTGGGGGGCTGATTTTGTCAGGTGAAGAGTCGCTGCTCCTTGGTTGCGACTGGTAGTGCAGGAGCTTAGCTGGCAGAAGGGTGCTGTGCAGCAGCCTATCTTGGCAATGATCTGGGCTCATCCTGATCGCAATGCATCCTAAGAAATCAGGACATTTTGTAAAAACGGGTTTCTTCTTTGCCTTTATGGTATGCGCATCCCTGCATTCATTTTTTCTGAATTTTCTGATGAGTATCAGAGTCGATGTGCTGTTTTCCTTTTATGGACAGATAGGAGCATTTTCCTGTGTTTAGCAGAAGCGCTGGAAATTCCGCAGTCGTGATGCTCCCAGTGAAGGGTACGGGTTGACTGGCTGCATTGTACTCAGGACAGAAGTGGTGGCGGCGAGAGGCTGGCATTTCTGCGCCTGTCGACAGGGCAGTTCCAGGCGGCCCCTGCTGAGCCAACCAGGCACCGGTGCTTCCTCCCTCCTCCAGGAGCAGAGGCTGTGCTGCTGGACTGACACTGCTGCTCCAATAGCCAGATGCAGACAGATCAGCGGGAGGAGGCGTGCAGCTGTGCGGAGTCACTCCAGAGGGGCAGCTGTGTGAGCTGCTTACAGCAAAAGCCAGGGAAATGGACATGGATGCTTGCGCAGGATAAGTGCATTCAGCTTTCAGGTGCTACTAGGGAGCAGTCGCTACCCGGCTGGCGAATGGTAGCAGCTAATCAGACCAGCTGACGGAAGGACATTAAGCTTAACTAGTGAGGTGGTGATGCTTCCCGACAGACAGCTTCAAGGGCTACCAGTCAAAATCCATGGTGCATCTTTTCCTCCTTAACAGATCATCTGCAGAAAGGCATCAGATGAATGAAGCCATGGGCAAGCGTGCAACGGTTATAGAAGGAAGGTGTCACCCAGCTGAGTTCCCTGCACCATCCTGTGAATGAGGCAGAGGGTTGCGTAATAGGAGCCTTGACTGGCAGCGTCCCTCCCCATTGGAAGGGGAAGTGGGCATGCCTGCAGTTCCTGACACACACAGGCCCATTTCAGCTGCTAGGCTGGCCCACCCTCTCTTCCTCCTGCATTTGTGTGTATGGAATTGTTTCTGGGGATCTCTGGGCTATCCCACAAATGGGTTCTTTGTTGGCACAGAAATAAGGAGGTGGTACTTCCAGCCCTGCCCACATGAGGAGGTTGTTGGTTTGCGGTGTGCATGCATGGGCCTTGAGGGCTGGGCTGGGCTGAGTTGAGTGCCTTTCTGCTCAGTTCTCTTCTGTCCACCCCAATGGCAGCAGCTCCCTAGGGAATTTCCTCTTTGAGGATAACTTGGGCCACCTCTGCTTGTCCCCAGGTTTCTTCTGTTTCTTCTCTGCACAGACTAACAGACCTTAGATTGCCCAGTGACTTCCAGGACTTTCCCCTCAGTCTTCATCAGTCTCCATTCTCACCATCAGTCCTGCCTAGAAATGGGACCTTTAGAAGCAACTGTCATGTCTCAGTCTGTCAGCCACATATGAGCAGCAAAGAAAACCTCTGTTGCAGCCTCAGCTGCTCTGGGCTCTGTTCTGCAGCACTGGCTCTTCTGAACCACCTGAAGACAAGAGTCCAGGATCTAAACAGTCATCAGAGGGTCTTTGTAAGGAGTCTTTAAGAGTTGGGACAAGTTTATGTAGGGTCCATTGGCTCTTGCTAACTTCTGACTTCTCTGTCACTGAATAAAGATCTCTCTTTCTCTTGTTGAATGCATTAAAAGAGTGACCCAATATTTAGGACCTGACATATTGCAACCCATTCTGTAAGAATATGAACCAGTTTTTGGACTCAGAATCTGAGATCACTCAGCCCCTGTTACCAATCCTCATCAGGGTGGACAGGGAGCCACAGGCTCAACCATTGTCAATAAACCTCACTTTAGGAAGGACTGTTGTCAGTGTTGGAGGTACATGCCTTGTGTCATGAGCACATCTCTCCCACTTTCCAGCAAATCGAAATTGAAAGTTATTAAAGTGCAGTCCTTTATTTGAGCCAGACTGGTTTTTTGTGATAGAGAGTATGTCACAAGAATGTTGTTCTCAAGTAGCACCGATCAAAGTAAAGTTGCCTGCACTCTCTGGGTACAACTCTTGCTCATGCGAAGAGTTGATTCCAAACTGAAGAGTCCCTCCTCCCTTTCTTTCCCAAAAGGGTTGACTCCTCCCTCAGGGAGGTTTGCGCTGCATGTGGGCCAGACTGCAGTAATGCTGGGTATTACTTACTTGATCTGCTTGTTTAGCTTGAAGCTGGTTCTCTGGGTTTCATACCCCTTCTCCTCAGACCCACCCTGTTCAACAGTGTCTTTGCCTGAACTTGAGGTGGTTTGATTCTCAGCAGCTGCTTGAGAAATTGCACTCATTATCCTGGACATTTCTGTCCCATACTCCAACCCCTCTTCTCCTTTGTTTAGTTCACTTTCTAAGTATGAGCTTTCAAACTGGGAATGCTGCATTCTAAGAGAAATTCTCTACCCTCTGCCTGCAGAATCACCGAGGTTGGATTCCTGGCATCTTTGGGCAGTGCTGTAGAAACACTGGCCTGACACCTTTGCAAGCTCTTGCTAGCCAGCTCAACAGTGCTGGGCTTGGGTACCCCAGGCCTAGCTCACCTGATGCTGAGGTGTCATCATCTTGACCCAAAATGTCTTGGATGGGCCAGAACTGTTTAGTTCAACAATGGATGGTACCTTGGGGAAACTCAGAAAGTAAGTTGTGGCTTTGTCTCTAGGAAAGATGTTGCAACCAAATGGACCTTGGTGACTTTCTGCCTAGCAGCATTCTTCTTCAAGATTCCCAAGTGACACCAATTTCTAAAGAAGTCTTGTGCCTATTCTTGTCACTAGAGTTCTCACCTTTGAAGGCTAAGACCTCACTGAAGTTTCACCTGTATGTCCACAGGTACTAATGCTGTGAACTTGTGGAGCAAGCTTTTCAGTTGGCATGAAAAAGCATTGGAGTAGATGCATGGCCGGAACATTTCTATTGCTTTTGGTGTTGGTCATATATGACAGGGTGGGCTGCAGATCTCTAATGAACGTTGCGTGAGTGACAGTCTGTGCAGTCATAGTACCTGAGCTCCTTTCCCACGGTTGGTGCCCCTTGCTCTTTAAAGGTGATACCTTGTCATGGCAGTGCTGCACGAGCAAAAAAAGGAAGCTTTCCAGAGTGGTAGCTGCATTGGTCTTGTGCATCAAACACCCCAAGGAGCCTTAAAGCACCAAGAAACCTGCTTCAGCTTTCGAAGGACATGAACAATCTCTCATCCAATTTCACAGAGCTCCCTTGTTTGGCTTACCTGGAAGTGATCCTCCCCACATGTGGCTGGGTGACAGCTGCTTACAAATCTATTGAGCAAGATAGACCAGATTCTAATCCCCTCAGCTGTGTGCCCTTCTCAGATACTCATCCGTCTCCCAGATTAACTTGTTTGCTGTGGTTTCATCCTGCTTTCACACGGTTGACTTCCAGAGTCATCCACACCAATTTGAAAAAGGACAAGCCTACAAGCTGGAAAGACAGGATGCATGAAGGAAGGAGAGTGTGAGGAGCCCTGAGCAGGCCCTCCCTTTCCGTCAGGCCAAGCTGCTCCTTTGTTGCTGGTATTCGCGCTTGACAAGCAAATGGTTCTTGATTCCTCTGAATGATGTACAGGGCCGGCGTATCCTCTCTGCTTGCTCCTGCGCTCCCAGGGCATCTGTTAACTGGAACTGAATATTCTTTCTGGTAGGGAGGGGTGGGGTGAGCCTTCTGCAGCTTCATCTTCTCTGGCTATTGACCAGGACCAGGTGGGTCCTCCTGCTTGAAGGAAGGCAGGGTTCCAAATGTTGGGTGGGACTCACCTGGAAGGAGGCTTTCTTGAAATTCCCTGGATCCACCTGTTTAGTGCATTTAGCATTTTGGGGTTCTGCTTTATGTGATTTTTGTATGGATCTAATGGGCAAGATGCTTATCAAAGATGCCCAGAGACATTCCCTGCCTTTTTTCTTCCCTCTCCTCTTCATTTTTGCTTATAGCTTGATTATGCTTCTATCAGCCCTGCCATTCCTGTAACTTTCTCCAGAGAGTTCTTTCTTGCCTTCCAGGGGATTTAAAGGAACCAGCTGCAGCAATTTCATTAGGCATCAGGCTTTGAATTTCATAACAACAGATTATACCAACATTCTTTCTGTAACCGGTTTCCACCCAGTTCCCATCCTACTTCACATTTCATGTTTCTTCTTCTGCTGTCTAACCATGCAGGACACTGAACAACACTTCTATTTGTGGCAGCAGCTAATGCAAAATGGTCAGATCAGAAATATAACTGAAAAGCTGACCCTGCTTCATTAGCAGAGGATTACGGAACCAAACCCTGGACATTAATGCAAGGATAGGCTTTCTCTCGTTGCTCTGAGGGCATGTCTGGCCAGCCCCCGTAGAGCTGCTTGTGCTGCTGGCAAGGAGTTCTGTTGCAGTGAAAAGCCCCCCCCCCCCCCCACATTGAAGGGTTGCCTCAGTGGCTAAGCTCCAGCAGAGGGGGGCTGGGGCTCCTCTGGTGTGGCGCAGCGGGTGGATGGAGCTGCTCCGCGAGAGAGGGACCACGCTGCCGCTGGCGCATCTCCATTGCTTCCAGACACTGCGTTCACAGACTTTCACAGGAGTAGAGATGATCGTCTTCCCTTTGTCACTTCCCTCTGTTTTCCCACAATGTCTTCAGTCTTTTTTTAACTTTGGAAAGTCTGTTAAGGAGAAAAAGACAGTGGTTCTCCCTGCAAGACCTGTTCCTAAAACTGATGGACGTGTGCATCCTGCCACATCAGCAGGGTGCTGAGCCTATTGAGTGCGACTTGCTGGGCACCACTCTCCATTGCAGGGCTCTCCCTGCACACTGCAGAATAGTGCATTGGCAGAGACCTTCTTGCCCCAGTTGACCTTGGAGGGAGGCACTGGGCAGGTTGTCTGACAACCGCAAGCCCCCCGTGAGCGTGAGCGTGCGCAACGGATGATCAGGCCTGCTGTGAGTTGGTCCCTCCCTTCCTCGCTCCCTCTGGTCCTCCATTCACGCTGCTGAGCCTGCTTGGCGGAACTCTTTTTTCAGGTAGGGAAATAGCCATGGCATCTGTAATCTATTAAAAATGCCTAGTTTTTCTAGAAGGGTTTAAAGAGAAGAACTCTTTCTTTTGACAACTTTCAAAAGAAAACACTCTCAAAAAGAAGGTGGGATGTAGATCTCCCCTTTCTGGAGTACCAAAAGGCTTGCGTAGGTGGGAAAAGGTGGTGGGGACTGAGAACGGTCAGGCCATCACTAGCCGATCTAGCAGATCTGTGTTGGAGAAGAAAAAACCCTTTGCTACTTTGTTTTCCAATTTACACATCACCATTTGACAACTATCAAGTTCTTGAAACGCAAGCTCTGTGCAGCCTTGCTTGGACAATGTCTACAGGTATTGCCAACTAATTTTGAGAGCCGCCATTTACCAGGACATGGGCCAGGCCAGGGCCTGCACTTTGGCCCTTCACAGGTGTATACCTACAAAGTACTGATGAAAAATTGCTAAAACCGTGCACCTCTGTGCTCTTTTTATCCAAGGCACCACTTGGGCAGTGACCATTCCCGGTGGTGTCACTGGTAACATCACCAAGAGTGGGTTCTGCTGCTCCTGCCAGCCTGCTTGCTTGCCGTTTCCAACAACCTGCAATAGTCTCAGACAACGTGACAACCCATCATAGGTCTGGCAGCCTATCACTATCCTCTAACTTTCTGAAGACCTCCCAGTATTTTCTATTTCTTTTTCTTGCCAGCATACCCCCCCCTTTTTCTTGAGTGGTTCGTGGTCCTCACCCATTTCTTGCTGATGGGTCTTCTCTTGGGGTGGCTAAACTGTTTTCACAAATCACCCTGGTCGATCGTATCAGGAGGAACACTGAGTGGCCAGATGTGCTGATGAAACTAAATTATTTAGGGTGGTTAAAACCAAGAGATTGTGAAGAGGGCCAGAGGGAGAACCTTCCCAGCTGGGAGAAAGGACATTACCATGACAAATGCAAGGAAGTGGGCAGTGATGTGTATGGGTGCGGGAGGTCCCAACTTCATGCTGATGGGATTGGAATCCAAAAGCGACTTTGGGATTCTGGTGGCCAGTGGGATGCAGCTGTTGACGCATCATGCGGCCGATAGGAAACCGGGCAAATTCCATGTTGCACCAAATGAGAAAAGGAACTGAAAATAGCATTGCCAATATCATGTTACCCTTATACAAATCTACGATGCACCAAACTTTTAATACAGTATACAGCCCTGGTCACCTTACCTTTAAAGTAGTACTTCAGAAATTGAAACAGTGCAAAAAGACAACCAAACTGATCAGGGGACTGCAGCTGCTGCCCTGTATGGCCATTTAGACACATAGAAACTGAGCGAGTCAGAAGAGTCTCCCAGGCCATCTAGTCTGACCTCCGGCTCCACTCACGACACGCCCACCACGTGAATGTCCGTTTGAGCTTAGTAAAAAAGACAAAGGGAGACGTGGTACAGAATTCTGCGTGCCATGAAGAAAGCGAATAGGGTGATAGTCCTCCTCTCCGCAGTCCTAGAACCAGGCTGCTCCTGAGCTTTAATGGAGTTTCACAAGTGAAAAAAGTGCTTCTGTGCATGGCGCATAATCGAGCCATAGTTTGCTGCTGCACATTGTGACAGTGACCTGCTGGGTGGCTCTAGACAGAAGATCCACAGCCGCTGCATACCAGGTGCTGCCGTGGCATGTCATGCCTTCGGGTGCATGGAATGCTGGGATAGCCCGCTTCGTCCGACCCGGCGCAACCCTGGTCTTGAGCACGCAGCCAGCGGATGTTCCCGCCCAAGGCAGGGGCGGGGGCTGAGGAAAGCGCTCCCAGCATCGCCGGTCAAAACACTGTGCTGCTGTCTCTTTCTTCCTGAATGGAGTGTTGTGGAGGCAAACACAGAAGGAGCTGGGGGCAAAGGCAGGAGGGCTGCAGGTGGAGCGTCATGTTTGGACACGGTTCTGTGAGAGGAGTGGGGCCACTGCAAGCGGGAAACCTCACCTGGAAGCACCCAGAGCACGCCTTGCCCACACGCCCCAGAGGAAGCATTGCCCTGATCTGAACAAGCCAGCCGGGACCCCCTGGGGGACCATCCTTCAACTGGGCAGAGAAATAGATAAGGCACTGCTTATCTGTTGGCTGTTGCTTCCAACTGCTCTTTTTGTTTTTCAGTTTGTTTTCATACTGTGAGCAGAGAAATGAGTTTTGGGGTTTTACATCAAAATGGTGGAAATGTTGATCAAATGCTCTCACATTCATTTGCTTTTAAATGGCTTCTTTTTATAGCCTTTTTCCTACCTTTCTTTGGTGGGGGGCACTCTTGTTGCCTTCTCACATTTGATTGTTTGCATTTTAAGGATGTGGGCCAAGGATGAATTAGAAGGGGGTTATTTGATATCTGATGGACCACTAGACATTGCATTAGATGGAAGACTATTTGGGGCTCATTAGGAGTTACTTTTAAAACAGTCCTGATACTTCAGTTGGTATAGAATAGAGCAGCTAGACTGCTGTTTGGGACTGCTAGACAAGAGCGTATAATACTGGTCCTGTATGAACTCTGCTGGTTACCAGTTGAGATCCAGACCCAATATAAGGTGTTAACACTGAGGTTTAGGGCCTGGATATCTGAAGGAACCTCTCCTTCCATATTCATCTGCTCAGACCCTGATATCATCTGCAGGGGTCCTTCTCTGGGAGTCCTCTTTGAAAGAGGCTAGCAAGATTGCACCAGAAGGGCCTTCTCAGTGGTAGTGTCCTGACTGTGGAATCTGCTCCCCAGGGAGGTACTTTCAGTGCTGACTCTATTCATTTTGGCACCAGACTTAAAACCTTTTAATTTTTCCAGTATTTTAGCACTTGAATAGTTTTATTATATATTGTATAAATAGCACACTGCTTTTTATTGATGTGCAGTTTTGTTATCAGTATTGTCTTAATGTCTTCGTAAACTGTCATTGAAATATTGGCTGGCATATCGTTGCTTAAATACTGTCCCCGCTTTGCCCACCCTGGCCTTCCCTCTCCAGGTTTCCCTCTACAAATCGGTGCCAACACGACTGCTCTCCCGTGCCTGGGGACGCCTCAACAACGTCGAGCTGCCCACCTGGCTGCGGAAGCCGGTCCTCAGTCTGTACATCTGGACATTTGGGGTCAACATGAAGGAGGCAGCTGTGGAGGAGCTGCATCACTACAGGAACCTGAGTGAGTTCTTCCGGCGGAAGCTGAAGCCCCAGGCCCGTCCCGTCTGCGGCGTCCACAGTGTGGTAAGCGACAGGGACCTGGGAAGGGCGCGGTGCCTTTGGCAAGGTCTCGGGTCAGCGGGTGCTCGCGTGGCTCCGGGAGGGCAGGCGGAGCATCCCCTCTGCCCCAGGAGGAGCCAGGCCAGAGCAGGCCAACGCCCCTCCGGTCCAGCGTGTCTCCACGGAGTGGCCAGCCGGTTGTATCTGGGGAGCCCCCAAGCAGGACGGCTGCTACAGCACCCTCCCGCCCATGTTCCCCAGCGGCAGGTGTCCCTAGGCACACTGCTGCTGCTGTCACTGGGGGTGGCACGTGGCCACGAGGACCAGCAGTCCTGGCTAGCCTCCTCCTGCTCTCGTGTGTGGCCCTCCCTCAGGGCCATCCAGGTTTCACTTACCACTTTGAAACGGGTTTTGGGATTTGAAAAAACTCACTTTTGATGCATTAGTGCTACAGATTTAACCTGTTTTTTGCTCTTTTACTGCTGCTTGTTGTTTTAGTTTGACTTTTATTGCTCTATTTGTCCAGTAGTGGTATTTATAGAAAGCAGAATAAGATAAACTCAGTACTAGTAAAAGTTCATAGAATCATAGAATAGCAGAGTTGGAAGGCCCCATGAAGGCCACTGGGTCCAGCCCCCTGCTGTTGCAGGACACCAGTTTATACCATCCCACTCAGGTGGCTGTCCAGTTTCGCTTTGAATGTCTCTTGTGTGGGAGAGTCCCCCACCTCTCCAGGCAGCTGGTTCCACTGTCATTTCCCTCTCCTCTTTTCAATAGTAACAACATAAGAATTCTTTTTGTTTGCTTCCTCAAGATCAGCCCGTCGGATGGAAAGATCCTCAGCTTCGGACAGGTGAAGAACTGCGAAGTGGAGCAAGTAAAAGGCATCACATACTCTCTGGAGTCCTTCCTGGGTCCACCGGCCAACAAAGGACACCTGGAAAGCAAGCCCGGTCAGCCTCTTCCTGCTCCCCCACCAGCTTCCGGGTCCGGTGCCTCATCAGCAGGCTTGGTGCTTGCAGAGCAGGGTGGGGTCAGTGCCCTTAAGTCCGGCCCTTGTGTGTCAGGGCATGTCGGGTTTCCTCTTGGCTCCTCCTTCCACACGCTTCAGGTGCGCATGCATCCCCACGAGGGCGGCCAGTGGAGGGGCGGGCTGCACAGCACGGGGAGCGTGTGCCAGGCCCCACCTCCCTTCCGCCCTGCACGGTGGAGCACGTCCTCTCCTGGTCCCCCGAGTCAGCTCCTTACTGGCCTGAAGGTTTTGAACTGCGCATGCCTGCAGTGCTCCTGTTTCGCTCCGTATCTGAGAAAATGCTACCTCCCGTGGCGGTGATGCAGAGCACTGCTGCTGGCTGTGGGCTGACTGGAGGCTGCAGAGGGACAGGAGGCCCCGCACTAGTGGGAAAGGGGCGCCAGGGCAGGTGGCTCCGCCGCAGCCGTTGTTCTTTGAGCACCCACACGCGCCCGGGGGCTCTGGGCCTGTTGCAGGAAGGCTTCCAAGCCAGACTTGTTCTGGCAGGGCCCCCCTTCCCGCCCCTGGTCTGCCCCATTCCTCCGGTTCCATGCAGACTGACATTGTGGCCGCAGAACCAAGGGGAGGCCGGTGAATAGCCAACCCTGTGCTGAAAGGGCAACATAGAAACATAGAAAGAGAGCGAGTCAGAAGGGGTCTCCCGGGCCATCCAGTCTGACCTCCAGCACCAGCCGGCTCCGCTCATGGCACGGGAGCATGGGAGATGCTGGCCGACACTGATGTGGGGTTGTGGCTGCACGGACGGCCACCTGAAGGACGACGTGGCAGGCCAGCAACCCAGCTTCCCCTTCCTGCTCTCTGTGCATCACGCATGCAGGTTGGGAGGTGTCATCAGCAGAGGACTGCAGAGAGAGCTGTTCTGCAGAAGGACCACTCCGGCCAGGCACAGATGTTGAGGTGGACCATGCCGCTGCCTTGCATAGGTCCTGTGGGGCTGCCCGCATGCCGCACAGTAGAGGCCCCCATCGTCCTGGTCGAGTCTGGGCCGCTGCAGGAGTGGGAGCCCCTTCCCTGGTAGCCTGGCCTTCCTTCCATTTCCTTGCGTGCCCTTCTTTGGTTTTAGGTCACCTCCAGGCTTGCTGTGAAGCAACAACAGCTTGTTCTGTTGTCGTCGACCTTTGTCCCTGTCAGAACTGTGGGGTGTGCCTGCCAGTGAGCCCTGGCCTGCCTTGGCTGTGGGTGAGCAGCGTGGCAGGCTGTGTTGCTTGCGGTGGCAAAAGGGTCGGAAGACGATGCACCCTCGGTCTGGAATAGATCTATGAGCACTGTGCGGTTCGTCTCCCCTTGGGGGACCCCTTTGACCCGTCTGCTGAGAATCTGCCGTGAGCTTGGCTGCCCCAGCCAGGCGTGTGGCGATGAGGGTGATGCCTCTCAAGATGCGCTGGCCCCCGCTTTCCTCCCCTGCCATGCTTTGGAAGCAGTTGTGTTAGTGTGTCGCACGCCTTTAAAGCACATGCCTGCGGCCCTTCAGAGCCAAAAGCCGCCAAGCCAGCGGCTGGCTTCTTCCCTGGGCTCTCCCTGGCGGCGTGTGTGGGCTGCCCCTGAAGGCGGATCCTTCTCTCGGTGCCTTCCAGCCTCCCGCAGCGGCTCGTTCCAGAAGCAGCTGGTCACGAAGGACGGCAACGAGCTCTACCACTGCGTGATCTACCTGGCGCCTGGGGACTACCACTGCTTCCACTCGCCCACGGACTGGAAGGTGTCTCATCGGCGCCACTTCCCAGGTAGGCCTGATTTCCGGGGATGGGGGCAGCACAAGCAGGTGTGCGCTTCGGCCGCTCTGCGTTTTAATATTCGTCAGTATAGAATGTAGACTCTCCCCGGTGATTGGATGGTTGGTTTTCCAGACATTAATTCACAACGAACTACAGCCCCACACTGCTCAGAAAGAGTGTGCAGATGCAGCACCTGGGCAGAAATAGCACTGTGGGCCCACAGTGTTGAACCCGCACACACAGGCCCTCCAGGATCTGTTACCGTGGCAAAATGCAGAGTATTCATCAGGCTGCTCCACTTCTCTAATTGGTGTAGCTCTTTGTCCTTTGCATGATAAATTGCACCCTCTGGACAGCTGTTCAGGGGTGGGTTCTCCTGTAAACAAGACTCTTGCTTGTCTTGGACACTATGGTCCGTCCAGTTCTCTGCTCGCGGCCTGTTGCAAGCTCCTACGAGCAGGGGCTACTGTTTGCTTTGTAAACGAGGGCTGATGCAGGAAGGGGGCCAGCGGCAGAGCAGAGGCGAGGCCACAGGCAGAGCTTGTCCTGACGCTCGCAGAACTCAAAACAAGTGCTAGCTGGAGTCAGACATCTTGGAGGCCACGTCGTGTTGCCCTGCCGGGCCCATTTTCTTGCCGAGGGGATTCTGCAGGACTCGTATGCTCAGGAGTTCTGCTCCCATTTTGAAAAGTGTGTGTTGGGGGTGGGGGGAGCCAGCCATGAGCCAGGGGAAGATTCCAAATCAGAACTCCGGGCCTTGGTGGCACCTGACTCTGAGGATGAGCAAGGCCTTCCCACCTCAGCCTTTCCTGCCTGGCAGGGTGCGCTTGCAGAGACTCCTGCATTGAACAAGTTAGCTTTAAAAAACACCACCATCCCAGGGCTCTCAGATTCTTATCTCTGGAAGGTTCCAAAGGAGAAGTAGCAGTAATCACACTTAGAAAAAGCTGTTGTTTTCCTCTCACCCTGCCCTGCCCTTCATTAACTTACTATAAAATATTACATCCCTTTCAGTTTGAGGTTGCCATGGCGTGTCTCCACTTGTGCATTTTCACTCTCCAGTCCAAATGCTTCCATGTCTTAATGCAGCAAAGCTAAACTCCGTCGCAGCATCTCCCTTCAGCCTTGTCAGGGCCTGCAGCTGGCACATGGGCAGCCACAGACAAGAGCAGGGCCACGGAGACCGCCGCTCCTTGGGGGCAGGACTTCAGGAAAGGCGGAGGCCAAATGCTTGCTTTAACGGAGAGGCCCTGTTGTAGTCACGGTACGGGCTGAGGTCAGGAGCCAGAAGAATGCATGAGGGCAGAACAAGGACGGGGTCAGGAACAAGCCAGGATGACAGGGCAGGGGACACGGCATGGCAGGATATGCAAGGCAGAAGGGCCAGAGGCAGCAAAGGTCTGCAGGAGGCCCTGCCTTGCTGAGGCGATACGGTGAGGCAGGATCAGTGAGGTGGGTCAGGCAAGAGGCAGCCAACCGATGAACCTGTGCTGCTGAGGCGACATGGCAAGGCAGGAGACAGAGCAGGAACCAGGAGCAGAAGCGCGAGAGGGAGAGGTCGGGCAGGACGCAGGCGCAGCTGCAGCAAACCGGAGGACCTGTGCTGTGGAGGTCACATAGAAACTGAGCGAGTCAGATGGGGCCTGCCGGGCCATCCAGTCTGACCCCCACTCCAGCCGGCTCCAGTCACGATAGGCCTACCATGTGCATGTCCAGCCTATCTTTGAACGCCCTCACCAATGGGGCCTTAACCTCTCGTGGAAGCCCATCCCATTCCTCTGCAGGGGAGAACAGGTCTCTCCCCACCTCCTCTGACACCCCCTCACATGCCTGTATGTCGCCAACAGATCCCCTCGGAGTCTCCTCTTCTCCAGGCTGAAGAGATCCAGTTCCCTCAGTCTCGCCTCATACGGCATCCCCTGCAAACCGGCCACCAACCTTGTGGCCCTGCGCTGCACTGACTCCAACCTGGCTATATCCTTCTTGTAATGAGGGGCCCAGAACTGAGCACAGTACTCCAGTTGCGGGTGCACCAGAGTCGTGTAGAGTGGCAGTAATACCTCTCTCGATCTAGAAGCCACACTTCTGGCTATGCAACCAAGCCAGGGGCAGGGCAGCCAGGCAAGCTGCAGGCGCTGCAGCTGAAGGAGGCCAGTCCTTGAGGGGAGAGCTGGCTCTTGAATGGCTCTTCCCCCAGGGCTGCCAGCTGACGCTGCTCAGCAGACCGAGGGCTCCCGCAGGACCTGGGACCGATCTGGCAAGTGTGCTGGTGGCTGCTCTGGTTCTGGCCCCCAGAGCAGCCCAGGCCCTTCCCAGGAGAGGAACAAGGCTCTGCACGTTTCTGTTTGCTCCCCACAGGTTCACTGATGTCTGTCAACCCAGGAGTTGCTCGCTGGATCAAAGAACTGTTTTGCCATAATGAGCGTGTCGTCCTCACAGGCTGCTGGAAGCATGGGTTTTTTTCACTGACAGCAGTGGGGGCCCAAAATGTGGGGTCAATCCGCATCTATTTTGACCAGGTGAGTGGGCTCTTTTGAGTCCTGTTTTACAGGTGGGGAGTGGCACGATTCAGCGTGTGGGGTGAGCTTGGCATGCTGGGTTGGAAGTGAACGGATTTTTTAACCACAGAGCCAGCACGGGCAGCTGCTCTCCCGGGTCCTCAGGCCTGCAGTCTCTTAAGAGCCATCTGCCTGCTACCCAGGAAGAGGCCACGGTGCAGGGGGAGCACCTCTCCTGGCTGCCAGGTCCCAGCCCTGGCATCTCCAGTTGAGAACAGCTTTCGGGGAGCAGGTGAAGGCCTGGAGCCGGCCAGGGGGGCCACCAGTTTGGCCTGGGGTGGAGCAGCTCCATATTTTTAGGAAGGTGTTTGGGTGGTCATAGCAGTTCCTGGTCCGTAAGGCACAGGAAGAGGGCTGGAAACCCTGCTCCAGAGCGAGATCCTGGAAGCAAGGGTTTTCTGCACAGCTGGGTGGCGGCATCAGTCTCCTCCTCCCTGCTGCTGGCAGCCTGGGACCGGGGCAGGGAAGTCAGCCCAGCTGCCTGACACGAGGGGCTGGGTCTTGGCAACGGCTGTGATGCTGATCTGTTATGGCCAGGAGGCGCTTGAGGGAAGGGCCATGAAAGTGGGATGGACTGGGCACCCCCCCACTTAACCACAAATGGCTGCATGAGCTGAAGAGTGGCTGACCCAACATGGCCTCCTTGCAGGGCTGCCCCCAGTTCCAGCACGGAGGGATGCGCCCTTTGCCCGGAGCGCCCGAGTCACAGCCCTTTGCTTTTCTGTCTGTGCAGGACCTGCATACAAACAGCCCCCGTTACAGCAAAGGCTCCTACAATGACTGCAGCTTCACAAACAGCAACAACCACGAAGGCATCTGCATGAGAAAGGGAGAGCATTTGGGAGAGTTTAATCTAGGCTCAACTATTGTTTTGATCTTTGAAGCGCCGAAGGACTTTAATTTCTATGTGAAGCTTGGCCAGAAAATCCGGTTTGGAGAGGCCCTGGGCTCTCTCTAGAAACTTCCCTGCCAGGTGGGGTGAGGGTGTTTTCTCTGCAGTGGGACTCAGTTTGTACAGGGACATTTCTCCGAGGTGGAATATTGCTCAGCAGGACCTGAGTGAGGAAAGAGAGGGACCCTCCGCCCCCCAGTTCTTAACATGGCGAGCTAGTACATTCCCACCACGAGAAGTGCAGCTGTGCCAGGTGCCGTGGCCTTTCGGGATGCTGACCGGGGTGATGCCTTCCTCCTCGCTCTGCAGCCTCCCCACCAGCTCTGCACAGATCCACGATGTCTGTGTGGAGGCCCTCTTAGGCCTGCAGCCTGAGGCAGGACGGGAAGCAGTAAACACTCTTCTTTCAAGGGACACCAGCAGATTGGCCATATTTCCAAGTTACATTTCCCTTCCACCTGTTCTCCAGTTACCTGTTCTGGTTCCTATACCAGCCACAGCAGTCCAGTGTCAAAGCAAGGTCTGATTATGCAGAGCAAATAAGCAAAAGTTCATTGCTTTCAATACTGGTAAAAATCTTGTTCTCTCCCTTTAAAGTAGACATTTTTACTGTATTTTAAATCTCCAACACTGCGTCCACATTCCGTATCTTAGGAATTCTTGGGTGTTTTTCTTTGCTTTTAGGAAGTCTGCTTCAATTGTTGTACCTCTCTTCAAACCAGTCATTTGGTTTTGTTATTCTGGGCCTTAATGTTTTGTATAGGAGATAGGCAATCTCCTTTGCCAAGCTCGGGTCATGAAAAATATGCACAATTTAACTTCTTTGTGCAAAGGCGGGTGGGGGGAGATCTCTTGCTGCTGGAAAGGGCTTGCGTTTATTCCCCTTCACTGTGCAGCTGCTGCTGAGTTGCCATGACCTGGAGAAGGGAGAAAGTTTGTGTCTGCCCTGGACTCATTAAAAAACCCCCCTGAAAATATGCAGAACTCAAATGGCTATAGGATGGACAATTAAAGAACTATTTTGGAACTTCTGAACAATTCTTTTCAACTCATGTGCACTAACATTTTTTACTCTTTACTGAACTTGCAAGATGCTTATGTGACTGACTTTAGAAAGCCAAATGTGCCCAGAAACCAAGTCACGGGGTCCTAAAGCCTCATCCCGCTTCTCCTCTGATGGCGTCAACGGCAGGAGGAGTGCGCGGCTGTGTAGACAACAGGCGCTTTGCACCCATGAGCCATTTTTCTGGAGGGGACTCAGCTACTCTTGCCAAAGCGGTGATGGGAGCAGAGATTCCCTCATTTATAACTGTGCTCATAATGGATTTGTCTTTAGACTCAATCGATCATGGATGCAGCTCAGGCGAGTGTTCAGCTTGCCCAGAACACCCCTCACATGCGATGTGCTCTCTCTGCTGTGGCGCTGTGTCTGCATGCACTCACCAGTGCACACCCTCTGACCAAAACAGCTCCTGCTCTGAGTGGCACCTGTTACAGTGAGCAAAGCGATGGCAACAGTGTGCACAGGGTGCCCGCTACAACAGGACTGAGTTCCTCAGGGCGAGCAGGCAGCTCGAAGCTCAAGTCTGTATGACAGCAGCCCTGTCATTGTGCCACGACCGACGAAAGGCCAGGCATCCGCCCGTGTGATGGCTGGCTGGTCCCTCGCAGCCTCCAGGTGGGTTGCCTAACCTACACCCTGTTCTGTCCAGCCCTAGAATATACTGGGTGAGCACAGCCGCCTTCTCGGAGCCTCTAGAAGGGAAGCTGCACTTGAGTTGGCTGTCACGAAGCGGCTCTTGTGCCAGCTGTCAGGCTTGCTCCCCCAGTGCAGGGCAATTCACCAGCTGGCTCCAGGGAGGCTGCCTTGCCGGCACCACTTGGTGTTGTCCTTTCTCAGCCTCCGCTTGATGGGAGGAGGTGCTGCTGCTTGTTCACTGCAAGAGTGGCCTTCTGGGTCTGGACCGTGTTCTGTAGAGAACTTGGGAGTGGGCAACAGCTGTGAGCCACAGCCGGTCACGCTGGCCCTAAACCACTGGGAAAGGTTTCTGGATAACGCTGCGAGTTTTTCCTGCACAGAGGAGCCGTTTAATTATTCAACTGTATCAGTAGCACAGTATTTTTCTATGTCAAACTGTACAACTTACAGACATTAACATTAATTACAAATGTTTTAAAATAAAAACAAATGCCCTACCATGCCTGTTTTTTAGAGAGAGTTTAAAAATTTGATTGCAGCAAGAGATGTCTTATTTGTGTAGTGCAATCCTTTATTTGTCTATGCAGAAGCAAGGCCTTCCCCCCATATTCAATACGACGTCTTCCTGCACTTATGTAGGGCTGCAGTCTTAGCCAGTGTTTACGAACCTGCAGAAGGTGGCTGCCCTCACCCTCCCAAGAACCCCATCCTCCCACTGCATGAACGTCTAGATGTCAAGAGCAGCTCGGATGTCCTGGACACGGCTGATGAAGCTCCGCATCTGCCGCCGCTCTTCTCCCAGCACGTGTATTAGGGAGTCGGTCTGCACCTTCAGCTGCAACACGACGGGAATGCCATGTTTAAGGGGCCATCTGGGTTAGGCCTCTGCGAAAGATGGCAGTCTGCAACTTAGAGAACTTACGTCTAGCTTCTCTACTCCAAATTTATTTAAAATATTTATATGCCACCTATCATGCCCATGGCATCTCGAGGCAGCTAACAAGCACTTGGGCAATGAGCAACAGGAAGCAAAATGCGCATAAAATTCATGCTTCAAACAGTGAGAGTAAATACTGGGTGCCTCCAATTCAAGCCTAGCTGCCGAAGGGAACAAACCTTAAACTGCTTCCGAGCGGGTTGGGCCAGTGAGGGTGATGCCTGGGTGGCTTCCCACAAGGAGTGACAAAAAGTACTTACTTTGTTGCCACCCAGTTTCGGTCTAAAAGTGTTTTGGAACCATTGGGAACCACCAAGGGCTCTCTGGCTATTGGGCACTTGCACGCACTTGCAAAGAGAGGGACCAGTTTTCCATTCCAGAGTTCCTAAAGCCAGCACATCTGCTTGTGACTATGCCATGATTGCTGATGTGATATGAGGAAGGAGCAGAAGGCCTGAGAAAGCAGAGCCCCAAATACTGGATTTTTTTGGTACTGGAGGACTTGATTACCAACCAAAGTCCTTCTCAACTAAGTAATAGAATCGATCATCTACTTGAACGCCAAGGTAGCCATTCCTAAAATTGTTCCAATTGTGGTATGCTTTAAAAACTTTGGCCACCAAATTTTCACTAAGCAAATCCTGAGTTGGGAAAAGTGGAATGTTCCCAGCAACCCATGGGCACAGAGTGGCTTGCCTCGTCACGGATGCCTGGGCGGGCAGCACCCCACCCTCTCAGATCCCCCTAATCCAATTCGGTGCCCAGCCCACCGCCACAAGCCGCGTCCTTGCTGGCCAAACCAAGCGTGTGTCCTTGGTGTCACTTCCGCTCCACGTTTCTTTTCTGCAGCTTGCTTGTCTTCCCATGACCTCATGTGTGGGACTGCCACTCCCATCATTCCCAGCTAACATGGGCAAGCTGGTTGGCAAAAGGGGGCTTACATGACCGCACTCTGCAGCTGTACTGCCCTCCCACACAGTAGTGCTGGGACAGCCCCACACGCGTACCCGATCCAGCTGCTCGCGCACTTGCTGCTCCTCAGCCGGCTCCTCAGCCCCCGTCCTCATCTCCAGCCACTTGCAGAGGATACGCTCTCGTCGCTGGCAGGACCTGCAGGAAGGCGACACATTCCCTGCCTTGATGGAAGAGCGGCTGCAAAAGGGAAAGGGGGCTGTCGGACTCGCCCCACCAGCCTCCTCCTGAGCACTTCCGCCATGTGCTTGGGGGCGGACTCCGCCGTCGTCTCCATGCAGCACCCGCAGGCTCGGCCCCCACGCGGGGCCTGCTGGCAAGAGGATTTCTGAGCTGGGCTCATTCGGCTGGGATGTGGTCCCCCCACCCCCAGCCACTGGTAGATCCGAGGGGGTCCCTGCCCTTTTCCTCAGTTCTCTTCCAACTGCCCCTGTGAGTGCCCCAGGATTTCCCTCTAGCAGCATCTTTGACGTTTTTCTCAATTCATTGCTATTGCTCTTTTCTTGCTCACTTCCCAACTTTTACCCTAACTTACCCTTTCCAATATATAATCAAAAAGCACCCCAAGGAGCAAGCCCTTCTGCCATCCGTCTCTCCAGCGCCCCTACCCCATTCCTTGTCCATCTCCTTCCCTGAGGGCACCCAGGGTGCGGTTTTGGAGGTTTGTGAACTGTCAGCTGCCCCTCCCCTGCTCTCTGTGCCTCTTCTGCCTTGGGGGGGGGGGGGCCTTGCGGAACCTCCCTGTACTGTCAGGCCTTCACTAAGCAGGCCTAAAAAACACGCCAGAAGACTTCAGGCCAAGCTTTGGAGCCGCACCTTTCAGGCCACAGATGCAGTGCCACTGCATCCACTGGGCCTGTGCCACGCCTGCCCTGGGGGCTGCAGGGCCTCCTCCAGCTGCAGCCATCTGGTCCAGGGTGCTCAGGCAAGGCCTGGTGGGCTTTGAAGACGGCAGACGTGGGGAAGCCCAAGCATGAGGAGACCTCATTCTCCATCGGCACCAAGGGTGCCTGCACACACACCAGAGGCAACCCCACCGCAGCCTGTTCCAGCCGTGGAAGCAGCATCAGCGATGCTGAGATTCCGGATTCACTGCAGTGCACACCCAACTGCCCACCCCCCGGGGTTGCTCCTGCAAGGGTGCTGCTTCCGTTGCCACACCGAGGGACATCGTTGCTGTGCCCCACACAGGACTGCAGCCTTTCTCTTGGCACCATCTTGTGCCTCCAAGCGATGTCCATGCAGTCGTTCCAGCCCCCCACTTGCTGCCTGGGGCCAAAGGGCTCCCTGGCTGACTCCATCATCCTGCCCACCGGACCAAGAGAAGGGCATGTTTCCTGGCCCATGGCCCTGACCGGTCGCTCTAAACTGCCACTACGACCACCTGGGTTACCAAATTGAAGGGCAAGCTGTGAGGACCGGGGCACAGGCAGCTGATGTGGGGGGGGGGGGCAGGCAAGTGCAAGGACCAGGGTGCTGGGCTCCACAGCTCAGTAGTGCTCAAGGCTGAAGCGTGGCCAACAGTCCAGGGCCAGAGCTGAGGCAGCAGGCAGGCTGACAGTACAAGAGAGCACAATCCAGGAACTGTCCAGCAGCCAAACGCCAGGCAGGCAGCCACACAAAGGTGGTCAAGGTGGAGGAGTGAGCCACTGGGACAGACAGGAGCGGGGTGGCCGAGGCCATCGCGCTGGCCTGCCGGCTCGCAGGACTGCCGCTCCCCGAGCGGCCCAGAGCACCCATGGCCAGGGCGGTGGCGACCTCGACGTCGCTGCAGGCAGACATCCCTCCACCCCATCCGTCGGCCCGCGGCAGGCTCTACCGACTGGACCTCTTGCCAGGCAAGGCTGCTCCTTCGGCAGAGCAGTTCTCTCCATGGTCCTCCTCTTTGATGGTGCCCGCCCGCCTCTGACTTGAGGCGAGCTCACTAGGCACCCATGGGTGTGATGCACGGAGAGCACGAAGGAAGGAAGGAAGGAAGGAAGGAAGGAAGGAAGGAAGGAAGGAAGGAAGTTGGGTGGGTTCCTGGTGACTTGTTTTTCAAGTGGCCATTGCAGAACCCACCCACAAACCTCACGGTGGTGCCAGCCAGCTCAGGCACCAGGTAGCCTCTCCCATCCCGTGCCTCTGGGTATGCGGTTGGTCATTCACCTGCTTCCCCTTGGTTCCAAAGCAACAATGTTGGTCTCCACAGATTTGCAGAAAGGGGTGGGAGCCCCTCCTACATATGTGAGAAGGGAGGGGGCTTCCACCACCAGACCGAGTCTAGCCTGGAAGTCTTCCTGACAACAGGCATGTGTGAATGCACAGAGGACCACCTGAAGAACAGCAGTTATGGGTCAGCAACCTGCCTGTTTCCTGCTGTGAGCTTTGAGCAACTCCTATCACCCTTTTCCTTCTCTGCTCATCACTCAATTAGTTCTTACAACGGCCCTCTGCACATACCCTGCTCTATCCAGGCAGGCACGCTGGTTGCTCCCCCTTGGCGAGGTGCATCCAGCCGACCTGCCCCCCGACACCTGCACAGACTTCGCTAAACAGGCGGAGGGACACTGGGGGACCCAACCTGTGTGAAGGCTTGGAAGCGGCCATCTAATGCTGCCGCCCGTGAGCCGCCAGGCCACCTGCCCCACCACGGGGAGCCACTGTCCCTGGGGGGAGCCTATTTGGCACAAGGGCCGGCCCCCGCTCCCCAGGTGCTCAGCAAGCACACGAGCCGGTCTAAGCTACGGCTCTGTTCACTGCCAGGCTGCAGCAGCGCAGCCGGGATGCCGCCAGCCCTCCCTTTTCTGGGTGAGTCAGGAGCAGCAGAGAGCCACCTGCGCAGCCTCTCTGGGGTCCCGCCGTGCCCTCCATTTGCCCTGAAGCCCCCAACCCAGAGACAGGCTGTGGCGACGGGCCGGGAGGGACATGCCCATGTCAGCCGCCCCAAGTCCAGCGAGGCTTCTCTGGCCTGCCCGCTCGTCCACGAGGGAGGCTGTGTACCCCAGTGAGGACGGCCCTTGGCTACCCACCGGAGCTCCTGCTGCTTGTGGCGGAAGCACTGCATCCTATGGCCAATACACTGGAGCTCAGCTTCCAGCTGCCTGTGACCTGCAGCCTCCCCGGGGAACCTGCCTGTTGGCTGCCCCCGTCCTTCGGTTCCTGAAATCAAACGCAGACATGAGTCTGAGCTTCGGAGCCTTTGCTCCGTGTCACTGCATGAAGCAGCGCCCCCAGAATCTCGCCACGGTTTGAGGGCAGGCGCTGCCACCCAGGGACGGGGGGAGGAGTGGCAGGGCAGGCACCTCCCAGGCAGTGGGATGGCCAACCCAATCCGCCCTGGGGGCAGCTCTGGCCAAAGTGCCCCTCCTCCTTCTCGAGGCGTAGCTGGAGCAGGCAGCCCCCTGCCTTGGTGAAGCAGAGGGGTGGTCAGTGCTTCTCGGCAGCATGGGAGCCCCTGCACCCGGGGCCCGCGGAGGCGGCCAGTGCCGGCCATGTTACCTGGGACTCTGGGGGGAGGGCTTGCGCTCCCCGCGGCATCTTCGGGTGTGAGCAAAGCCGCCCGGGAGCTCGCTGCCTCCCCCGCCCCACGACGGGCTGCGGCGAGAGGCCTTGCGGAAAGCTGCCCAGATGGAGGGCCCAACGGTGCCACCTGGAAGGCAGGAGGATCGGGGGTACGTGGGCATTCACTCGCAGAGCTGTGCAGCTGGCCGGGAGACAGGCTGCAGGACCCAGCACCTGAGCGCTCCTGGCAGGGGGCACGGTGTGGCCTTTGCGGGAGCTCTCCAGACACGCTGGGCGGATGGGTGCTGCGTTGGATTTTTTGGGGGGGAACCTGCATGCCAGGCAACCCCACTTCAGAGCGGCAGCCCCCAGCTCCCAGGTGCAGCCTGCACTGAGGCAGACCCTGCCTGGGGCTCGGGCGGGCCAGGTGGACTGCCCCCCGCTGCCAGGCGGCACAGCAGGGCGCGTCGGCTGGCCTTGGGCCGGCAAAACTCACCACTTCTGGCCTGAGGGAGGCAAGGGGCCACAGCCCCGGCCCTCCACAGGCTGGGCTGCACTGCCCGGGGCCCAGTCGGGGCGGCATTGTGGACTGAGGCAAGGCAGGGGCTGAGGGGCCGCTTGGGGCGGCGGGCAGCATGGCTACAGCTGGGGCAGGCAGCTTGCTCGGAGTGGCTTGCGGCAGAAGCCCGGGCTGGCCCTCCAGTCTAGAAGAGAACAAGAACGACCAAGGCCGGATTCGTTACAGCCCCTGGATTGTCCTTTGCTGATAGAAGGCAAGTCGGAAAAGCAGTTGCAAAGGAGCCTGCCGAGAGTCCCTCGGACCATCATCCCGCGGCACCCGCACAGGGGCCAGGGGCTATCCCGGCTCGCCTTCCTTCTGCGCCTCGGATGACCAGCCTGAGGGGGCAGCCCCACAGGGGCCCATGGCGGGGAAAGAGCAGGCGGCCCTAGTTCCGGCAGGGCCCCCATTCCCGTGGGAAGGGCGCGGGGGTACCTACCCCTCCCCGGCAGCCCCGGGAGTGCCCGTTCCCTCCAGAAACAGCGGCAGGACACCCAGTCTGCGTGGCTGCAGCCTTGCCCGGCGGGCCGTACACCTGGGGAGAGGCAGCGGGGAGCACTGGGGTGCTGCAGCGGGGAGCCCCCGGCCTGCAGCACGCACCGTGATGGCCCTGCCTCCCTGGCCCCTCCCCTTCTCCCGCCATCCCCACTGCCCCAGGATGGCGCTACTCCAGTGGGGGAAAGGAGCTGCCGGGAGCGTCACTGCTCTGAGCCGGGTTTCTGCCCGCCCTTCCAGAGCAGCTTCTGTCTTTCGACAACAGCTCTGCATCCGGCAGTGCCCTTTCAGGAAGCACCACCTACCGAAGGTGAGTCTCTGAGCATGCGCAGAGCACTTCACTGACCCCAATCTAGCAACTACTTCTGAGAGTATCCTCCTTGCAAGTTCTTGGGGGCCCTCCCCCGGATGCCCATGTTGGAGGCAGGCCAGCCTCTTCGCTGCCCATCAACTGCCCCATTCAGGGCAATCCTGCCTCTCACACCTCGAGTGCCCCACGCATGCCAGGAATAACTGCCCCCTTCGCTCCCAACATTCACAAGGATGTGTAGAAAGACTCTGGGGACTGGAGTGTCCTGGACAAGGCGGAAAGGCCACGAGCTGCCCTCCCGCCCACCACGCGCTCTCGGGAGAGCCCAGGGGAAGGCGAAGAACAGCGTTTGCCTCAGGCTCCCTCCTGCCCTGCACAAGCCGTTCTCTTCCGCAGGCCTCCTCCAAGCACAGCACCCTCGCCTGGTGGGGCGGACCCGCCCAAAGCCCCAGAGAGGCCTGGCCGAGGCCGGTGCTGGTGCGGCCGGGCTGGGCTGGATGGACCCCGGCTCCAGGCGGTGGGTGCCGATGCCCAGGGACACAGGTCGCTTCTCTAAGGAAGCAGGAGGGCTGCTTTGTCCCAGGGGCCCTCACTTCGAGTGGGACCCCCAGGGCACTGGGCTGCAGCTACCATGGAAGGTGGGGCACTGGCACACTCCAGTCTCCTCCCCACGTCGTGGTCACACCCCCCACCCCTGGGCAGTGGTAGGGAGGAGACACGGCTGACCAGAGGAGGGAGGCGGGAGGCGGGGAAGGCCTTGGGCAGAGGGCTGTCCCCCCGGCCTCCTGCGGCAGCTCCTCGCCCAGAGGTCTGTTCCCCACTGGAAAGAGCTGCAGCTCCAGGCTCCCCAGTGGCTTCACAGTGCCAGCGGCTCGGCCCTTGCCTGGCGCCAGCGTGGGCAGCCCTTGGGTGGCTCCTGGGCTCATGGGAGACTGACCGGGGCGCTCCAGCAGCCGGGCAGCTTGGCGGCTTTGTCTACTCACAGCTCAGTCAGGACGGCGTCGCCGGCAGCCCAGAGGGGGGGTGGATGGTCACGTCGGGCAGGCTGTGGCACGCCAGCCAGGCCCGCGTGGTCTCCGGGGTCTCCCCCGGGGCTGGAGCCCGCGGGCAACGTGGCCCCCTGGAACACCGCCTGCTCCGTGCAAGGGGCCCCGGCTGGGCGCGAGGGAAGGCTCCTTTGGCCCAGAGCCCGCCACTTCCAGCGCTGGGCGCAGCGAGCGACTGCCTGCTGATGGCGGCAGGCGACCTGGAAGGCAAGGGGCGGCCGTTGGCAGGCGGAGGATCGGCAGGCCGAGGAGGCGGCCAGTCTCCGCCGCCCACTCCCAGGAAGGGCCGACCCGGCGAGCGGCTTCCTTGGATCTACGAAAAAGCCACCTGCGACTCAACGGGCACAACCACTTGTCACTGCGGGGGCTCCAAGGGAAGTGCAGGGCAGCTTTCAGAATCACACTGAACAGTTCAGCTGTAACACAATCCGGGACGAGAACATTCGCAACAGCGGGACATCAAAACGCAACTTAAAAGGCAAAGGGAAACGGCGTCTCCAGGCCTGGCCCGTTCTCACGGGGGAGCATCGCACAGGCTCTGTGCACACACCCGGCAAGCCGGCCTCTGGAGCCTCTTCTGAGGATGAGGATGAGGGGCCGCCCCCACCCGGGGACGAGGGCCCCGGGGCATGCCCCACAGCAGCAGCACATTCCAGTTCGGGGGCGTGGGCAAAAGCCCCTTCACGGATGCCCCCCAGATGGGCCCCGCTCGCAGGGGGGGCTCCAGGAGCCGCGGCCCTGCCCCTGCTCACAACCAAGAGGGTGCCCAGCAAGACAGGAGACCCCTTGGATGGCCTGGTCCCAAGTTCAGAGTGGGAAAGTTAATATGGACACCGTGGATGATGCCAGGAGGGTACTTCAGGAGAGGTGGGCTGCAGTGGGCCATCACGTCCCATTCTGGACGCTTTGCAGGCCTCCTCCACGGAAGTGTGCGTTGCAGTCGCGGCGGAGTGCCGCACTCTTTCTGGTCCATTTGCGGAGAGGGCAACAGCTAGCCTCAGAATGGCCTCCTCCTCCAAGACTGGGAAGCCCATCTCCCAGGGGGCAAAGCGGGGGGAAAGCAAGGGGGGCTTCCAGATACCCCAGTTAAAGCAGCAGCCTGCCAAGACAACCAAACCAAGGGCCACGGGGCCCAGGCAGAGGTACACTGCCAAAGCACCTCGCCAAGCCTGCTTGCCCCTGCTAAGGCGACAGTTGCTGCGCCAACCACCCGGCACCCCCCAGTCCGAGGGGGGCCCACATCACAGAGAATCAGGAGCACAGGATGGGTGGAGCTGTCCTACCAGACGAGCCCCTACTCTGGGTATGAAGAAGGGAGGACTGAGCCTCGCCCAAGACAGCAGCCACAGTGAGGTGTTCCTTCCTGCGAGAGGAACAGAATCGCTCAGGTAGCAGCAGCTGCCCTCCACACAGCACAGGATGTAAGTGCTGCTGAGCCAGTGGGAATCAGTGACCACGGTGGTGTCAGACGTAGCATACAGTCAGGTGAGGACAGCTGAAGAGGCCGAAGATAATTGTGTTTGACTTCAAAATCAGAAACTGGAAAAGAAGCAGCTGAAGAACGGAATCCAGAGGTTTGAATTGCTTCAAAGCACTTGGCGCTTCCTCAGAAACACTGTAATAGAGGCGCTGGTAATGTACATACCCTGTGAGGGAAGGTAGCGCAAAGTTGGGGAAATCACTAGCATGGCTAACACATTGAGTGGAGGAAGCGACTGGAAAAAGCTTCCTTCAAAAAGGGGAAGTCTTGCCCAAATTGGGGGGGGGGGGGGACCACAGCCTTGCAAGAAGGTAATCACAGAAACAAGGAAGCAATTTGAGAAGCACATAGCTAACGAGATCAAGGCCAAGCACAAGGAGTTCTTGAAGGACATCAAAAGAAAGGCAGCAGCTAACAAGCCGCTGGACCATTGCACAATAATGGGATTAATGGAGCACTAAGCGGGGACAAGGAGATTGCAAAGAAGCCGGACAAATCCTTTCCATCAGTCCTCACAGCAGAGGATGCAGAGCAGGCCTTGTCCCTGAGCTGATGCACTCTGGAAGGGAGTCTGAGGAGTTTGGGCAGATAGCCATGACAAAATATGAAACTCTCAAGCTTACTGACTAAATGAAAATCAGCAAGTCACCCAGTCCGGACAGGATCCATCCTAGAGCACTTAAAGCAGGGCTCCTCAAACTGCGGCCCTCAGGCTGGATCCAGCCCGCCATGCCCATTTATCAGAGGTTTGGGACTCCCCACGCCCCCCGCCCTCCGCCTTGCCACGCACATGCTCAGGGATCGTTTTGGACTCGCTTGGAGAAAATGATCCCCGAGCGAGCAAGCTGGCTCTGCCCCCGCCTCACTGTGCGCGCGGCCAGGCAGTGGCTTGCTCACTCGGAGATGGTTTAGGACTTGCTCAGAGAAGCAGCTGCTGGTCGCCTCCTCCCTCATGGATCTGCCCAGATCCCCGTGGCAGCAAAGCCGATCTGTCCATCCTTTCATTTGCCCTAAACTTCCCACCAGGGAGCTTCATGGGATGATGCCCCTGGGCTAGAGAAAAATGTCTCCCTGTCCACACCATGCGATAGTTTAACCACCCCCAAGTCTGCCCTTACTCCTCCTCTAAGCTATGTGGTAGCCGTTCCTCACTGGCGGGGGGGGGGTGCTCCAGCCCCCTGACCGTCCTCGCCACCCTTCGCTGTTTCCAACTCAGCAATGCCCTTTTTCAGGTGAGATGACCAGAACGGAACATGACATTTCAAGTGTGGTCACAGCACAGATCTGCACAAGGGAACCTCTATTTGGCAGTTCTATGTCTACGCCCCCCTTCGTGGATCACTGCCTTGCCCTGGCGAAGGGGCTTGCGTAGCTCAATGAAGCTCTGAGCTGTGCCATGCAGGGCCACCCAAGACGGACAGGTCATAGCAGAGAGCTCTCACAAAAGGTGATCCACTAGAGGAGGGAATGGCAGCCCACTCCAGTACCCTTGCCATGAAAACCCCATGGACAGTACCAAAAGGCAAAAAGATATGAAACCGGAAGATGAGCCCCTCAGGTCAGAAGGTGTCCAATATGCTACTGGGGAAGAGCAGAGGGCTAGTACTAGTAGTGCCAGAAAGGATGAAGCGACTGGGCCAAAGCCGAAAGGACACTCAGTTGCTGATGTATCTGGTGGTGAAAGGAGAGTCCGATGCTGCAAAGACCTATACTCCATAGGAACCTGGAATATAAGATCCATGAATCAAGGCAAGCTGGATGTGGTCAAACAAGATGACAAGACTGAACATCGACATCGTAGGAATCAGTGAACTAAAATGGACAGGAATGGGTGAATTTAATTCAGATGACCATCAGGTATACTACTGCGGGCAAGAATCCCTCAGAAGAAATGGAGTAGCCTTCATAGTCAATACAAGAGTAGGAAAAGCAGTACTGGGATAAAACCTCCAAAATGACAGAATGATCTCAGTTTGAATCCAAGGAAAATCGTTCCACAGTAGTCCAAGTCTATGCCCCAACCACTGGTGCTGAAGAGGCTGAAGTTGACCGGTTCTATGAAGGCCTACAACACCTTCTAGAATTAACACCAAAAAATGATGTCCTTATCATCATGGGGGATTGGAATGCTAAAGTAGGAAGCTAAAAGATAACTGGAATAACAGGCATGTTTGGCCTTGGAGTACAAAATGGAGCAGGGCACAGGCTGGTAGAATTTTGGCAAGAGAATACGATGGTCAAAGCAAACACTCTTTTCTAACAACCCAAGAGACAACTCTACACATGGACATCACCAGACAGTCAACACAGAAATCAGACTGACTATGTGCTCTGCAGCCAAAGATGGAGAAGCTCCATACAGTCAGTAAAAACTAGACCAGGAGCTGACTGTGGCTCAGATCATGAGCTTCTTGTTGCAAAATTCAGGCTTAAATTGAAGAAAGTAGGGAAAAGCACTAGGCCACTCAGGTATGACCTAAATCATATCCCTGATGAATATACAGTAGAGGTGACAAATAGATTTAAAGAATTAGATCTGACAGACAGAGTGCCTGAAGAACTTTGGACGGAGGTTCGCAACATTGTACAAGAGGTAGGAACTAAAGTCATCCCAAAGAAAAAGAAATGCAAGAAAGCAAAATGGCTGTATGAGGAAGCTTTACAAATAGCTGAGAAAAGAAGGGAAGCGAAAGGCAAGGGAGAAAGAGAAAGATACACGCAACTGAATGCAGAATTCCAGAGAAAAGTTAAAAGAGATAAGAAGGCCTTCTTAAATGAACAGTGCAAAGAAATAGAAGAAAACAATAGAATAGGGAGGACCAGAGATCTCTTCAGGAAAACTGGAGATAAAGGGAACATTTCATGCAAAGACGGGCACACTAAAGCACCAAAATGGCAGGGACCTAACAGAGGCAAAAGAGGTGGCAAGACTACACAGAAGAACTATACAAGAAAGAGCTTAACGTCCCTGATAACCACGATGGGGTGGTCGCTGACCTCGAGCCAGACATCCTGGAATGTGAAGTCAAATGGGCCTTAGGAAGTCTGAGCAACAACAAAGCTAGTGGAGGTGACAGTATTCCAGCTGAGCTATTCAAAATCCTAAAAGATGATGCAGTAAAAGTGCTATACTCAATATGCCAGCAAATTTGGAAAACTCAACAGTGGCCACAGGATTGGAAAAGGTCAGTTTACATTCTGATCCCAAAGAAGGGAAATGCCAAAGAATGTTCAAACTACCACACCATTGCACTCATTTCACACGCTAGCAAAGTTATGCTCAAAATCCTACAAGCTAGGTTCCAGCAGTATGTGGACTGAGAACTACCAGAAGTACAGGCAGGATTTCTAAGATGGAGAGAAACTAGAGATCAAATTGCCAAGATACGCTGGATCATGGAGAAAGCTAGGGAGTTCCAGAAAAACATCTACTTCTGCTTCATTGACTATGCTAAAGCCTTTGATTGTGTGGATCACAACAAATTTTGGCAAGTTCTTAAAGAGATGGGAATACCAGACCATCTTATTTGTCTCTTGAGAAACCTATATGCGGGTCAAGAAGCAACAGTGAGAACTGGACACGGAACCACTGATTGGTTCAAAATTGAGAAAGGAGTTTGGCAAGGCTGTTTACTGTCACCCTGCCTATTTAACTTATTTGCAGAGCACATCTTGAGAAAGATGGGGCTGGATGAATCACCAGTTGGAATTAAGATTGCTGGGAGAAATATGCAGATGATACCACTCTAATGGCAGAAAGTGAAGAGGAACTAAAGAGCCTCTTGATTGCGGATGAAGGAGAAGAGTGCAAAAGTTGGCTTGAAACTCAACATGAAGAAAACTAAGATCATGGCATCCAGTCCTCTCACTTCCTGGCAAATAGATGGGGAAGAAATGGAGGTAGTGACGCATTTTATTTTCCTGGGCTCCAAAATCACCACAGACAGGGACTGCAGCCAAGAAATCAAAGATGCTTGCTCCTGGGCAGGAAAGCTATGGCAAATCTAGACAGCATAGTAAAAAGCAGAGGCATCACCCTGCCAACAAAAGTGCGTATAGTCAAGGCTATGGTTTTCCCAGTTGCAATGTATGGCTGTGAAAGCTGGACCATAAGGAAGGCTGAGCACCAAAGGACTGAGGCCTTTGAATTGTGTTGCTGGAGAAGATTCCTGCGAGTCCCTTGGACTGCAAGGTGATCAAACTGTTCAGTCCTAGAGGAGATCAACCGTGACTGCCCTTCAGAAGGCCAGATGCTAAAGACGAAACTCAAATACTTTGGCCACCTAGTGAGAAGGAAGGACTCCCTGAAGAGCCTAATGTTGGGAACAATAGATAGAAAAAGAAGGAGTGGACAGCAGAGGATGAGGTGGCTGGATGGAGTCACTGAAGCAGCGGGTGTGAGCTTAGGTGAACTCCGGGAGATGGTGGAGGACAGGAAGGCCTGGAGGAATGTTGTCCATGGGGTCGCGATGGGTCGGACATGACTTCACGACTAACAACAACTGCTACGTCATTCTGAATTGTGCCTCGCACGGAGTGTGCCTTTTTCACAACAGCAGCGCACTAGATCAGCACTTGCCTCAGGCCACTACCTCACGGTTCCTCCCTGGCTGGGTAACTGCTCACCCAAGTCCCACCCTCAATGTCGGATTCCTTGCACCAGGGCCGTGCGCCCAGGTCCACCGGAACCCCGACAGGACGTTCTGCACTGGCAGACGCTTCTGGATGGCTCCCGGGGGCAGCCCAACAATGTGCTTCCCAACAAGGCAGCCCGCCCAGAACATGAATGACCGAGGCACTCCACCCCCCAGTGGGTTACACACAAGCTGGCAAGAACCCCTCGCTGCCGCCGCCACCCAGTGCCAGGCCCAGGAGCACCTGCGGCCTCCAGCAGGGTCTGCTTCCCTGCCTGGGGAACCTCGGCTTGCCTGGACTGGGACTCAGTCACCCCCAGCCCCACTCTGGATCATGTCAGCGGAACCGGCCCCGCCTTCCTCTCCACTGGTGGGTGACCGTCACTGCCGATGGGGGGCGGGCTGAGGGAAGGACCGCTTCCGCTCGGGGTGGCTGGCGGCTGGCTGGGGACGTGGAGCTGCCCCGGAGCACTCCCCTGGCCTGGCTTGTCCGGAGGTTTTCCACCCCGCTGTGCTTCCGGTCCTCCTTCCAACAGGAGCCCCCAGGCCGGGACTCTCCCTGGAGCTGCTGCTGCTGCTGCTGCTGCTGTTGCAAGGGGGCAGCTGTCTGGACCTGCCGCTGTGCAGCGGGAGCGACCTCCCAGAATTTGTGCTCCCACAGTAAGAAGGCGCACGTTTGCCGGGGGCAGGGCGCGGCGTGAGCCCAAGACAGGAACTCCGGGTGCTGCAGCCGGGGCCCCCGGTGCCAGAACCAGCGACTGTGCAGCAGGTCTGCCCTTTGCTGCTGGGCGGGTGAGTGGTTAGGAGGCCACAGGCGGAAGCAACCGTGGGGAGGGGGCCGGGTGGCACGGCGTGGCACAACGGAACCCTTGCCAGCACCACACAGGTGGGGGACCAACCACCGCGCGGGGGCCGGGGGGCCCTCCTCACCTTCAGCTGGTGCTGGGCTCGCAGTTGACCTCGGAACTGCGCCATCCCGGACATGTATCTCAAGATGCGAGCCACCCCGTCCCGCAGCAGGTCTCCCCGGTAAGCTGCTACCGCGCCCTCGAGGCGGCGCTTCTTCCGCCGCTGCTCCCGGACAAACCACAGCCAAGCGTCAAAGACCTGCAATGGAGAGGCGCATGTGCAGTGGCCGGTTCATGCTGCAAGCGCATGTGCGGCGCAAAGAAATGGGGGCCAGACTGGCTGAAGCTGCCCTGGCAGGGAGCTCCCTTGGGGGAAGCAAACGTGTTCCAGGTGTGGAACTGGGCAGCCGTCACAAACACGGGCACTCAGCAACAGGGGGGCAGTCTGCGCCGCTCTGCAGCGCCCCCACACCTGCCTCGGGCGGTGAACGGAAAGCAGCGATCGCAAGACATGCCCCCCCCGCAGCGCCTTGCCTTCCGGGGGCACCGCACCACAATGCCCCCCCGCAGGCGTGGGACTCGCAGCCCAGCACCTCTGGAGGCCAAGTGGGGACTCACCCGTGCCTGCAGTGACTGGGACCAGTGGCACAGCGCCCGCACGGCCTCCCGCCGCTCCTGCTGCCTGCGCGCCAGCTGCAGGGGCAGAAAGGGCACGCGCGTGGGCAAAGCTCTGGAGCGGCCCGGCTGCACAGCCGGGCACAGGGCCACAGGCGGCTCGGACGCAACCCAGGCTCGCTCTTGCCGGACACGCTCTTCCCGGCCATTCCACCTGCCCTCAGCACCCTCACAGAGTCAGGGAGGGCGGAGGCGGGCGCTGAGAGCCCCACGCTCAGAATGGGTTAGAGTTGGGGTTAGGGCTCCGGGGGGGGGGGGCCGCAGGCAGGGGGGCCCAGAGCGGGGAGCCCTGAGCGCCCACCTGGGCCTTCCAGCAGGAGAAGTGGGTGCTCAGAAGCCTCCGGGCCAGCAGCCAGCTGCCTTGCCGGCGCAGGAGCTGTGGAGGGAAGCAGAGCGATGGCTGGTCACGGCATGGCGCCCGCACTCCCCTCGGCAGGAGGCGCTCTGCCGCCTCCCCAGGGCCTAGCTGCATGGCGCCCCTGCTGGAAGGCTGGGGGGGGGGCACAGCGAGGCCCCCTGGCACAGGAGCACGGTGGGGGGTCCAAATACCTGCTCAGCAGAGCGGCTGGGCTGCCCCCGCTGGCACGACCCCCCGCGGAGCCATGTGCCGCGGCGAGGACTGCCCCCGCGCCTCCCAAGGAGGCCTCCGGCGGCCCTCACCGTGCGCCTCGCCCCGCGGAGGTGATCCTGTCTCCACCTGGCCAGAGCCTCACGCAGCAGCCGCCACCCATGATGCTCTGCCGCAGCAGCAAGCAGGTCCCGCTCCTGCCGGGCACGCAGGGAAGCCGCCCGCCAGCGAAGAAACACCGCCCGCCGCCTCACTGCGGAGGGAAGGAAACGTGCGTGGGTGGCCAGGGCCTGCCTGCCCACTAAAGGGCAAAGCCGCGCGCAGCAAAGGCCCTCCCGGGCAGAGGCCGGCAGGTGCTGGGCCAGCCCTGAGCCCCGCTGGCCTCCAGGGCTCGGTAGCCCAAGAGCAGAGCCGACAGGAACAGGACACTGAGCTGGGAACCTGTGCCTGGCTGCTCTGTTCGCAGCCGAGGCGGACCCCGTGGCCATGAAAGCCGGCCTCGCAGGCAGCCGGCCCAGCACTGCGCCTGGCCAAGAGCCCCGAAGTCTCCCCAGAGAGCCGTAGAGTGCAAGAGCCCCCAGAGCCACATCCCGGGGCCCAACCACTGCCTGGCCACCCTCCACCCCCGCGAACTGAGGCAAGGGCAACGGCGGCCAGAAGGGCCGAGGGCAGGCGGGCCGAAGGCATTTGCCAGAGCAGCGCAGACCCTCTGTGCCCTGTGGGAAGCAGCCCCCAAAGTTGCCGGCACGGGGGCCAGAGCAAGGGCTGGGGAGGGATGAGCTTGCGGGACCACCAGCCCCCTGCCCACCTCCCTCTGGGCCGGCCACCTCCCTCGGCTGGCAGTCGATGCGCAAGTGGTGTGCAGAGGAGGACAGGACGGAGGCACCCGCCCCAGTCCGATGGTCCGGCTGGCAGAAAAATCCCAGCCAGGCACCCGGAGAGAAGAACAGTCAGGAGGGGCCCCTCTCGGTTGGCTCCAGCAAGTCCACTTCTCCCAGAGTGGTGGGAATGTCAAGGACCAAGGCAGGTGGCCTCCCCGCGCTGCAGCCAAAGGGGTGCCCAGCCAAGAGGAAGGGGGGCAGCGCCCGGGCCGTCACTCCACCGGTCGAAGGGAGGGCTTGCCCGTGCCGTCCTTGCGTCCTGGGCAACAGGTCCCCAGCTGCACTGAGTGGAGGGCTGGGCCAGGGCCCCCGCAGGGAGGCCCCCCCGCCGCACCCAGGGGCTCTCCGGTGAGTCAACGGCCTCTGTCCACGCCCGAGAGGAGCAAAGGATGGAGGGGCGCTGGTGAGCAGTGCGGAAAGAGGCGCCAAGGAGACCCTCGGTCCCAGCAGCATCTGGCTGCGGAAGCGAGGCACAAAGCCCCTGGGGGGCCTTTGATAGGCCCCGCATAAGACCCCACAACTGAACCCCACTCCCCACTCCAAACTGGCTGGAATGAATCAGCAAGCAGGTGAAGGAAGCAAATACGTGGAAAGTTCCAGGATTTAATTAGAAAGTCCCAGGCTGCCCTGCTCCTCCAAGGAAGGACGACCAAACCCGGGAGGCCCCTTCCCAGTCCCTGCCCGCGTGGATCTGCCTGGGGAGGGGAGACCTCCCCCGCTGCCGCGAGGAGACAGCGTGCTGGGCTGCTGGGCGGAGAGAAGTGCCCCCAGGGCAGAGTCGGAGGCTGTGCCAGCTCACGCAGCCTGTGCTTGCGCGCCCCCGGCCTCCAGGTATGTCAGACTGCAGCTCCCACCCTTCCAGAAGAGGAGCTCCAGACCGAACCGTCTGGAGGGCACCGGGTTGGGGAAGGCCGCAGCACTCTCACCACCTGAGCCGTGCCCTCACCTGCGTGCAAGTGCTGCTTGGCATCCTCCACAGCGGCTGCTTCCTGCTGTCGGCAGCGGGCGCACAGGGAGGCTGCGTCTCTCCACTTGAGCACCACCTGTGTGGAAACAGCGGCACCACGAAGGGCTCCCTGCTCCGCCTCATCTTGTTCTCCCTCGGCCAGTGGAGCCCACGAGCCTGTCAGGCAGGCTGCCGCGGCCCGTCGCCCCTCTTGCCATCACGCTCCCACCACCCGCGGACACGGGGCTGCTCGGACCTGGCCGGGCCGGGCCTGGCCTACACGGGGGTGCGCCTTCCCGAAGACTGGGAGACGGCGCCATCGGTGCAGAGACGCTCCGAGGAGAGCCGCTCTGGACGGGTGCAAGTGCACCCCGTGGCCTCGCAGAGGCCTTCAAGTGAAGCCCCGGCTCATGGCCGGCGCTTGAGAAAGGCGCTACCTTCAAGAGAAAGGCCCTCGCATGGTGCTGCGTGGCCAGGGCGGCCTGCTGGGCTTCCCGCCTGGAATTGGCAGCATTCCCTCTCCAGGTGCGCAACGCCCGCCTGAGGACAAAGGCGGACAGGGAGGGCTCAGAGTGGAGGGACACTCTTCTCCAGAGCCCCTCCTTTTTCTGGGTGGCTGGGATGGGCGGACTGCAGGGGACCGGGCACGTGAGGAAGAGGTGCCCCTCTAGCCCCAGCCGGCCACCCACGGAGTTACCGCAACAGCGCCCGGTGCTGCTCCTGCTCCTTGGCAGCCACTTGAAGCAGAAGGTGCCGAACGTTTTCCTGGTAGCCCTGCAAGAAGCAAGCAGTGCAGCAGCCACCCCGTCGTCCACACAGCAGCCGCGCTCAAGCAGCCTCCCCTGAAAGCTGAAGCGGGCCTGCGAGACGGAACCGCCGATGGCCCAAGCGGTGGGGGCAGGCTGTGCCGGCAGGATCCTGGGGGCCCCCAAAGGCATTCCCCTAGGAGCAGCCCAGGGCCTCCGGTCTGGTGCGGTGGGGAACGCCCTGCCCTGCCGAGACACGGGCGGCAGAGCCTCTGCAGGCAGCTGGCTCTTCGCAGAGAGCCACGGGAGAGCAAAGCAGTGCTGCTTTGGCATGGCTTGTGCTCGGGTGGGGTCAGGCCCCCGCGATGCCCCAAGGGGCTGCCCAGACGTACCTTCCAGCCTGACATGGCCCTGCGCAGCAATATCTGCTGGTAGTGCACCTCGGCTCTCACTAGTTTTTCCCACTTCTTGGATCGGTGTCGTAAGTACTGCAACGAGAAACATAGAAACAGACCGAGTCAGAAGGGGCCTCCCAGGCCATCTAGTTTGACCCCCGGCCTCAGCTGGCTCTGCTCACGACATGCCCACCATGCGCATGTCCAGCCTATCCTTGAACACCCTCCCTGATGGGGCCTTAACCACCTCCCGTGGAAGCTCATTCCACACCCTCGGGGTCCTGACCGTCAGGAAGTGCTTCCTGGCACCCAAATGGAACCTTGGCTCCCTGAGCTTGGCTCCATTGAAGCGCATCCTGCCTTCCTCTGCAGGGGAGAACAGGTCTCTCCCCACCTCCGTGTGACACCCCCTCATGTACCTAGTCCCCTCAGAGTCTTCTCTTCTGAAGAGACCCAGTTCCCTCAGTCTCGCCTCAATGGCATCCCCTGCAAATCGGCCACCAACCTTGTGGCACGACGCTGCAGCGATTCCAACCTGGCTATATCCTTCCTGAACTGTGGAGCCCAGAACTGGACACCGTACTCCAGCTGTGGGCACGACAGAGTCGTACTGAGTGGCAGTAATACCTCTCTCGATCTAGAAGCTTGCAGTGGGGCTTGCTCTCACCTGCTGCCACTTGCCCCATGAGCACCGCAGGAGCTGGGCAGAGTGGAACCGCGAAGCCTCTGCCTCCTCCATCCTCCTGAAAGGAAGCACAACAGCCGTGCTTTCTGTCCCCTGCTGCTCGCTTGGGGGAGCAGGTGTCTCGTCTCAGCTCAGCACTTGCCTTCCCAAGCTCAGGTGGATGGGAAAGCTGGGAGCTTTGGTCCAACACAGCTGGAGGGGACCAGGAAGGGGAGCTGGCCTGAAGTGTTTAGGGACAGGGAAGTCATGCCGGCAGCTGTGCTTGCTGGTTCTCTAGTCTAGCCTGAGCCCCAGCCCTTACTCTGCCTTGATGCTCTGAACATTCTTGCTCCAGAGTTGGAGCATCTTCTGCAGGACTTGGTGGCTGTGATGCTCCGTGGCCAAGGAGAGCCCCTCCTGCTCTGCCAGGCGTGCTGCCGTCCTCCTGTGCCATAAGCACCAGAACTGGGACAGCAGCTGCTGCTCTGAGTGTACCACAGCCTGTGGAGAGAGGAGAGGTGTGAGCCGGAGAGGAGGCATCTGAGCTGTAGGACAATGCTGCGCCACACGCGCCTGGTGCCAGCGCTGACTGGCTCATCCACGGCTTGCCCCTGGCAATCTGAATGGCCACCCGGCAGGCGGGCCAGCCAAAGCTGGCGCGTCAGCCCTGCCCCTGCCCGGAAGTCCAGAACCGCGACAGCCACGAGGGAGGCGCCTCTTCCTGAGCGGGGGCAGCAGCCGCACTCCTTTCCCTTCCTCTTTCCGGCTGGACTGACTGCAGAGCCCGGGCGGGGCAGAGTCCCATCGGCAACACGCGTTCAGAATGCGATGGCCGAATGCCGCCTGCCCTGCACCCTGGAAAGGGCCCTCACGGGAGGCACCGCGGGACACCTGCTGGTGTCGCTTACCCGGCGAGGGCAAGAATACCTTTTCCTCCGCCAGCCGGTTCTCCCGCTGCTCCCGCCCCCTTCGCTGCCACCTTCCGAAGGTGCGTCTTGTCCACGTCGCCCTGCAAGAAGCAGCCAGAGCCAAGAGCTGAGGAGCGCCACCTCTTCCTGCAGGCATTCGCTTCTCGGGGCAGCCTCAGATTCTGGGGGGCCAGGGGTTCCCCTGCCAGAGGCACAGAATGCTGGGGACTACTGGGCAGTTCTGGCTCTGGAGCAGTGCAGAAGCGCGAGGGAGGGAGGGAGGGAGGGAGGGAGGGCAAACACGCAAGCAGCCCATCACAAGTGTGACAGATGCATGCTGAAAAGCCCCTGAACCTGCAGCCGCTCGCTTGTGCGGCTTTTCAAAGGGAGCGGGGGATCCCGGAAGGCCCCCTCTGCCGACGGTCCACCCAGCACACCAAGTCAGGTGTGCGGAGGCTGCTTCACAGGCTGCCACAAGGCCTCTCCCAGAGGGAGCTCTCCAGTGTGGCCTGGGGCACCGTGCAGCCGCCGCCACACCGCCTCCCTCTTGGCCCTCCCCAGCAGCTCAGCCGCCAGAACGACCTGCTACCTCTGGAAGCTCTCGGCCATCCTCGCCATCACTCTACAGCGGCGCTGATGATCGCTGAAGAGCCTCCAGGCCCGGAAGGCAGCCAGCAGGGTGGCCCGCATGTGGTGCTGCTCCGCTCTGGCACACTGCAGCTGAAGGACACGGCGCCTCAGCAGGTGTCCCAGGCAACCCCCGCCCGGAGGCCTGGTGGGGCTGCCACGGGCCACGTGTCCCCAGGTGTGGGGCGATGCCGTGTGGCCAGACCCACACCGACGCAGGGAGCCGCCTCCATCGATTCAACGGGTCCGTCCAAGGGGGTGCCACCGCCAGCGTTCCAAGTGCACCCTGGCGCAGGCAGCATTCTGGTGCCCAGGGCAGATCTGGCAAGGCAGGAGGCTGCCCTGACGCGGCATGAGAGGGCTGCCGCAGGCACTTGGGAAAGACAAGTCGCTCAAGGTGACTCGCTCGGCAGGAGCCCACGGTGCTGAGCGATTCCTCTGAGGGCACGGTTTTCCGCACCACCAGAAACCTACCCAGCAGCTACTGAGAAATCTGCCAGTTACGAGAAAGGAGGGCAGGCAGAGCATCTTGCCAGGCAGCCGGAAAGGTGTGTGATGCCCACAGGAACACTGCCTGCCCCCACTCTACACCGACCTTCCTCAACCTGGCACCCCGCAGGCACGCTGGACCGATCACGTTCCCCCAGTGCCTCGGCTGGCAGGATCGGCGTTGCAGCCCAGCGCAGCTGGAGGGGCGCCAAGGTCAAGGCACCTTCCAAGCAGACCAAGACGACAGCTTTCTGGTGAACTTCCTTCCTCTTTTTGCCTAGTGGCAGAAAACACTGAATGGCCACTGCTCTAATGATGCTGACCAGCTAGGCTGGGTGGCTCCGTGTTACAAAACGAGAGTTCTGCGGAAGTCCATAACGAAGGACGCAAGCGAAGCTAGAACACCGGCCACTGGGGGAGAGCAGCTTCCTGGCGAGAAGCTGGTTCCAGTGGAGTCCTTCTGCTCCACCCCAAATGGAAATGGCCCAACCATGGCTGCAGGGTGGGTCCTCTTGTTTAAGGGCCAGTTGCTCGGAGCATCTGAGCTGCCCCTTCTATGTGATGCTGCGTCCTGGAACTCAGGAGACTGGCCCTGCTCCCTGCACATCAGCCAGCTCGCTAAGCTGTGGTCTGCCGGCTTCAGCGTTCCAGTCGTGGATCCTACCTGCCTACTCCTAACCTGTCTCCACAACCTTTTGTAGAAAGAGCGGGCCCAGTCCCTGCAACCAGGAATGAAGGCGGGTGTGCCCTTCCCCGAGAGGACCCTCCTTGCTTGAAAATGGCTGCCTGGGGAATTCGCAAACTCTTGATTCCCCCTGCTGGGAAGAAACGGCTCTTCCAGCAGCACCATCTCTGCAACGGAGAACAGGGGGAAGAATAAGGAGAGGGAATGCAGGAAGAAAGAGGGCAAGCAGATGCAGGGAAGCATTTCCCATTCCACATGGAGACTTGAAGCATCTGGAAAGGGCTGTTCTGGGGAAGCCCCAGACCTTACCTTCCCATGCCTCGCCAGGCTGGCGCAGCATAGCCAGGTCCTGAGGCACTTACGCAGCAGCCCCATCCTGAAAGAGAAAGGAGGCGGGTCAAGAGGCACTGGGCTGCGCCTGCATGCTCAGGGCCGGTGACAGCGCACAACAGGCCAGAAAAGCAGAGGCACCCCATGCGCCACTCCTGCAAACCACTGGAAGCAAAGATGTCTGCATGGACTTTAGGCAACCTGTGCCTTCCAGACACGTTTGGACTGCAATACCCAGAATTCCCAGTCAATGGCCCTGCTGCATGGGAATTCTGGGAGTCATGTTGCAGTGCTGCAGCATTTCGCCCGGAAGCACCTGTAGTGGGAATGAGCTGCCAGTGCCAGAGATGGGTGCTGCTTCTCTTCCTCCTGCTCCAAACGGGACTTCCAACCGTTCCAGAACCTGTGCAAGAGCTGGAACGAAACCAGAAGGGGGCATGAAGCGCGGCACGACCCGGGAGCCATGAGTGCCAGGAACAGAATGGGAGCCTCGGCTGTGAGGGCCACGTCACGGGGCTCTCTGGCTTAAAAGCCATGGACCAAATGTGACTGCTGCGGAGCGATTTGTGCCAGCAGCTCCATGGCCATGGGCCTTCAAAGGCTTCCCGTCACTTGCCAGTGGGGTGCCCGACCATCCCGAGCCGCCAGGCGGTCCTCCTTAACGTTTCCAAACGTTTGCCATCCTCATGGTCATCCTGCCCAGTCACGGGTGGCCAGCAAGACGTGCAGCCGGAAGTGCTCCCGGCAGACTATCCAGAAGCGGCTTCTGCAGCCTGCCACAGCACAGGATTCGGCCCGTGGCAGGTCTCTGGCCAGCGTGGCCGAGGAAGTGTGAAGGCAGCCGGCCTGGGCTGGACAGGGCAAGGCTGGGCTCACCGTGATCCTGCGCTGCTGCTGAGCCAAGCTCCTTTGTGATCTCTTGGCAGAGGCGCTCGTCGCGTTCCTCTGGAAGGCACGGAAGCCACGGTGCTGCAGAGGCGGAGGAGCAGGCAGCCTGAAGCCGAGAGCCGCCCGAGCCGGCCTCAGCTGTGTCCTCACAGCCCGCCTCGCTGGCCAGCTCTGAGGACCAGTGAGGACAACGTGAGCTGGGGGTGGCCTCCACAGGCAGCGGGCTCCGATCACGACCCAGGGGAGATCAACAGAGCACCTCCAGGTGGGAAGTTGGAAACACGGAACATAGAAACAAAGAGACAGAGCGAGCCAACAGGGGCCCCCGGCTCCAGCCAGTCCCACTAGGCATGCCTGCCGCACCAAGTTCCCCAGCACAAGCCCCGTTTGCAGCAGCCGTTCCTGAGCGCTGGCTGCCCAGTGCACAGATCCCTCCCCAGCCCTGTGCCTCATGCAGGCGGGCGGCAGGCGAGGGGGCCGTCATGGCTTCCTGCCGTTTGCACGCACAGCGGGCAGGTGGGTGGGGGCACGCCAGGGCCCCGAGGGGGAACGCCAAGCTGCAAGATCCGATCCGCCCCCTCCCCCTGCGGCTTCAGCAGCAGGCTCACCAGCAGGCGGTGCTTGCAGTGCTCCTCTGCACGCGCATCCCTCCCAGCCGCCTCGGCACACAGTACCAGATCTGCTCTGCGAGTCAAGGAAGCAGCCTGCCACTGGAGTGGCGCCCTGGCTGCTTGGCACGGCTCGGAGACCACGAGTGGGGAGGAGCCACGGGCTGTGCCACTGAGCCTTGCGCAGTGAACCCGCATCACCGGGACGTCTCTTCGTGAGGTTTACGAGCACCTTCCACCTGGGCGCCTCGACCATCGTTTGTTAGGCCAAGAGTAAGACGCACCTCCTCATTTTCCTTCCCCGAGGCCTTGCAGACTGTCACACAGTCTGGAGCCTGCTGACGGCCACCAGACTCATCTGGGGGCTCACAGAAAAGAATGACAGACTCCATCCTGGCCTTTGCTCCAGTGCTGGAATGCGGAATAAACTTGCTGGAATGAAAGGTTGTTCCTCGGGTTTTATAGTCATTCCACACACTTCTGAAGTCCCCCCAAAGCAGCATAAAGAGAATGGATACAGCACTTCCAGCGTGCGAAAATCCTCCGCAAGGCAACCCGTGCTGCCAGCTGAAGCAGACGCTCCCGGTGCTGGTGCCATCGCTGACTGCGTTCCCAGGTGAGCCGCCACACAGAGAAACCCCGGAGGAGCATGCAGATGCGGCGATGCTGCAAAGCCAGCTCTGGAACGAGACACACAGCGCTGGCCCCTTGCGCTTGCTAACCGCAGGGCTGTGGGTGCCACAAGCGGTCGGAAGCCTGGAAATGCCTCTCTCCCAGGAGGTGAGCTCCAAGCTGTGGTCAGAAAGTAGCACCGAGACAGAGGCAACTGGTCGAGCTTGAAAGACACTTCCTGTCTGCCGCCTGAGGGGCCTGCTCACCTCAAGGTGTGCTGCCCTACACCTGCGAAGAAGCTGCCGCAGACAACGCCTGCTGGCACACGGAGCCACCACGGGGAGACCTCCTGGTGCCGTTGGCAAGAGGGCACGAGGCTGTGCGACAGATGCCAGCTGTGCCCCCGGCTGATGGCCATCCGAGCCTCAGCAATCGCTCTTGCCTGTCAAATATGGGCCCATCTTTAAGGCAAACGGAATGGTCAAAAGACAAGAACAAGAACGTGGCAGAACCAGCAAGTGATCATTCTAATCTCTTTGGGCACAGAACTCAGTAATTGTTCCTAGAAGGCTTGTGTGGAAAAACACAACACTGGTGAGCAGGAATTCAGACATAAATTTAACTCCATTGCTTGAGGGCCCAATATAAGATTCTACATATTATTTATCTATAATATTCCTTGGCGTCCTTTCAGGACAGAAACCTTCCCAGGGAGGCATATTAGAATAAAACAAGTAAAACCAATGCAGCATTAAAAGCAATTAAACGCAATAAAGGCCATAGTAGTGCATGGGCCACGGAGCCCGCTGGGTGACTCCGGGCCAGTCACAGACTCTCAGAGCAACCTACCTCACAAGGTTGTTGTTGTGGGGAATAAGACTGGCAGCAGCAGGAGAATGTTGTAAGCCACTTTGAGTTAAAAAGGGGAAAAGGTAAGATATAAATCTAATAAATAAATATGATTCCAGGGCCTTTAAGAACTTGAGAGTTCTTTCTCCTGGCCAGCTTGCAACTTACTTTCCTCCCTTACTTTTCTCCAGCCCAACCAAGCATCTGATAAAGGAGGAATGGAATGATTATGCCACTTCACAATAAAAAAGCTAACTCTGAAGTGCCACCGAACACAATTATTGTTCTTGTAAAGAGAGCAGCACACACATGCAGGGTGTGGCACCCCAGTGCACGCGCTGGCAGGGACGCTCGCCCTGAAGGGGATGCCCGGAAGGATACTGCCTGCTAGCCAGATTCAGTGCTCAACGCATCTGAGCGGCATCAGCTCCAGCCTCCCTCAAAACATTCCTGTTTCGGAGCTTCTCTCTGCAGCGAACAATGACGTGGACGCTCAGCTTCACAGCTGTGCAATTCTGGCAACACAAATCTGGTTGTGGCTGCTCTCACAGCCATCGTGCTTGCGAGACCCAGGATTTGCTCTGTCACCCCGGCGGCCAGCAAACACGACTGAGCTCCCTGTCCCCACAGAGCTGCCCGTGGAGTGACGCACGCCACACAGGAAACCTCCGGCTGGATCCTTCCGGCACACGCGCTGCCTGGCCTGCCTCACACGGGCGCCCAGTCGGGTGTGCGCCGGAGTCGGGCCATGGCTGACATTGACCACAACCGGCAGGGGAGGCGGTCACGCCCCCTCCGCCAGCTCGCCCTCGACTGTGTTCTGCCTGGCTGCGGAGGGGGTGGCACAGCTTGCCAGGCTCCTCACACAGCCCGTAGCAGCCGGGCTCGGCAGCGGGTTCTGGCCAAGGGCAACCCCTGGAATGCAAAAGGTCTCAGCCTGGTGAAAAGCACTGCTCCCTGATGATTATTCTGCTCCACACGCCATGCTATCCCAGAACGTCACGGCCAACTCACCACAGTGGTGCTTCTTCACCCGCTGGAGCTGCACGCAGACGTGCCAGGATCTCAGGCACTTCCTCAGCTCCCTGCGCTGGCCATGCCTCACTGCCCTGGCCTCCTCCTTCCTCCCCCTCTGGATGCCCACACAGAGTGCCTTCCATTGCAGCCAGGCCTACACAGAATGGGAGGGAAGAATCACCAGGAAGAACGGGAGGCAAAGGGCAGGCAGAAAAGAGACACACCACCCAGAATGAGGAGAAGAGGCCCTCTCTGATCAGACTTGCGTTCTGCTGCAGACCCCACAAACTTGGGCAAAGCGTTTCTGATCAGCCACAGCCTGCCTCTTCTCAGACACGTGCTCTCACTTAAGAACAATCAAACTGAAAAGTGCCGCCTTTTGCAGCAAAAATGTTCCTTGGTGAAAGACCGATGGCGAGAGCAGCACAGCTTCAAGCAAGAGAAGCAAGCAAGGCTCTCCTCACGCCTCCACGCTGCTCGTGGCGCCACAGCCACAAAGAGGCCACTCGGTTAGAAGGATTGTGCTGCACCTCTTTGGGAAGACAGACCTAACCTTTGTACGATTCATGTAAAAAGCCGCAGCAACAGCAAATTGGTTTAAATACAGATCGGCCAAGTTCCTTCCTGCAGTCCAAGCAGTGCATTTGAGTGGACCGGCCACGCCAGGACTCACCCAGCGCTGCAGGCTGTGTGCCCAGTGCTGCAGGGCCTGCCTGTCCCTCTCGCAGTCGGCCTGATTCTGGCTCCATCTCTTCCTCCACAATCTCCATGACAGGCTGCCAAAAGCAAAAGGGCACTTAGCAGTTTTAGGCAGGTGGCCACCAATCAGCTACAGATCCTTTGAAAGGAAATTGCTCATCAAGGCACATCTAAATGGGTTGGGGTCCCCGGCTGGACTGACTTTGGAATGGAAGCATCTTTGGTCAGTCGGCAGGAGGACCTCTGCTGAGAGGAGGATGGAGAGCTGGCCCTGCTCATTCTCCTGGACCCCTCCGTGGCCTTCGATGCTGTTGAGGATGCTTCCTTTTAGACTGCAGATCTTGCCCCCACCTAGACTGCCAGTTCAGGGGATGCTGAGGATTACTGCCTTGTGCCCTGGCAGCGGTACTGGTGAGTTCTGCAGGGACCTCTTGTATCTGCTATGCTGTTGCAGAGGTTACCCAGAGGCGCAGGCTGTAACATCATCAGTACGTGGTCAACACCGAACTCTCCTGCTCCCATTTATCAAATCCAGTGAGGCAGGGGCTGTTCTGACCCAGTGCGAGGGCACGGTAAGGACTGGATGAGGACCGATCACTTGAGACTCCATCCAAACAGGGCATCTGCCTAAGTCAAGTTCCACCTGTTCTGGAGGGGACTGGTTTGTAGTTGGTAGTTTGTGGTGCTCCTGGACCCAGCACTGCAGGCAGATAGGTGGCACAGAACATCTTTGGGCAGCCTAGTCTGATTTACTGTGATGTGTGACGCTTCGGGCTGTCTTTGCAAATGCTTTGAAAATGTCAACTCCTCCAAAACAGGGCAGTGCAATTGTTACCTGGCCAACATTATCAGTTTTGTTAGATTCCTGAGGCCCAGCGCCTGCAGCAGGACGTGAAACGGCCACTGTAACATGCCTGGCCGTCGGCCGGTCCCTGCTCGACACGGCCCCAGCATCTATGGCGGATAGTCAGGAGCTCCTCGGCAGATGGGTCCACGGCGCCCTGGCCTGCCACACCATCTGCAGGGAGCAGGTTGCCTACCTCGAGGCACAGCAATTAAAGCACACGCAGCTTTGGGGTGCTCAGCAGCATGGAGTGGAGCGAAAGAACTGGGGCCCACATGGATCGCCAACCCATGGGCGATGGAGTTGTGCTCACCGCAGGCTGCTCTGCTCCCTGAACTGGAGCGCCTCCAGCAGCATCCCACGCTTCATCCGACGCAGCTCCATGCAGCTCAGCCAGCGGCACCATGCCCAGCGGCCTTTCACTGCTCTCACTGGGAAGGCCAAAGCGAGACGGGTTTTCATAAAGCGCACCAGGCATTTGAGAAGCACTCCCTACTCTCGGGGCACGTGTTCTGCCTGCCGATTCCCCTCTCAGGATGGCACACCAAGGTCTGGCCTCCCCGAAGAAAAGAAGGAAGCCGCTCCAAGAGGCTGGGGGCAGGCAGCAGCCCCCTCCTTGGGAGGGCCTGGCAGGGAGCAGCATGTCACCCCCAATCCCTGCAGCCTTCCATTATTCCCCAAGCGCTTGCTTGGCCCTTCCAAAACTCCCAAGGAGAGCCTGGGAGCCACGCTTTGCACCTCAACGCACAACGACCAGGCCACGGGAACTCGCCTGCGGGTGCAGGATGCCCGAGCCGGCATGTGCCTCTGGAGCAACCGGCTGCAACACTCGCTCACGCATGTTGCGGGCTCCAAAAGGCGCCTTCGGTTCACGCTCCGCCCGCTTTCCCAAATCACTCCACCAGAGGCCCCCAAGATCTTCCAGTCTACAGTGCTCAGCAGCTGGCAGAGCCTCAGCTCTGCTCCATTCCAGTTTCTCACCGTGTGCCTCTGCGATGCTGGATATCGTCTTCTTCTCCTGCTGCTGGAGCACATGGGACCTCCAAGCCAGAAATACCGTGTTACACAGGAAGTACCTAGCCAACAAAAGACAAGCATGGCTTTACCTGATGCACTCCAACCATGTACTATGTACACAGGAGTCATTCCAAGCTGATCTGCAGGAATACTTTGGTACTGTCAGCACCTCACTGTGGCACTGCCATTATCTTCGTCAGCATCAGTGTTATCACTTCCATTTATGTACAGTTCAAACAGCTGAAACAATTTCAATAAAATAGAATAAAAGAGTAGACACAGCCCATCATGTGCCATTAAATGCCCGGGAGTAGAAGGCAATTTTCACTCGATGCTGAAGATGACGATGGCAGTGCCACGCAGGGTCAGCAGAGAGCATGCCACAATTGTGGGCCCCCCATGGAGAAGGCCCTTCTCCTTGTTGACTCCTTCTGGGCTAGGCAGCAGCTGGAGGAACACTTCCGTTGCAGACCACAGTGTCCAGAGGCTGGCAGAGACATCCCACCAGGCACTGTAGCCCCAGGCCATGTGGGGCTTCACAGGAGAAAACTAGCACCTCAGACTGGGCTCAGAAGCACAGTCTACCCAAGCAGGCATAGCTGAGAGGAAGTCACTCCTGCCAGTTCACCCACCCATGTCTCCATTATATATGCCCCCCACTGTCAGAATGAGAGAAGTCCTGCTCTGCACTGATGTGGCATTTCAGAGCAGCACCCGGAAGCCCCAGAGCAGGCTGACAGGCCCCCCCACAATTGCGGGCGCAGAGAGCCAGCCCTACACCACGGAGTGTGGGAAACTGCGCCACATCCTCAGAAGTCACCTCACAAAGAAGAGATGCGGGCAGAGACAGATGGGCTGGGGCTTCTTTGTGTGAACACAAAGGAGACTCGTCAGGTGCCACTTGCTTGGTAGGTTGCACCAAATTAAAGGACACTGTCAGGAGACACTTGTTCCATTTTAGGTCAGAAATGGTGGGCAACAGGTGCGTCCAGGCAACTGGACTAGAAAAAAATCTTTGTGGGCAAGCAGCTTTTGTGAATGTGCCTGCAAAACAATGACACAACTTGTCAAAGAGTGTCAGAAGATTAACTGCATGAGTGAATTATAAGGGCTTGGGCAGGTGAGGACCGAGGGAGAGCAAGAGCAGGGTGCACATTCACATGCACACAAGATACGCCGAGCATTGCTGTGATGGGCCTGGCAGTCCGTCCGTGGTGGCACCCAGGGCATACACAACGCCAAGCATGCCCACGGGTCTGGAGAGCCCAGAGGCCCCTGCGTTACAGGAACTTATTCTCTTTAGGTTGCTCTCTAGTATCTTTTGTCAAATGTTTGTTTGGGATAGTCTGATGAATATACACAAATAATCAATTAGTACCGATATGATTGTGGTTGTATTATAAATTTATATTAAAGCCTTATGACTTATGCAAATGATGGGGTCAGATCCAAAAAAAGCATCTGCAACACTGAACCAAGACTGTGACATGCCCTCTTCCATCTCCATATTTTTCAATGGAATCCTTATCTAGGACAGAGGGAGGGATTTGGTGCACATGCTTTCTGAACCAGTAGTGTTTTTGAAAACAATTAGACACATAAGACAATAGCTCAACTTAGATCTCACACCAAACTATTATTAAGAAAATTTCACTATGGTTTGACATGATGTCCATGTTGACAGTCCACAATCAAGTGGCAAAGTGGAAGTAGCAGCTTGAGTGGGTTCTCAAACCGTGGGTGACATCCAGGCTTAGTCATACACAGGAACAGAGCAAGTCAGGAGGCCTCCGGTCCATCCAGTCTGACCCCTGCTCCAGCCGGCTCTGCTCACGACATGCCCACCATTGGAGACCCTGGAGCCTATTCACTTCAATACTCTAAATATGACTCATTCAGGATCCAGACCCATGGCTTGCACGAACAATGATTTGGTAAGATATCTGCATGTCGAAAGCATAGTTACGGTGCTGATCTGTGGTTCCTATAGCAGAGAAACAGCACAGCTGAGCAGATGGAAAAGAAAAGCGGTCAAGCAGCACCAAACCAAGGTTTGCTTTGTGCTCAAAGGATCCAGTCCTCTAATTGATGGGCAGAGTAAACCATGGTCTGGTGTTACGTCTGAATTAAGCAATGTCCTTTTTAGTTAGGGCACAGGAAAGAAAATGTATTGGTGGAGTGATACATTGCAGGAAATGAAGGACCCTTGAAAAAGCACGAGGATGGGCTGTTTGTGGTTCACGGGGGGCGGGGGGGGATAAGCCCTTCTAGGCATGTGTCAACAAGCAGAGATTTTCTCACTGTGCTTTACTGTGGAGTTCGGAAGCACCTGGACAGACCTGTAATGGCAGTCAGCCCTGATGGTGAGTTTCCATTCTCTGCAGGAGACCCACCATTCCTCCTTCCACTCTCGAAAGGTTTTCTGCAGTGTCCTTCGTTCATAATGACACCTGAAACGGCAAGGATGCAGAAAGCATCGAGGAGTACACCCACACATCTTTGCTGACATTAATTCAGTTTTGTGAAATTCTTTTCTCTCTCCTTTTCATACCGTGTGGCATTTTAGTCACAAGTCAGTCTGCTCAAGTTCTGATCATAACCACAAGATTTAAGCATGCTTAAATGTGTGCTGGATTGTACCCTTAATAATCTCCAAGTATTTCTAGAGGCAATTAGACTCCAACTGCATGTGACTTCACTTCCTCTGAATTTGCAAAAAGACAGAGATGGTTTTCCAACTCTCCCAAAATTCAACACAGGAGAGCACATGACGTGGCCAAGAAGGCAAGGCTGTGGCGATTTTGCTCTCCAGGGGCTTTTGCATATTTAGCAGGAGGCAGATTGTGAAGTGATTTCAGATGCAAGGCCAAACTGGGGTTGCCAAGTTGCTATCACACCAGGAGGTTTGCAAACTGTGATTTGGTGTTGCGGCAGAACCGACACACCACCAGGTGGGACATTGTAGTGCCCTCAGAGGACACTGTCTGGGAGAGTACCTGGGGTTTCTCAGGAAAAGCAGGGGAAGAAGGCACAGATCACTGCCAAACCATGTTCTGGAGTTTAAACAGCAGCTTCTGCTTTTATTTTTTGGCCTCAAATCACATATCTTGGTGGCCGAGATCCACAGTCTTTCCACAGGAGCCACTTGAAGGGGGTGGTCACTTGTGCAACTGGCAGCCATCCAGGGTGGGTGGGCTGATCTGCAAGCTTCCCAAGGCAAGCTGGCAGACGAAGGCTTGTCCTCCTGCGAGTGCCCCGGAGGACAACGCAACAGGATCAATCATGTCCCCCTTTCAGCTTGCCACGGCCTTTCCTCCCTTTCATGCAAAACATTTAGGACAATAGAAAATACCACCTTGCTTAAGAGTATACCGTCTTATTTAAAGACAATAAGCATTTGGATGACCTCAGCTCTCATTTTATAAAGAACTTACAGTTTGAGTGTAAAAGAAAAATCTAGATTCTGTGATTATTCCCTGAAATCTCCAGAAACAAGGCAGTGAAGTATCCCAAACATATTATTTAATTCATGCTTGGATTTATGGTCCTCTTTGGATTAGAGACCTCTCAAATGGCTGAAATATTACTTTTAATGCAGTTTTCTCAATATACATGGCTTGTGAGAACGCACTGCTATGCTTCCCTTTATAATCCACCTTTTTTCCCAAGGTGACCCACATGATGCTCTTCCTCCCCTTCTTATTCTTAGGCTAGGGCAAGAGCCCCTGCCTGGTCCAGAACCACTCAGGGAGCTTCGCAGCGGAGTCCAGCACTCTGGCCACCACAGTACCCTGCCTGCCTTCTTAAGAGCCAGCTAGACCACTCAGTGGAGTCCTGTTTGGGTGCCAACCTTATTTTTTCCACATTCAGACAAAAATCCAAACCTTGTGAAACAAAAACCTCACCTTGCCTACCTGGCACTGGAGGGAAGGACTGTCCCAAATGTTCTCTTCATCCACAAGTAAAGGAATTTTCTGGCCAGGTGTCTGAAAACAAGCGAGAAAAAATATGTATGCTTTGCAGCATCGGTTTGTTTCCTGGAAACGTCCAACCAAACCTCATCCATACTTTCACGTCCTCCCAGCCCACCATTCCAAACATATCCTCTTTATATTTAGCCTGCCTCTATGGCAGCTTCCCCCAACCTGACACCGTCCAACTACAACTCCCAACCACCCCTGAAGGCAGCGAAGTGGGGATGCTGGAAGTTGTAGCCTGACATACTGGGAGCATACCAATTCCGGAAAGGCTGCTCTAAGGAGCTCAGGCTGGCCTTCCAGCAAATTCTCCTATTCCTTTTATGCAATGCAGTCGGCCAGGTGCAAAATTATAACATTTGGTAAAATAACTTGCAACCCTAACTCCAACAACAAATCAAAATACAAAAAACAAAGTATGAAGATATAACCAGCAAATTTAATCAATCCATCCCCATCATCTTGATTGGGCAACTTGATTTTATACATTTATACAGGCAATACTTTTAAAGTAAACATTTAAAATCTCAACAATGGACCCAGACACTTCTCACAATTAGTTAATAAACCTTACAGAGAATAAATGTGCAAACCTAGATTTGACTGTTACCTGATACGGAGTTCTTTCAATCGTCCACCTCGCCTCCAGGTGTAAGTAGCATGACAGGACGTCCTGCGAGGTGCAGCCTGGCCCCGATCTCCAGCAGGACAACAGGGCGCACGTTTCCCGGTGGCACCTTTGCTCAAGCCAAGTAATTCCTGTGTCTTTGGATACTTCAAACTTTGAAGACAAACAAAATACATCAGTACATTTCCCACTGGATTCGCAGTTCAGCAGATGCAAACTGATAAACGAGGACATTCACCAAAACCAAACAATAGAGACAGGATTAAATATCAGCAGAAGAAGCGGATCAAGCTGATGTTTTGCCCCCGTTTCACTTATGTGGGATGCTGCTACAATTGCTTGATGGAATTCCTCGGCAGGGCAGTGGCCTGCATCAGGGCACAGAGGGAGGCATCCTGGGACCTGCGTCTGAGTGCCTGGTTCGGCAGAATAGTAACAGATCTGGTACAAGGCAGAGCTCGCTGAGGGGAACTTCAGAAAGGAGATGTTCAAGGAGCCAGGAATAGCCTCCATTTGTCTTAAAGGGCATCTTTAACTCATTGCAGACAGAGAACACCACTAGAAAGCTTCCAGGCAAGAGTGACACTAAGGCTGGTCATTTCACCAATCAGAAAAGATGTAGTAAATTGACTTGATCTATTAGAACAGGTCCAGTGGAGGGCCACAAAAATGATTCAGGGATGGGAAACACTGGCCTATGAGGAGAGACTGAAAGAACTGGGCATGATCAGCCTTGAGAAGAGAAGACTGAGGGGGGACAGGATATCCCTCCATAAGTACCTCAAAGGCTGTCACAAAGAGAAGGTCAAGATCTCATCTTGCTGATACCAGAGTGTAGGACAAAGAACAATCAAGTCAAGTTGCAACAACCCAGATTCAGGCTGGACATCAGGAAAAGTTTCCTCATTGTCAGAGCAATACAGCAGTGGAACCAGCTGCCTAGAAAGGTGGTGGGCTCTCCCACACTAGAGACATTCAAAGTGAAACCGGACTGCCATCTGGGTGAGATGGTGTAAACTGGTGTCCTGCAACGGCAGGGGGTTGGACCTGATGGCCTTCATGGCCCCTTCCAGCTCTACTATTCTATGATGATCAAAATGACCATAATTGCAAAGCATTATTATAACATTATGGATACTTCCATTACTAACCAGTTTGACTAAAAACAACGTGAAGTGCAGAGTCGGTTGGGCCGTGCTCAGACTTACAAACCTTTGATTTTGTCTACATGTGACAGGACTGTGTTTAACTTTAACTATGTTTAACTTTTAAGTATGATTGTGAGCATAGGGTTGAGATCATAAGTGGCTCTTGCATTCATATGGGGAAGGCAGCATTCTGTCAACTCCCCCATTCATCTGCAGACTCCCGCTCCACCCAATTGCACACCATTCCTAATGGTTCCTCAACCCACAGCAACAGGCTCTGGCGGGTGCTATAGAAGGTTGCTGAGGGAAAGAAACAGAAAAGTGCCATCCTACAAACACAAATATTGTTCTATTGTGAAAGAAAAAATAGTATTAAAGCTATAGAACATCCTGCATTTTTTAAACCCAAGAGATGTCACTTTATAGCCCCACGAGAAAGTGCCTGAGGTTATAAAATGCAAAATCTTAATAACCTTTGTTCTGTTAAATAAGCCTAAGCATGAGTCTCAACAAACAGCAAGCAATTTATATTTTAATTCTTCCCAAGGCTATGCAAACTGAGAAAAGCTGCTAACCCTAGGTTGCCCGTTGGCGTTTCTTGGCATAACTTTCACAGCCCAGCTTTCCCCCAGTGGAATTGCATTCTGTATACTGGAGGCTTTCCCTTAGAATCCTAGCTTTGAAATAAGACCCAGATGATCTGAACTGAACTTTTTGAGGCCCTTTGCTTGGGGTCACAAAGTCACCTGTCCAGCAATTCTTATGGAGACCTTGGGCAATTTTTTTAAAGAAAAAATGTAAAAGGTAGAGAAATGAAATTTGGCAACTTTTTAGACCAGGCACACTCTGATAATGTTGCAAAAGGGTTACAAAGTTGGTTGGACTATCCATGCGCAAATTACAGTACAGAATGTGCACCTGGGGTAATAAAGGCATCCCCTTGCCATGCGGAATGAAGGCTGCGCTGGAACAACCACCACCAGCATTGCCACGCTGCGGCTCCTCCTCAGCATTCCCTCTCCATACCGTCAGGCCACCTTACGAGGCCAAAACCAAGTTTCGGCCACTTTTGAAACTTTCCTCCTCCTCCGAGGGGTCTCTTTCTTTTTCTGTCGGCCTTTCTTTCTTGGGTCCCCCCAAGCCATTTTCTGACATTTTCTCTTGCACAGGGAAGGAACTATTTAGTCACATACTTTAAAAAAATAATACTTAATTTTGTGAATGCAGGGGGCTTATATTATTGTTGTATAGATATTTTACTCTTTTAATTGGTTTTGATAGGTTTTAACATGTTGATGTGTGTGTGTGTGTGTGTGTGTGTGTGTGTGTGTGTGTTTTATTTTTAATATGGGGTTGTAAGCCACCTAGGAAGGCCTTTTGGCAGTTACAGGCAGCATATAAATATGTGCATAAATAAATAAACACAAGCATATATTGAAACTGAGATTTCTGATAACCACAGCAAATCAGTCTAACTTTTAACAGTATTATCTGAGGTTTCTAGAGATGTGACTAAGTCACTGAACCATCTTTTCCTTTAGGTTTTTATTGGAGGATGATAGAAGGCAGAGCCTCCTGTCATAATTTTTAAGAAGGAAAAAAACAAATAAATAAAGCAATTTAAGGGTATTTGAACTCTTTGAATGAATTCAAGTATCCAGTGCCCGATTAGCTGCATCCTAGAGTAATAAAGGAACTGGCAGGAGAACCCTCAGAACCACTACAAGAAATCATGAAGGACGGGGAAATGCCAGATGACCGAAGCATGGCTAATTTTGTCCCTCTCTTCAAGAAGCGCATAAAGGAGGATCCTGGCAGCCACAGACAAATTAGTCTGACATCAATCTCGGGGAAAATTCTGGAGTACATAATAGAGACGTCAGCCTATCAGCACCTTGAAGACAACCAAGTCATTACTTGAAGCCAGCATGGATTTGTCAAGAAAAAGGCTTGCCAGACTAACCTGATCTCATGTTTTGATCAGGTAATGTCCCTTGTGGATGGTGGGAATACTATGGACATAATATATCTTGATTTCAGCTAAGTTTATGACAAAGTGGCCCATGACATTCTGATCAGCAAATTGGCTAAAAGTGAGCTAGTTGGACAACCATCTGGTGCATCCACAGTCGGCTACAGAATCAGATTCAGAAAGTGCTTCCCAATGATAGCTTCTCAAACTGGGGAGAGGTAACAGGTCAGGCACTGCAAGGTTCAGTCCAGGGACTGGTGCTCTTCCACGTTTATCTTAATGACTTAGAAACATAGAAACAAAGCAAGTCAGAAGGCCTCCCAGGCCATCTAGTCTGACCCCTGGCTTCGCCAGCTCCCCTCATGGCATGACTTGGATGAAGAGGTAGAAGGAAAGCTGTTTCATGGTTTCATTGAATGTTTGGCCACAATGAAATCACAGATGGTCTAGTGACCAGACGAGACTAGCAACCCAAAGAAAGATGGCATTTCTTTTTTCAAAGGAGTCAAAGTGGATTTGTGCTGTATATGCCTGTCCCTCATTCAAACCTGGCATACACGCTTTGCAAGATTTTGTGCTGTTTCAAGACTTGCAAAACCTGTTTCATCAGAAATGGTTCACAGAAGTTTTTGGCCTTGCGGCATCTTCTTATGCTGACTGCTAAATGTTTAACAGCAATTAGGAAATTATCATTAATTTATTCACTTAATACAGGATGTGCTGCCTTAGCCCACATCCCTGGTCACCAAGTTTCTGGGATGGAAAATATTTTACTCTTCCCAAAACCTTAATTATTGATGCCTTAACTTGGAATCCTGCACTGGGCAGGGGTTGGACCAAATGGCCCTACTGACCCCTTCCAACTCTACCATTCTATGATTATTTGCTATATTTATATCCCATCCTTCTTCGAAAGTGTCCCATAATCCTTCCCCCATTTTTATCTTCACAACAACCCTGCAAAGTGGTGCCCAATCTATGGAATGCGCTCCCCAGAGAGGTCCACCTGGCGCCGTCGTTATTTTTCGGCGCCAGGTGAAGACCTTTTTATTTAAACGTCATTTTAATTGCTAATATTAGGTATTTATTTTACATCTTTGGCCAGGTTGTCTCAAATTATATTGTTTTATATTGACTTTATATTGTTATTATTATTTATTGTTGTGAGCCACCCCGAGGCTTCAGCGAATGGGGCAGCATAGAAGGTTCCTAAATAAAATAAAGCTTCCTAATAGTAAGTTAAGTCTCAACCCACTATCACTAAGTGAGCTTTATGACCAAGCAAGGACTAGAACCAGGTCTCCAGAATCCCAGTCCAGCCCCAGTGGCAGTCTTGCTGGACGCTTTAATCTACACGGCTTAAAGAAAGACCTCGGAAACTTTAGCTGGGTAGCCCACCCTGAGATCTACTTGGCTGTACACTAGTGCAAGCTTTCCCAACCTGGTATCCTCCAGATGTGTGAGACTAGGACTGACTGGGGGATTCCGAGAATTATAGGCCAGCATACCTGGACACAACAGGTTGGAGAAGGCTGCACTAATGTGTGGCTAAGGGATGTACTCAGGAACAGCACTTACAGCAGGGGTGGGCTGCCTATGAGTGTTTTGTCCTGCATCCTGCATCTACTTAGCCAGCACGGGCAGCGATGAAAACGGATGGGAGCTCCAGGCCAAAACAACCCCCAGCTTACAGACACCAGAAAAACTGGAGCCCAGTCGGGCAAGAAAAGATTTCCGGAACAAGAGTTTTTACTGTCCTGGTTTACATACAAAAACAAGGTCTGCTGTCTTGGACTCTTTAGTTCAGACAGAAGCAGTGGATTTGGCACCTATGTTCTATCTAATTAGTTTCTCAGCAGCGGCCCCCACAAGATGGGACTTCTGGACCCCCAGCACTTCTTGCTCAAAAAAGCTGCGATGACCAAAAAACAGCCGAATGACAGCGACACAAGTGAGCTGTTAGAGCAGGCTCGTCCGCTGCGCATGCTCACCTGCCCTTGGCCCTTTTCTCCATCGCATAAACAGTCTTCTTCCTCTGTGGTACAATGCAAAGCAGCGTTTTCTGGTGGAGCCTCTTGAGGCAGCAGGTGGAAAAGCTTTTACCAAAACAGAAGAACTGTTATTTTCTTTTAATCCATCAAACCAGGGGCTTTTAATCAAATATTTCCAACAGGGGGCCAGCGGAATGGTAGAGGTGGTGGGCACGGGCTGGCAAGATGGTGCCGGTGGCGCACACGCAGTGAGGCGGAGGTGGGGCGCACGGGCGAGGCGAGGCGAGGCAGGGGTGCGCAGTGAGAAGGGGTGAGGCGCGGCGGGGCGGGCACGCAAGGCAGCGGCTTGATCGCCTGGAGAGCGCTTTCTCCGAGCAAGTCCAAAACGAGCTCAGCGTGAGCAAGTCGCCGCCTGCCTGCATGCGTGGCGAGGGGGTGGTGGGCACACACAGGGCGGGGCGAGGTAGGCAGCGGCGGCGTGCGCGGCGAGTCCAAAACCTCAGGCGGGCTGGATAAGTGGGCGTGGTGGGCCGGATCCAGCCCATGGGCTGTAGCTTGAGGACCCAAGCATTAAACAGTTCTCGGAGCACACGCCCTTCAAAGCGAGACCCACATGCCATCCCCACAACTGCAAGCACAGGAGAGGCAAAGCTGGAAAGGCAGCCCAGCGTGTGCAACATTCCCATAGCCTACGGTTTTTCCCTGCATCAAATTCTACTCCCTTGCTGTGTTGTTTTCACGTGTCTGCATTTAGACGGCAAACTCTTTTGTAAAGGGACCCATGCAACCTGAGGTATGTTCAGACAAGGGTGCTTTCACTGTGCAACTTAATGGAGCTCTCTGTTGTGACACTCCCCCTGCTCTTTTTAAAGCATGTGTGAATCTTGACACATTAGAACCAACACATTCATTCAGGCATCCATTTTCATAGCCCACAGGCCACTTCACATGAATCTATAAACACTCAGATAGGAATAAATTTGTCTTTAAGATGCCACAATGCTTTCTTTTTCCTGCCACAAACCAGCCTTCTTCAACCTGGAGCTGGCCTGTTTTGAAATTCAGCTCTCATCATCCCTGGCCAAATAAATTCCAAACACCTGGAGAAACCAGGTGGGACCTGTAGTTTAAAACATCTGGAGGATGGTGGGCCAGGAAGGCTGCAGTAGGCTGACGTGGCCAGTACACTGGAAAGGAGAGCTTTGCACCAGTTGCACCACCCCTGTGCGGATGCTACCCATAGGTGGAGACTGTGCTGAACGGGGTGTGCTGTGGTATATGCAGGGACCCCACGACTTAAGTTTGGGATTTTCCACGAGCTTGGCTTTTCATCTTGTGGGAACCCTTACTCTTGAGGAATACAGATCCTGTGGGGAATCCTGTAGCAAATGTGCAGTCAGGGCCACTGTGGGCCTTTCAGGATCTAGAAGTCTGTAGGAGGCAATTCTGAATCACCAACAGCAGAATAACCAAGAAAGAAAAATAGGCTTGCCCAGCCCAGCGATCCTCTAAATGTGCTGCACTACAATAGCCATCATTCCCTAGCTATCACTGGTCATGCTGGCTGGGGATGCTGGGAGCTGCAATCCAGCACATCGGGACAGCGCCAGCATGAGGAAGGCTGAAGAAGAGCAAGGAACCAGAATGTAATCATGAACAGGATGCCTTTCCCCTTCCAGTGTGGGCAACTGATGCCAAGACGAGATAGGTGGTGCTCTGCAGTCCCTGGCAGCCTGGACCTGCCTCCCCTCTTCTCACAGCTGAGCACTGCTCCACTGCCCACACAGCTATGGGACACAGCTGCAGAGCCTGCCCTTCAGCTTGCCTCCTGCAGAGCTGCTGACACCACCAGAGCGAAAACACAGCCCCAAACAAAGCTGCCTTTCTCAGGTCAGCGCAGCAGCACAGGCCAGGTTGCCACAACAGGGGCTGAAGGCTGTGCCTTGGACTGGGAGGATGAAGCAGCCTGTGTCAAAGGCATTGGGTGTCTGGGGGATGCTGGGAGCTGTAGTCCAACACACCAGAAAGGCACTAGATTGCTTGCTTATATGTAAAGCACATATATAAGATCAGAGCCTGGAATGAAAACCAAATACTGCTCTTTTGCATCGTTGCTTCTTAATATTAGGAATACCACTTTGCACTACACACAGAGAAGGTGAAAAAGAAATACCCATCTTCAGCAACAGTCCATGGTATTATTGTGTGTTATCTCTGAGAAATAAACTCCGGCTGATTGCACTCTGTGTGCAGGTTTGTGTACATGAGTGCTCACAGTCTTCCACTATGTACATCCCACAGATGTACAAGTTCAGCAGAACTTACTCCCAAGTATGCACCCTTAAGAGGAAGATCACAGGAACTTTATCCTGGATCAGTCACGGACCTTTCCTACACACAGAAGCAGGCCCCGCTGAAGGCAACTGGATAGCTTCTGCCCAGTCAAGCAGGGTTTGTTTGTTGGTTGGTTGGTTGATTGATTGCCCGCCCATGCGACAGCTCCATACAAAAATTAATAAGGGTTCGAGTTTCTTCCAGGCGCTGGAAAGGAGGGCAGCATGTCTGGTGTGTCCAGCATCTTTGCATCGTGCAAAGGAATCTGAAGCCTGGCGGGCACAGCAGCCTGTCTGTGGGCCAGGGCCCTGCGGCATCCAACGGGGCTTATCCCCGGGATGTTCAGGTCTAGACCGGGAAAGGGCCCGCAAGCCCAGCATGCCGCAGCCAGCGCAGCGCGCACGGCCGGTCTTCTCTCGGCCTAGCCTGCCGAAGCCCCACGCCACGCCGAAGTCCTGGCGCCGGCAGGCCCGCGCCGTGCTCGCCGCCGTGCCCCAGCTCTTCGCTTTGTCAGCGGGGCCGTTCAAGGCGCGCTGGCCCAGGAGCTCAGCCTTCACGCGCAGCCGCCTGGAGCGCCCCTCTCGCGCGGGGCAAGGGCGAGCAACGCAGCAAACTAACCGTCAAGCGCCGCGTCATCCGCCCGACCGGAAAACCAGCGGGGGCTACGGCCGCGTTCCCCGGACAGCCTCAGCCCGGGCTCTCCGGTGGGGTCGGACTACAACTCCCACCATGCTGGCCAGCGTGTGATGGGCGTTGAAGACGCCGACCGGGGGAAAGCTGCTGGCTCGCGAAGGCGCGGCGCGGCCCGATCCCGCGGCAGCGCACCGTGCACTTACCGGGGCGCTCGCTGCCGCCGCCAGGGAGGGAGGGAGGGAGGGGGCGGACAGCCGAGTGTGGCGAGGCTGCCTGCACAAGCGCCTGAAAGACCCTTCCGCACCCCTCGCGCTCCGCGGCCCGCCGCCCAAAAGGTCTGTCTCTGGTGTACGCGCCCCGCGCGCGCGGAGATCGGCGGAAGGCGGCAGCCTTCTGGCGCGTGCGAGCGGCGGTCGACGCGCGATCCTTTCCGGGCAGGCGACCGCGGGCGCCAAAGGCTCTCTGCCAACGAGCTGCGCGCGCGCGCGGTCGAATGGCGAACGAGTCTGACGAGCAGCGCGTGCTTCGCGCATGCGCCGTGGCTATTAAAGGGGGAGGGGCGGGCAGCGAAGGCCCCGGTTACGGCGGCTGAGGAGGAGGAGGAGGAGGAGGAGCGGTTCTGAGGAAGGCCCTGCCAGGCCCGGCCGTGCGGGTCCCTAGCGTGGAAAGCGGCGAGCAGCGGCGGCGAACCCGAGGGAAGGCGAGGGAGCGCCGGAGCAGCAACGGGAGCCGCCGGCGCGCCGCCGCCGCCGCCGCCGCTCCTGGGTGAAGGGGCGGGAAGGTGGCCAGAGGGCAGGCCAAGCCGGGCGGGCGGGCAGCGGAGTGCGCGCTGCGCCGGGGAGCCGGCCTCCAGCCAGCGCGTGAAGCGAGCCCCGGCGGAGACAGCGCGGTGCGGCGCGGCAGCCCACGGCCTGGCCAAGGTGAGGCATCCGCTGAGTCACCGGGCGAGTGGACGGGGGCCTGGTGGCCGAGGAGGCTCCTTCTCCCCCCGAGCCCCGCCGGGGAGCGGCCTCTGGCGGAGGCCCCGCTGTGCCGGGCTAGGCGGGCCGCGCCGTCACAACTTCCCCTCTCCGCGTGTTTGTCCCCGGAGCGCGCCGGTTAGCCTCACGACATCCCTGCCAGGTGGGCCGGCCCTCGCAGCGGGGGAGCGGCCCCTGCGGCCCCCCGGGGGACGCGGCTGAGAGCCGTTGCGAGGCGGGCTTCGCTGGCCCCCTGCCCGTTTGTCGCGTCGCTTTCGCCACCCTTCCAGCCATCATCTGCCGGAGAACGGCGGGTGGGTGGCGGAGGAGGCGGTGCCGCCGCGGCCGGTGGCGAGGTGGGCTGCCCCTCGGGCGGGGGAGCTCCCTGTGCGCGTCGGCCCGTCGTCGCGCGAGGCGGGCCGGAAGAGTCGCCGCGATGGGCTCTCCGCTGGAGCGGCCGCTTTCGACGCAGCTGGAACTGAAGGCGGGTTGCGCCCTGCTACGGCCGGTGTGGGTGTCTCATCCACACCGGGGGGTAGGAGGGATCTTCGTCTGCTGGCGAGCGCTGTTGCCTTTTGCTCGTGTCAGGCCATTCTTCCTGCTCAGTATTGTTTATTCGGACTTCCCCACGACTCTGATACCTTGTCTTCCTTAGTGATGCTGAGGTTCACACCTGGGACCTTATGCATGCAGAACGTGCTGTGCCCTGGAGCTAGTGCCGCCCCCGCCCCCCGTCCCCCCCAAGGCTTGTTACCTCCCTGTTGCTTGGGAGCAGGCTGCCTTTGAAGGCTATGATGGCCTGCCCCACCTCTCTCCCTTTGATGACCTGGTTGATGTTGGTATAGTTTTCCTCATTCACTTTTGCCCAGAAAGAAGGGAACCTGTTTTTATGCAGGGTTTTTTTCTTTTTCCTATATATATGACTAAACTAGGAATAAGCTGCAGGGGTCTAGGAATGGAAACTTTTGTGAAACACCACAACATGGAAAATTAAGATCTGAGATCTTTGTACATACCTACAAAAGTTCCACCAAGTACACAAATATGTGGCAAGCAGTACTTAATTGCACAATGTTGTCAGCTAAATTGTATATTAAGTAGAACGCTCTGTTTCTGTTCTTAATCAGGTTTATATCAAGCGATTATGGATAAAAGAGGGGTGTTGACAGAAGCTGTGAATGGCGATACGGTGCTTGACATTAACAGAATCAGTGCAATGAAATTCCCTCATCGCTACACAAAAGTAAGCGGCTTCTAAAGTGGTGATAGTATAAAGCTGTTACTAGGGTGTCTGAGACACCACAAAAAATACTTTCGTATTTTTGCAAATGAGCATACAATGAAACCCTAACTTTATATTTGTAAGGTTACATAAAATATCCACTTAATGGCAACACATTTTAGGAGCAAGCATGCCAAACAACCTAGTAGAGATCTGCTACCAAACCTGATGTAAATATTTGAATATTGAGCTGGTTCTGCTGTTGTACGGTAAAATATTTTTATTTTAAACATCTAATTTTTCAAATTAAATGCAGGCATATCTGTCTGCATTGGAACCATATCTTGACAACAATTAAAAGTAATGCCATCAAAAACAGTTCATCTTCAGAAGAAGTTGGAAGATGAAATAATCATCAAAACTAGAAAGAAGTGAACATGATTAAAAGTAACTTGGGAAATTGCATGAATGGGTGATAGTCCTATTTAGCTTTGTAAGAATACTGAGGGAACACCTGTACAATACAATGTGGCTAGTCAATTAAGGAATATAAAATAACTAAAGATACACAGTTGTTAAGTAAATTCCCTTGAAAGTCAGTGGACTTTCAACAGGACAGTTGTGTAACTCAGTAGCAGTAGATCTTGTTGCTGCTTGCGATTGTACTGATCTCTCTTGCACAAGACACTCTCCCATGTTGATTTGTCAGGGATCTTTTATTCTTTCATTTAACTTGTGTACAGAATAATTTTGCCATTATTCTTAACACTTTTATCTTCAACAAATGTAATCCTTCATGTTCTATTGTATTTGAATGTATCTTATTGTGTTGTAAGCCGCCCCAAGGCTTCGGCAAGGGGTGGCATAGAAATGTTATAATAATAATAGTAATAATAATAATAATAATAATAATAATAATAATAATAATGAAAGAGTGATTTTTATTTCTTAAATATTCCTTTCTAGTCAGAAAGAAACATTAGGGAAGCTTTCTTGCTAGTTGCATGGTGCCAGTCTGCTCTGAATTCTCCTGTATGTTTATTTGAGAATACTATAACTTTCCTTTCTCTAGGAAGAACTTCTGGATATTAAAGAGCATCCCCACTCAAAACAGAGGCCATCATGTCTTTCTGAAAAATATGACAGGTATTTCTATTAAGTATAACTAAGTTGTTTGTGAGATTCCATGGGTCCATAGTTTGCTGAACTGAGAATACATGTTTGATGAATGTGGTGTTCACTTCTTACCCTGTACGCTAGTTTTGGTGCTTAAGTTTGTTTAAATTAAATTTGTTATGTCAAAATAAGGAGCCATGGTTTAATGTTGAGTTAGGCAACTTCCTAACAAGTTGAGACATAAAAAGAAACTGATTTCCTACAGGCTGGGATCAAAATGCCAAAACTGGCACATTAATGGAGGAGCTTGGTGGCGGTGGGAGGCCATATAGCACATTTGTCCCTAGCTTAAATTGTTTGTGAATTCATGAATGTTAAATTCAACAGGGTTTGATGTAAATGCAGCTGCTTGGAGGTGTCCATTGCTGTAACTTTACTTCGCAGCACTTGGAAGTTATGCTGGTTACAGCTTGTTAAACTACCTGCCCAAGATTGCTTATGATAATGTTTTAAACATTTAAGAAATTATCAAGGCACCATAGCTGAATGTACACTAATATGCATTGTATTTAAAGTTAGAAAAACCACTGAGATAAATGGGACTAAGAACAGCATTGGATAAAACCCACTGTAACTTAATCTGGTGGTACTGAGATGGGCAGCTTAATTATAATTATAATTAATTTATATTGTTAATTTATATAGTTTTATTGTATTCTATTTATTTATGGTTTGTGAGCCGCCCTGAGGCTTCAGCGCATGGGGCGGCTTAGAAGTTCCCTAAATAAACAAACAAACAAACAAACTGCCCAATAGTTGGAGGTGGCTGGGTGGTTTATAATGTATAAAACTATAGTACAAAATGCAAACAACATTAAAACATCATTAAAAGTTGTCATACAAAATCTAAAACCAATTAAAACGCTTATAGAAATTGCAATAGTGTATATGAACTGATCAAGTAGTCTTTTTAAGCAGCTAACAACCCCAAAAACTAATGTAAGACTGCCCTCTATCACCAGGTTATTTATCAGGTACAGAAAAGTTACTAAGGTTGGCACTAAGCAGGCCTCAGTGGGGAGGTCGTTCCATAACTGGGGGGCTACCACTGAAAAGACCCCTTTCCTTTGTGCCACCAACCAGTCCTCCCTTGGAGGTGGTAGTTGGAGGCAGGCCACAGAACCCGATTGTAGTGTCCAAGCAGATTGTGGGTAGAGAGGTATGCAGTCAGATATTGTGGCCCCAAGCCATTAAGTGCTTTACAGGTCAAAACCAGCACCCTGAATTGGGCTTGGAAGCATATAGGTAGCTAATCCAAGTAAGCCAGAATTTGTGTTAATGTCTGGTACCTGTTATTAATCTGCCTGCCACATTTTGCACAAACTGTAGCCTCTGAATTCTCTTCAAGGGCAGCCCCACACAGAGTGCATTGCAGTAATTTAGTTTCAAGATTACTAGAGCAAGGACTACCTATAGCAGGCTTTCTCTGTTCAGATAGGGTCATAGCTGAGCCACCAGCCGAAGCTGGTTGACAGCACTCCAAACCACTGATGCCACCTGGACCTACAGTGAGAAAGATGACTCAGGGAACAGCCCCAAAGTATGAACCTACTCCTTCAAGGGGAATGCAACCCATCTAGAACAGGTAGAACTCCCTCTATCTGGTTAGAAGAACCACCCACTAAAAATGTCTCCGTCTTCTCAGGATTGAGCTTCAGTTTGTTAGCCTTCATCTAGTTTACTGTCACAGCAAGGCACCATTTTAGTACATTCGCAGCCTCACCTGCTGAAGATGAAAAGGAGAACTGTGTGTCATCAGCATATTGAAGGCAACATCCTCCAAAACTCCTGATACTGAATGAGATGCAGGGCAAGATGACCCCTGAGGAACCCCATACTGGAGAGCCCAAGGAACAGAGCATTGTCCTTCAAGCACCAACTTCTGGAACTTGCTTTCCAAGTAGGAGTGGAATCACTGCAACTCAATGCCTCCTACTCCCAACTCAGTCATTCCGCATGGATACCTTGGAAAGCTGCAGAGGTTTGGGAATACTAACAGAGTCACACCTCTGCTGTCTCTCAGAGTATGTCATCGTACAGGGAGACTAAAGTGGTTCCCATCCCAAAACCAGGCCTGAACCCCAATTGAAATGGATCCAGATAATCGGTCCCATCCAAGGGCACCTGGAGACCAAATAATTTAATACAATAGGCATACTACATGCATGTTTCATCTTTGAACTTGACAGAGCTTCCATTGTGTATCTTTCAGGGTTGTGATAAGGACAACTCTATAAACTTAACCTGAGCTGCAACATCATGATTGAGATTCAGGAGAGACACCTGTTTTGACATTTTGCCTTCTGGTGATTTATTGAGGGAATTGTATAAAAATATAGGACTGCATCCAGTTCTGTCACAGTGCTAATTATGTTGGGATATCACAGAACTAGTACATCATTAGTGCTTCCTAAGCAAAGGGGAATTGTCTGAGTGTAGGGGGAAGCAGCAGTCAGATTGGTGCTGGTGGTGTTACACTAGGGTTGTTTATAGCAATGCAGTATTGGCACTGTGACAGCACTGGGTACTCCCCAAGTAAGAACTTTTCAGGTGTGTTCAGACTTTTTAATGGGAAAGTTAGGAATATTTCACAGCATTATTCATACTTTTGAACTATCCAATGATTCCCTGAGATTCTAGGTTGAGTAGTGATGGGCGTATCCAACACTGTTCTTAAAGTAAAATATGCTCCACTGGTGTAAGCAACCCCAGCTTAAAGCAGAGTTTCTGTGGAAAGTTAGTTGTGCTAGCATTGACTAGGATGCTGCCTGATGACACTAAGGCTGCTATTAAGTTTGTGCCACCATGAAGTATATTAACCTCTGTATGTTGGAGACTATCTGCACAAGGGCAGAAGTCCAGTAACATGTATCAGAAGTTACCAGTTTTCCTAAGATAAAGATTCCCTTTGGTAGACCAGGATATCCAGTAAGCTATTCAACTCTTCTCATCAACCTGTTGAGGCCATATAATCTTGAAGTGCCCACAGTATAAGTCATTGCTTTTTAAAGTCTCTACTGAGCAGGCAGGACTGGTAGGATGCAAATAAAAGGGTATAGGATTGCAGCCTTTTACACATATTTCAAATCATAATTGTTCACCTTAGTATCTTGGAGCCTGATGATTTTGAAAAATGTTGCAATGTCTCCTAAAAAGAGGGCAGGCAGACATGAACCAGATCCTAATGACAGAAATTTTGAATTGGAAACACTATTTAAAGCTGAATGGAATTGCCTAGTGTAGCTCTTGTAAAGAGATTTCAGTACCAGCTCTGAATAATTGCTTCTACTCATCATTGGTCACAGAATTATTAAGTTTATTGATTATGGCAAATATGTGACTTTACATTATAGTGACGGAGTTTGGGATCCTGAAAAATGGCATGCATCACTGTATCCAAATTCTGGAAGAACTTCACCAGTGGAAGTGCTCAAGAAAGACTTGGATTCAGATCGGACTTTGCTCATGCGCAGGATAGTAGGTGAGTGCATTGCAGAGTATGTAAGTCCAAATCCACTCAATAGGCCTTAAGTTGCCTATTCAGAGATTGCTTAACAGAATTTAGTTTTTTGAGCTATACATATGCTTCAGAAGGAAGAAAGGAGCATGCTTGCTTTTCACTTAATAAAATTTGCTTAGAATTAATCTGTAATAACATCTATTCTAATGATTGAATTATTATTTTACTTCTGTAGCCAAAGCTCTCTGGGTGGTTCACAACAATTTCTTAAATATACAAAAAATCTTGATAAGTATGATAAAAAGGCAATAGAATTCAAATATACACATTTAAAAGCAGTTTATAAAATTCTAGTATACAAAAATGTTAATTTAAACATCAAAAACAATTCTAACAAAACTAGGACTAATTAAGTTTTAACCTAACCTTGGAAAACGGCAATGTTGGTGCCAAGCAGGCCTCATTGTGGAGCTTCTTTCCAAACAGGGTGGGTGTCAGAGAAGGCCCTCTTTCTTGTTGTCTCCTGGAGCCTGCAATAGGAAGAAGACCCCAGATCAGAGTGTAGGGCTCAGATTGTCAGGACAGGTATCCCATCAGTTATTGTTTTCCCAAGCCATTCAGGGCTTTATAGATTAAAACCAACACCTTGAATTGTGCTTGGAAGCATATAGGCTTCCGAGCTGGACAAGAACTGGTGTTGTATGTTCAGACCGTTTGGTCCCAGCTATTAATCTGACTGCTGCAGTTTGGACAAGATGTAATTTTTGAACAGTCTTCAAGGGTAGCCCCGTGTAACCTACAAACCGTATTTCTATATTGCGGAATCTTGATGTCTTAAAATAAGAGATCTGCATTCTTACAAGTCAAACTGCTATGCAATTCATGTGTACAAATGAAGAGGAATGACACTCAGATAGCAACTCCTTAAGTTCACTCATTCTCAGCATGTGACTGTTTCTTTTTAAATGTATAGATCCTAAGGAACGAGTAAAAGAAGATGACTTGGATGTGGTGCTAAGTCCACAAAGACGAAGCTTTGGAGGGGGCTGTCATGTGACTGCAGCTGTAAGCTCACGTCGAGCAGGGAGCCCACTGGAAAAAGAAAATGACTGTGTCCGAGTCATTGGTGGACGTAGGATTGGCAGTGGGAGGATAATCTCTGCACGGAACTTTGATAAAGACCACCGAGGTGGTGAAAAAGACTCGCGAGATCCAAGAGATGCAAGGGACAGAGACCGTGACAGGGAGTACAAAGACAAGCGTTTCAGGGTTAGTGCTTAAAACAAACAAGAATGTAGCTATGGCTTATTTTTGATAGACTTCTTTGAGGTAGAGACGGGAAACTACTTTGCAGGTATGAGAATGTTGCAAATGCTTGTGGCCTCAAGTAAGATGGATTGTGTGACATGTTAACGCTGTTAGGCAGCACAGTTGCACTAAAAAAAATTGGGAGCTTTTGTTCCCGGATTGATACCCAAGTCAAATCCCATCTTGAGGCGTGTTGGTTTCCACTAAACAGGAATAACATAATAAGTTTCTTGATGACTTTTGGATAGTCATTCCTGGAGTCAAACTGCTTGGCTGGAGGCACCTTTGGCAGTGCAGGCTGTTTTTATGTCGGCTTGTATGAGTTTTGTTGTATGGATTTTTCTGTTGAATAATTGCTGTCAGTTATTAATAGAAAATACATTGCTTTCACAGACAGTTAGGTGATACTCTGCCTCTTTCAGAATGTATCCCCTTGCCAAAAATATATTCTACAAAGTTTTCCTATGCCAAAAAAAGAATTGCATAGGAACTTGATATTTGTGGACTCCCCAACTTTTCCCTATATTATCCCTTAAAACCTTAGAGAGAGTATGGAGACAGCAAGCGTGTCTTTGGAGAGCGCCGAAGGAATGACTCTTATACAGAGGAAGAACCAGAATGGTTTTCTGCTGGCCCTACAAGTCAGTCAGAAACCATTGAACTTACTGGATTTGATGACAAGATCCTAGAGGAAGAACATAAAGGACGAAAACGGACAAGAAGGCGCACAGCTTCTCTGAAAGAAGGTAACTCTGAAACCTGGCATCTTGGGCCCTGATGGGAATTTTCTGTATTTCTGGAATAAGTAGTCCTTTATTGTCTGCTCCTGTCTTTTTCTAATATTGACCACTGGATGTTAGTAATGATGCATAGATGTTGGAAGTGAGACTAGACTGAAATGCCTCTGTTCTAGTTCAGAGATCTAGCCAGATATAACCTGGCTTGTTTCTCTGGAGCGAGGTTAGGGCGCGTATGCATGCATGAGAGAGTGGCTGGTTTCATATGGCAAACAACACTGTGCTGCTTCTACAGTGTGCAGATTTTTGCCCAAACTGACTGGTCAGATGACTGTGTGATTCAGAGCATGTTATGGTTTCTACAGTGCTGTACAGTTCTTCTGTGTAATCTTGCCACTCCTTCTTAATTTCTTCTGCCTCTGTTAGGTCCCTGCCATTTTTGTCCTTTATCATGCCCATCTTTGCATGAAATAATTCCCTTCATACCTCCAATTTTCTTGAAGAGATCTCTAGTCTTCCCTATTCTATTGTTTTCTTCTATTTCTTTACACTGTTCATTTAAGATAGCATTCTTATCTCTTTTAGCTATTCTCTGGAATTCTGCAATCAATTGCGTGTATCTTTCTCTTTCTCCTTTGTCTTTTGCGTCCCTTCTTTCCTCAGCTATTTTTAAAGCTTCCTCATACAGCCATTTTGCTTTCTTGCATTTCTTTTTCTTTGGGATGGTTTTAGTTGCTACCTCTTGTACAATGTTGCGAACCTCCGTCCGTAGTTCTTCGGGCACTCTGTCTATCAGATCTAATTCCTTAAATCTATTTGTCACCTCTACTGTATATTCATCAGGGATATGATTTAGGTCATACCTGAGTGGCCTAGTGCTTTTCCCTACTTTCTTCAATTTTGCAACCAGAAGCTCATGATCTGAGCCACAGTCAGCTCCTGGTCTAGTTTTTACTGACTGGACAGAGCTTCTCCATCTTTGGCTGTAGAGCACATAGTCAGTCTGATTTCTGTGTTGACTGTCTGGTGATGTCCATGTGTAGAGTTGTCTCTTGGGTTGTTGGAAAAGAGTGTTTGCTATGACCATCATATTCTCTTGACAAAATTCTACCAGCCTATGCCCTGCTTCATTTTGTACTCCAAGGGCAAACTTGCCTGTTATTCCAGTTATCTTTTGGCTTCCTACTTTAGCATTGCAATCCCCCATGATGGTAAGGACATCATTTTTGGGTGTTAATTCTAGAAGGTGTTGTAGGCCTTCATGGAACTGGTCAACTTCAGCACCAGTGGTTGGGGCATAGACTTGGACTGCTGTGATGTTGAATGGTTTGCCTTGGATTCGAACTGGGATCATTCTGTCATTTTAGAGATGGTATCCCAGTACTGCTTTTCCTACTCTTTTATTGACTATGAAGGCTACTCCATTTCTTCTGAGGGATTCTTGCCTGCAGTAGTATACCTGATGGTCATCTGAATTAAATTCACCCATTCCTGTCCATTTTAGTTCACTGATTCCTAAAATGTTGATGTTCAGTCTTGTCATTTCATGTTTGATCATGTCCAGCTCACCTTGGTTCATAGATCTTACATTCCAGGTTCCTATGGAGTATAGGTCTTTGCAGCATCGGACTCTCCTTTCACCACCAGATACATCCGCAACTGGGTGCCCTTTCGGCTTTGACCCAGTCGCTTCATTCTTTCTGGTGCTACTAGTACTAGTCCTCTGCTCTTCCCAGTAGCACACTGGACACCTTCTGACCTGAATCGTTTTGCCCTTTAACTGTCCATGGGGTTTTCATGGCAAGGGCACTGGAGTGGGTTGCCATTTCCTCCTCCAGTGGATCATGTTTTGTCAGAGCTCTCTGGTATGACCTGTCCGTCTTGGGTGCCCCTGCACGGCACTGCTCATAGCTTCATTGTGCTACGCAAGCCCCTTCGCCATGGCAAGGCAGTGATCCACGAAGGGGATGCTTTGTACAGAGTGCATTAATTTGTCGATTATTGTGCATTATGGGCCTTTTCAATATAAATAAAATTGTTAACAGCCAAATGTTGCTAGTCTTGTTTAATGCACCACTAGAGTTCTTGATTCATCTGAAACCTTAACATTGCCCTGGAATACATCTTGCAGTAATGCCTATTGAATGTAACTTTAGTGAAATGCTCTCTGAACTTTAACAACACTCAAAGTTGTTATATCATGGGTGTCAAGGAATGGGCTTCAGCAACTTCTGAAAATGTTCATGTCTGGATTAACTTTGGTTTTATTTATCTAAGGAGTAGAATGCAATGGTGGAGTAGCAGAGGAGGAAGAGCTGCAGGCGGCTGTTCCGGAGAGATCAGCAGATCAAGAAGACCCAAGGGAAGTGGTGCTGCCAGAACCTGCTCCAGGAGAGTTTGATTTCAATGAGTTCTTCAACCTGGATAAAAGTGTTCCAGGTTTGGCTTCGGTGAGTGTTAAAACAATCTTTGCTATAGTGGGTGCCATCTTAAATTAATATATGCCACCTCTGGCAACAGAAAGCAGCTTGTCATCTGTCTTAAAGCTCTCTCAAAGACTTGGACACGTCTGTTGGCTGAAGTGAAAAGTGAATGTTCTAAAATCTTGTTTCTCTGGCTTACGTGAATCACTGGAATTCCATTTGCAGAAGCAACTCATCACTTCATTTTTTTCACCATTCCTCACTAGTCTGGAGAAGGAAACACATATGCTGGACTGTCCTGTGTGGGACAACCTTGCAGGTCCTCTTATATGGAAAGGTGGGATATAAATATCTTAAATAAGAGGTCCTCAGCTGACTGTTGAAAGAACACCTATACTCCAATATTCTATAAATATCCCATCTATTTTAAGAGAATAGTTTACATTCAGTCTTGGCTAAATGTTTGGAAATACCCTAGAGAGTAGAGTGAACACTGAGGAAGCTTTTCCTTTGAGTATCTTTAGCTAGTGCTGGATCAGAGTTATTCCATAGAAACTGCTAGGTTCCTTCACATAGTGTATTCAGGTGGTGTGTGACATTAGGAATGTAGCCAAAATAGGACTACTAAAGTGGGGGGAGGCAGAAATGGTCCAGTGAGGACTGGTCATGCATACTAGCCTCAGTATAGAGTGACTCCTGAGAAAGAAAATCAGACGAGCATAGGGATGCCTTTCCCTGTGGGTTTTTATTTTACCAAGTTAATAATTGAGATATTTTTAAACTGTTCTTCAAATGATGCCATGTTGATGGACAATAAATACATAATAAAAACTATGCAAAATTTCCAAGTTAAAATGTTAAGGCAAACAAATGTTTTGGCCTGGCACTGAAATCTGAAGAAGGTTGGCACTAGGTATGTGTGAGAAATCTGATTTGGGACTGGGAAGCTGTTGGATTTCCTTGGCTGAACTCCCTGCACTCTGGCTTGCTTTCTCTCTGCCCTGCACCTGCCATACACCAAGCGTTTGCATGAGTGCCTGGCAGAAAGTGAGTCCAAATGAGTCTGCAAGGCCAGCATGTGCACGTGCCTCTTGCTACTCACATGCCTGCTGTGCAAGTGGGAGTTAGGCTTCTGCACCTGGGATTTGTGGACGTTGCATTGTTTGTGCAATGGATTGCATGCTTTGCACAGAGAAGCAATATAGTGGTGTTGGCAAGCATTTGTGAAGTTCAGCTCGGCTTGTTTCACTTCCTGGTTAGAACTAAGCATGGGAAAGAAGTCCAGGGAGCCCTATTCTAGTTGGATGTTTGCATCTCTATCTGGCTGTCATTGAGGGAAACGGTGCTATAACAGTAGTCTCATTCCCTACTTGTAGCATGAGTGAAAAGCACCTTGAGAAAGGCATGTTCTAATGGGGGATCAAGGTGGCTAACTAAAATTAGGAACAAGAAATACCCTGAAGCACAGCAGCCTTTACAAAGCATAGAAACACAGAAAGTCAGAAGGCACCTCCTGGGCCATCTAGTCTGACCCCTGGCACAAGGTGGCTCTACTCATATAATGCTCAACATGTGGGTGTCCAATTTTTCTTTGAATATCCTCACTGATGAGGCCTCCACCACCTCCTGTGGAAGCCCATTCCATATCCTAGGGGTCCTAACCATCAGGAAGTACTTCCTGACATCCAACCTGAAAACCAGTTCCTTTAACTTTGCCCCATTGGGCCACATTGTTCCCTCCACCACAGGGGAGAACAAGTCATGACCCTCTACCTTGTGACACCCCTTCAAATACCTGTATGTCACAATAAGATCCCTCAGTCTCCCCTTTTCCAAGCTGAAAAGTCCCAGTTCCCTCACTCTCAGCTCATATGGCACACCCCTCAATCAAGGTACCATCCTTGTGACCCTGCAATGAACTGATTGATTGAAACATAGAAGCAGAGTAAGTCAGAAGGAGCCTCCCAGGCCATTTAGTCTGACCCGTGGCTCCAGCCAGCTTCACTCACGACATGCCTACCATGTGCCATGTCCACCCTATCCTTGATCATCCTCACCATTGGGACTTCAACCACCTCCCATGGAAGCCCATTCCAAACCCTTGGGCTCCTAACTGTTAGAAAGTACTTCCTGGCTTCCTTGTCCCTGAGCTTTGCTCCATTGGAATGTGTCCTGCCCTCCTCCATGGGGGAAAACAGGTCTCTATCTACCTCAGTCTGAAACCCCCTCACCTACCTAAATGTTGCCAACAGATCCCCTCTGAGTCTCCTCTCCTCCAGGCTGAAAAGGCCCAGTTCCCTCAGTCTCGCCTCATGGCTTTCCCTGCAATCTGGCCACCATCCTTGTGGCCCTATGCTGCACCATTCTAACCTGGCTATATCCTTCCTGTAATGCAGAGCCCAGAACTGAACACAGTACTCCAGTTGCAGGTGCACCAGAGTGGTATAGAGTGGCAGTAATACCTCTCTCGATCTAGAAGCCACACTTCTGACTATGCAGCCAAGGGTGGTGTTTGCCCTCTTGGCCACCGTGTCACACTGCTGACTCATGTTTATCTTGTAGTTGACCAGTACCCCAAGATTCTGTTCACAAGTCCTACTCTCCAGCCACTTGTCCCCAGCCTGTACTCAAGACACACATTCCTATGCCCCAAATGCAAGACCTTGCACTTATTCGCATTGAATGCCATCCTGTGTTGCCTTGCCCACTTTGTCAATCTGTCCAGATCCTTCTGGATCCAGATTACCTGCTCCTCAGTTGTAGCCATTGCCTCCATTTTAGTATCGTCTGCGAATTTGATCATCCTCTCTTCCAGATCATTGATGAAAAGATTGAACAGGATTGGTCCCAGGGCAGAGCCCTGGGGGACTGTACTCATCTCCATCCACCATCCCGATGATTCCCCACTAATAGTTATCCTCTTGCTTTCAGTCCATCAACCAGCCCCTAATCCATCAGACAGTGCATTGGTCTATCCCCCCCAAAAAAACCAGGATATCATGCAGCACTTGTGTCAAAGGCCTTGCTGAAATCCAACCGTGCTATGTCCCTTATGTAACGTGGAGCCCAGAACTGGACACAATACTCCTGTTGTGGGTACACTGGAGTCTTATAGAGCAGCACCTCTCTGAATCTGGAATTCACACCTCTCTCTCTACATCCAACCTTCTTAACTGCCGAATCACACTGCTGACTCATGTTTAGCCTGTGTTGACAAGTACCCCAAGATCTCTTGCACAAGTGCCACTCTTTAGCAACTTGTCCCCCCATCCTGTACCTATGGCAATTATTACTGATTCCCAAGTACAAGATTTTGCGCTTATCTGTATTGAACACCATCTTGTTTTCTCCCACCCACTTCCACAGTCTGTCCAGATGTTTGGATCTGGACTGCCTGCTCCTCTGTTGTGTCCAGCATCCTCACTGTGGTATCATTTACGAATTTGGTTGGCATACTGGTCACCCCCTCCTCCAGGTCATTGATAAAGGTTGAAGAGAATCAGTCCCAGAACTGAGCTCTGGGGGACTTGTCTCATCACCGGCTGCCATCCTGATGACTCCCCTCTGCTTGTGGTCCGGTCAACCATATCCTGATCCATTGGACAGTGCATCAGTTTGTCTAGCAGCTCATTACTTTCTTGACTAGGATATCACACAGAACCTTGTCAAAGACCCTACCGAAATCCAGGTAAACCACATCCTCTATCTCCACTGCATCTTGTCATAGAACTCCACAAGATTCATCTGCCAAGAACGTTTTTTGTGTGGAAGCTGTGTTGGATGGCTGCCAAGATCCCTTCCCTATCTAGGGTTTCTAGGACTTGCCCTATTAGGAATGTTACATCATCTTTCTCAGAATGGATGCAAGGCTAACTGCCTGTAATTTTTCTTGTCCCCTCTGCTAACCTTTTTGAAGATTGGGGCCAGTGATGCCACCCTTCAATCCTCCAGAACATCTCCGATTTTCCATAAGGCCTCAAAAATTGAGGCCAAAGGATATGAGAGTGCGCCTGCCAATTCCCAGTGTACACTCAAGTGTGATCCATCAGGACCTGGCACCTTCATAACATCTAGGGCCCTGAGGAGTTCCTTAACATCTAGGGGAGTGACTGTGAGATGTGCCCCCATAATCCCAACCTCATCTGGCATCCCAGGCGCATCTCCCTCAACCTGCTTTGGGAAGAATACAGAAACAAAATAATCGTATCTGTACCCTTACATCAGTTACCAGATCCCCTCCTTCCCTTTTAAGCGGCCCTTTTTTGCTAGACTTATTTACTAAAATGTCCTGCAAACTTCCATGGCCTCAAATTAGAATGTCTTACACCAGTGTTGGGTTTGTATTATAAGGACTTGGCAAATGCTGGCATGTTAGAAGAGAACATGAAAATTTGGGCTTGCTAAATTAGAATTGCTGTGGGATATTGCACAGAGGCAACCTCTTTTCATTAGTGTTGCATTTAATGCTACTGAACTAATTTTGCACTGTTATAATAGATACTGTGTTGACTGTTCACAGTACTGGGCTTTGCTCATCCTTTCTGGATCTCTGTAAAACATGGCTTCTAAGTGTAGCTCTGGCAAGTTTGATCTAGACATGGTGCATAGAGGGGCATGTCAACCTTTACTGAACCTTCCTTTTGTGTTCAGTGAAGCCGGTTTCAATATAAAACTAGGTGATGGTGGCACAAAGTGACCCTACTTTGTGGAACTGACCCTTCAGTATTTAGCAGTTTTGATCAGCTACTTTTTATCTTTACTAATTCTAACAGGTTTCTAAAACTACACTAGTTCATAATAACAATATTTAATACTGTTAGGTGTTTTGCAGTGAGGCTTTTATTGTACAGTCATGGAACTTCTCAGAACGCGGTAGAGGATTCATTCAAAGAAATTTGGAGGGCAGGGTCAGAGTGTGCACCCAGGCGAAATGTTTTACTAGACACCCTTGCTCGCAAGTCTTCCCCGCACTGCTCAGAATGCTGTATCAGGCCAAAGGCTCCTTTAGTCCAGAATTCTGCTCACATAATAGATGGCATACTGGACTAGATGGACCCTTGGAGAAAAGACAGGATACTTCTGTCTTTCCTCACACTATGGAAAAACCATTAAGGGAAAAAGGGGAAGAGTAGTTGTATAATGCCTTTAGATTATTGGCACTAGGCTCCCCTGACTGAAAGTGTCATCACATCCAGTGTGGCATTTAATAAGGGTTGTTATTAATGGTTGATGCCAATGCTAAATCTCAGTTGTATCTGGAAGGGGTAAATGTAATCATCAAAGAGAGGAATCCGTTACTGTTTGTGTTATGTGGCCAATAATGTGCCTTGGCCTTTGGGAGATTCCTCCTTGGTGGCTACCAGTCACAGCAGTGTTAGTCTTTCTCCTGGGTGGATTCTCCCAAGCCTAAGCAGTGACTATGTTGATTGTAAACACTGTGTTGTGCTGGCATTTAGGGTGTAGCCTTAAATGAGAAGGGCTTCTATTGTAGATGCTGTGTTATTGAATAAGGAGATACAAATTTATTAGCCCACCATAATTTAATTTAGGAGGCCAAGCTTGAAATCTCTCCACTGTATCGCTGGTCCTCTCTCCTTCCTGTCCCTGGGACATCCACTAAACAATTTGAGAGTTTGATTTTCCTACTGTCTTGAAGCAGGTGTCATGGAACTTTTCACACCAGCAGTGGAAGGAGTGGGGAAGGAGCCTCAGGCATGGGGTCACAGCACAGACACTGTCTAGGGACCATAAGATATCTTTGCCCATCACTTTAAGAGTGTGCTTGCCAAAACTTCTGTCAATGCAGAGCCGCTACCACAGAATTTAGAATTATGTTAATTTTTCAATTTTTCTGAATCATCTGTGTCTGAGATAATTTTTTGTGGCTAAGTGTCTGAAGCTATGATGTGATGCTAATCTTAAAATGTTATTCTAGTCTCTTCTGGTGCTCTCCACTTGTCTTATGAGAAACTTCTGTACTTTTTTTAATGGTAATTGAAAGCTTCATGGCAATTCAGTGTGTTATGGGAATCTTTTTTCCAGGATGGCTAACTAGTTTTCTTCTTGTAGGTCTCTAAATTACCTGGCTTAAAAGGAAATGTTAACATAGTAGACATGCATTAAACCTAAATTTTAAAGGTTATGAAGCTGGACCGTGACAATACCAACACATTGCGTTTAAAGGTTGCTTTTTGTGTATGAAAACACACATACACAAAACGCACACTAATTGTTATAAATGACTCACACCTTGTATGCATGGTGGTGCTCCTGCCAAATTACACCAGGACTTAGCAAATCATTAGGTGCTACAGTTAAGGGGGGACTTTTACCAGCGCCCTCCATACAGCCTGTATGGGTCTTCTACTACTGGATGCCTCCCAGATCCTGACCTTTGAAAGAGGTTCAGTTTTCCTACCAAACCATGATCAAACAATTTCCATCATGTGATGGTCCAATAATGTCCAGCCCTTTTCTATGGATAGTTGTAGATTCACTGGTTATGCCTGTTCATGCAGGAAAACCTTCTTTAATTACCTCCAGACAAATGTGAATAGAATCATCACCTTAATCTTCAATTGCATGCCTGTGTATGAACTTCAGATAAGTTAAGTAGTACAGGAAGATACAGGCTGCACAGCCAGTGAATTTGGATTATGCTCTTAGACTTTCTTAAGTTTCTAGCTAATAATCAAAATGTATTGTAGTAACTATATTACAAAAATAAATGAATTTTATATTAAAATGGGAAACTCAATTTAAATTGACCCACTATTCCAAGATGTGCATATTAGGATAGAAATCTTATATTACTTAGCTATACAATTTCATTAAGTATACATAGTGACTGATTGACAACAGGATAGATCTAGTCCAAACAAGGAATTTGAGGGTACGCTACATACACTCACGAGCACGTGCACACACACACATGGTGTACATTCTCAGGCTTGACTAATTCACTGTTGGGAAGAATCAGAATTGTTGGAGGTCCTTCCCAATAGTGAAACCTAAAATTCAGTGTGTTTATATTTGGGCACATTGATTATTAGAAAACAGAACATTAGTACCTGTATCTCAAATAGGTAAAATACATCTAGATTCCTGAAAACTAAAATGTTATACATATTAATTTTTAAATCCTGAAATAGTACAGTTTTGATGCCTACATTTTATAGCCTAAATGCAGAGAAGCCCAAAATGTACCATAAAATATCAGGCAGTGGGGACTGACTGCCTTGGATTCAAGAGAGTAGCAGGAGTGATCATACCTAGGCTTGAACAATGCAGGCTTCACATGTGTGCACCTGTTCCCCCCCTCCTTATATACATGGTCCAGAAGATAAAACTAATGACTCTGCTTCCCTTTTTAAAAGCAGACCTTCCTAACTAGCTTGCTAAAGCTGTAGACCTATGATGAATGAATTAAGTAGAAAAAGTATTGCTGACTGAGCAAAATTACCCCTGGTGTTATGAGTCTGAAGATGAACTGTCATTGTGTCTGGATCATACTTAAACAACTCTGGAGTCCTAGCAAGCACATCTCTGAAGATTTTTTTGCAGCTCCTGTCCTACTGTACCTACAGTTGAGCCACTGAGATACCATGGGAGCCATAGTGGGTCCCATTCTATTTTTAGTAAAAGTGACAGTTAGCACCTGTCCCTGGGGGAGACTTAATCTAAAAGGAACTAAAAGTAGCATAAAGCATTTTCTAAAAGGAACATTTTCTAAAAGGAATCTAAAAGGAACTAAAAGTAGCATAAAGCATTTTCACATCAGACATTCTGGAAGTAATAGCCAGAGGTGTTCCACAGTGTACACAGTGGACGTTATCTCTTATGCTAGACTCTCAGGCTTCTGTACTATGTGATGATTTTCTGAAATATTATTCCTTTCCCCTCATAATATAGATGATAGAAGATGTGCTGGGGGAAGGCTCTGTGTCAGCCAGCAGGTTCAGCCGCTGGTTTTCTAATCCTAGCCGGTCTGGAAGCCGTTCGAGTAGTCTTAGATCTACACCCCATGAAGAGTTGGAAAGATTAGCAGGTAATCTCATCTTGTCCTTTCAGCCACCATTCTATTTCTTTCAGGAAGCTGTAGGATTGTGAGCTCCTCGACATTGGTGGTTGCTTGCTTCTTCTAATGCCTCACCTTTTGAAGCATAACTCATAATTCCATTGATAGGAGTGTGTGGAATGTGTTCTCCTCTCAAGAGTATAAAAAAATCTTGCTGTATTCCCCTCAAGATACTTAGCAAGAAAAACTTACAAGGCAGTCGTCCTGGTTTTTACTGTTTCAGGTCTAGAGCAAGGCATTCTATCCCCTGGTCAGAATTCTGGAAACTACTTTGCTCCTATTCCTTTGGAAGACCATTCTGAAAACAAAGTGGACATCTTAGAGATGCTACAGAAAGCCAAAGTGGACTTAAAACCCCTCCTTTCAAGTCTCTCAGCCAACAAGGAGAAGCTTAGAGAGAGCAGTAAGTCTTCCCATCTGCTGTTGTGATGCCTTTGGGTGCCTTGGGCAAAAACATGTTCAAGTGCCAAGCTTTCATTCTCAACCAGGAAGTGCTAAGGTTTATTCTAGGGATACCCTTGGATATCTGCATTGCCTTGTTATTGTCTGACCCTTGCTGATAGGATGACAGCAGGATTAACTCTTGGCATACAAGAAGTTCCACTATTGATTATTCTTGGTATTGGAATCAGTTTCCAAATTGGAAGATACGGCAAAAACACAGCACTGCAAAGCTTGCTACTTGAGCAGCTCTTGCTATGTACGCTTCCCAAGTTTGCACCACAGCATCTGTTGCCTTCTTAACATAAAGCCTTTAGCACTGAATATCTTGGTTAGGGGATTGATGGCTATTCAGGGCACAACTTAAAGAACAAGGTAACTTAAAAGAAAAATTGGCTGTACATGAAATGGCAGCCATAATAATGAGGGGAAAAAACCAGAAAAAACAATGCTTTGACAATGATTTCTCCTGCTGGAATCTCATCATGTAATTCCTATTGGAGAGCAGAGCCTAGTTTTTGCATGTATGGCAGAAGACTTGCCTGGATTATCTGAAGTCGCATGCATGTGGCTGCATGCATGTTCAAGAGGCTCCTTTGCATGTGTGTTGTGCAACCTTGGTTTTCAGTGTAAAACCTCTGCTGACAGGGAGAACTCGCAGCTACTGGCATGCAAATACATTGAGCATGTTAAAAGATTGTATCTCTGCTTTGTGCATCCTCAAGATTGGGAGGAGCTGATCTCAGATTTCCATAACCTGTTCAGGAATAATGTAACTAATATGCATTCCTGCCATGAAAGCTCTTCCCCAAATTTAATACCAAGCATTATGCTCATTCTTTACTCTCCTACAGTCTGTTGGATGTTTCAGACAAGTGCATACTAAATTGGGCCTTTGCCTCCATTTGTGTATGTCCTGGAACATCTGGATTGTAGTCCCAAGTGCCAAGTGTATTTTGCAGTACATAAAGAAAAACAGCTCTTGCTATGGAAGTGTGCTTGCACAGATTTTTTTTTTTTAGGTTTCTGTGATTTTCTGGTCTAAGACTATCTTCAACTGATGATGCTTCAGTATTCCATCATCTGTTCTTTGACTAAAAAATGTCTTACCTGGATGGATGGCCAGCCATTGGCTCGCAGAGTGCTATATTCTTAGTAACACACATTAGTTGATCTTACATGACCTGTATCTGGAGTTTTGACAGCCATTCTACTACAACAAACAATGTGTCCTTCTCTCTCTGACCATTCCTTAGTAGAAGTTGGCAATTATGCTTTATAAAACTACTGAAACAGCTAACACTGGAATCCCATTTCAGTCTGCCAAACAGCCATTGTTAAGCTGATGGTAATTTGGATGGTTTCTGTGAGACTGCAGAAGTGTTTATCTCAACTGATAATCAGTTTAGATTTCAGATACTGCCTGTGGAATGAAGAAAACATATAAATGATCATGTAAAAGGAAAAGCTGTCTTTAAAGGTAGTAGGCTGGGAAGTATTAAGATAGGTCAGCCCTGGCTGTGGCTCGGTAGTCCTTGGTGACATGGCAGATGGAGTCATGAATGGTGCAGCAGACGACTTGCTTTCAGATGGCAGCTTCTGCTTATCTGCATAGAAGTGATATGTTCCATAGGGTTCATAATCAACTGTTGTGAATAAGAGCCCTACTATTCTTTAGTTTTCCAACTGAAAACATGGAATCATATGAGGGAACAGTAAATTAGAAGTGCAAGAGAGTTTTCAATTCCAAATATCTTGGAAGAAATTATGATGATTCCAAGGGTCCAAAGTGCTTTGCTCAGCATGCAGATCATGTGATGTCCCTTACTGCCTTGGGGTGCAATCCCCTGGGAAGTGTTACTGTGCAACTCTCATTTCAGTGAGGCTTACAGAAGGGAGCTTTCTGCTGAATTGTGACCATAGTCCTAGTAATGCTGATGCTATAGCAATGACTAGCTGTTTTTTGTTCTCTTTGCATGTCAATCAAACTCTGCAAAACTGTTGGCTGACTTTAACTTTCCCATAAGGCTTGGATTTCACACTGACACTCTGATTATTGAGAAACCATTAAGTATCTGAATGATCTTTCCCCTAGTTTATTCCTCTTTGCTATCTGAAGGTTTGGAACCTTAATTTCTGACTTAGCTCTAAATTGAATAATGTTATTCTTACATCCTTGCATGACCTTGGAATTACTGATATTTTAATAGTGGCCCGGAGCAGAGATGGAGCAAATTTCAGATTCTTCTTGCTTTACTTTCAGACAATGTATAGTCCCTGAATCTACTCCATAAAACAACACCCAGTTCATAATTATTTCCCTCCCCTCCTTCTTTAGCACATTCAGGAGTTGTACTTTCAGTGGAAGAAGTAGAAGCTGGGCTGAAAGGCCTGAAAGTGGATCAGGAGGGGAAAACAGCTACCCCCTTAATGGCAGAGCAGATGGAAGAGTCCCTAAATATGGCTGACTCCCGGCACCTTAAGGATGGTGATATGTCTGCCTTCAACAAACTAGTCAGTACAATGAAGGCAAGTGGGACTCTACCTTCACAACCAAAAGTCAATGTAAGTAATGTATCTGATAGTGCTGAAATATTGCACACTCAATTATACCCAGTCTTGGTATGAATTAAACCATTTTCATATACAAACATTATACAGCTTGCCTTGCTTGTATAACACATTTTATTTTGCAGATTTATAACCTGCTTTTTTAACACAAGTAACTTTCATATTGGTGTAAAAGTAACGGTAAAGGTTTCCCCTTGACATTAAGTCCAGTCATGCCGGACTAGGGGGCGGTGGCTCATCTCTGTTTCCTAGCCGAGGGAGCCAGCGTTTGTCCACAGACAGTCTCCGTGGTCATGTGGCCGGCATGACTAAACACTGAAGTGCACGGAACGCTGTTACCTGCCCACTGAAGTGGTACCTTTTCATCTACTTGAATTTGCATGCTTTTGAACTGCAAGGTTGACAGGAGCTGGGATGGAGCAATGGGAACTCACCCCGTTGTGCAGATTCTAACTGGCAACCTTTTGATCAACCAGCCCAGCAGCACAGCGGTTTAAACCACTGCGCCACCTGCAGTCCCTTCATATTGGTGTACAATGCAGCAAATACTACTCTTGATGTAAACAGCCTCTTCACTAAAAGATAAAAACAGTCTTACTAATAGTGCTTGGGAGAAAGGTCTTCATTTGTTAAAAGCTTAATGACTAAAGCACCCAACAACCTCTGGAGAAAGCATTCTAGAAACTGTTCTTCCCCCAGCTTCGTGCCACCAGATGTCTTGGGCTTCAATTCCCATAAACCCCAATCAACATAGCTGATGGTTAGTTGTCCAAAATGTCTGCAGGGCACCATGTTGGGAAAGATACTGTTTATTGCTGTGTATGGCCAAATAGATACACCACTGGTACCATCCTTGGGATACAGGCTGCTATTAAGCACTGAAAAGGATGTTTCCATGGTTACTATCTGCCTCAGTTCTGAAGGCAAAGGGGCACTTTGAAACTATGGTAAAGGAGTACCTTATATGGGGATAGGTGATCCTTCAGGTAAAACACACTGACTTTCATTTGGTGAGATTCTGGCAGTGGCAAGTAAATGCAGCCTCGATAGAGCAGTTGGTGTTAGATTTTTCATGGAGCTGGAACAGTCTTCTAACACATTTCCCAGACATGGGGTGACTCAAGGAAGATGTTTGGAGTTGGGATACATTTCACTAAGATGAACAGATAAGTTACATGAATAACCTGTCTTGATATATGCTTCTGAATCTGTGTTGCCCTTGTGGGAACTACCTCTCAATCTATCCAGCAAATGCTGTGCCTGAAATGTCATGCAGCTTATAAACAATTTCTGCTCTTGAAATTTCTGCTCAGGAACAAGTTTCAAGCTTTAGTCAGATGAACTAGCCTGGAGTGCATTTGCCATGGAGTTGCATTTTTCCTGGACTGTGACTTGAAACCAAGAGTTATACTGTGTTGCACATATATAGTTAAAGCTTTGGTGGCACAAACTTGAAAATCCATTTTAACAGTATATAGTAGGGCTGCTGTAGTACTGTACTAAGTAGTAGTAACGTAAATTAACACTAGTGTCCTTGCTGCATCTTCCCCTAAATGCTGTGGAGGAGTTGTACTCATAACACTTGTACTGTTGGAAGAACTGGTTGTTGTTGCTGTTGTTAGTCGTGAAGTTGTGTCTGACCCATTGTGACCCCATGGACAACATTCCTCCAGGCCTTCCTGTCCTCCAGCATCCCCTGGAGTCCACTTAAGCTTACGCCGACAGCTTCAGTGACTCCATCCAGCCACCTCATCCTCTGCCGTCCCCTTCTTCTTTTGCCATCTTTGGTCCCAACATTAGGCTCTTCTCCAGGGAGTCCTTCCTTCTCATTAGGTGACCAAAGTATTTGAGTTTCATCTTCAGGATCTGGCCTTCTGAAGAACAGTCAGGGTTGATCTCCTCTAGAACTGACTGGTTTGATCGCCTTGTGGTCCAAGGGACTCGCAGGAGTCTCCTCCAGCACCACAATTCAAAGGCCTCAATCCTTTGGCGCTCAGCCTTCCTTATGGTCCAACTTTCACAGCCATACATTGCAACTGAGAAAACCATAGCCTTGACTATACATACTTGTGTTGGCAGGGTGATGTCTCTGCTTTTTAGTATGCTCTCTAGATTTGCCATAACTTTCCTCCTAAGGAGCAAGAGTCTTAATTTCTTGGCTGCAATCCCTGTCTATGGTGATTTTGGAGCCCAGGAAAATAAAATCTGTCACTACCTCCATTTCTTCCCCATCTATTTGCCAGGAAGTGAGAGGACCGGATGCCATGATCTTAGTTTTCTTAATGTTGAGTTTCAAGCCAACTTTTGCGCTCTCCTCCTTTACCCACATCAAGAGGCTCTTTAGTTCCTCTCCACTTTCTGCCATGAGAGTGGTATCATCTGCATATCTGAGATTGTTGATACTTCTCCCGGTAGTCTTAATCCAACTGGAGATTCATCTAGCCCCGCCTTTCTCATGATGTGCTCTGCATATAAGTTAATAGGCAGGTCAACAGTGTACAGCCTTGCTGAACTCCTTTCTCAATTTTGAACCAGTGGTTCCATGTCCAGTTCTCATTGTTGCTTCTTGACCTGCATATAGGTTTCTCAAGAGACAAATAAGATGCTCTGCTACTCCCATCTCTTTAAGAATCTGCCACAATTTGTTGTGATCCACACAATCAAAGGCTTTAGCATAGTCAATGAATCAGAAGTAGATGTTTTTCTGGAACTCCCTAGCTTTCTCCATGATCCAGCGTATGTTGGGAATACTGGTTGGTTTCAAGTCCCTCAGGGCTCTATTTATCCCCTATGCACAAGTTATGTTCCTTCCTGGAGTAGGCAGATCTAGCCACAATGATCCATGCTTTAATCATCCTCTGCTTACTTTCTTGTAACACATTCTATGTGAAGCTGATCTTGAAGAGACTTTGGAAACTGCAACTAGTGCAAAATTTGGTGAACAGATTCCTCTCTGAGGCACTGTTGAAGACATTACGCCAGACTTGCAGAAATTGCATTGTTTCCCAGTCACTTTCCAGGTGGAATTCTTAACTTGGAGCCTTAAGAAGGACTGCTTTTTTCTTTTAAGTCTGTCATACTTGAAGGTCTCCTCTGGATGCCCGTCTGAATGTCCCAGCACCAACAAAAGTTAAATTGATGCGAACACAGGATAGCAGTACCACACCAATGAACTCCCTCCCAAAGGAAATCAGTGTGGCTCCTTCTCTCTTCAGCTTTAAGCAGGCTGTTAGAAGGTTTTTGTTCTATATGTTAAATGTCTTAGCTCCACTCCCTACTTTTAAGATTCTCACCTGCTTTCAATTGCTGCTATTTGTAGCATTTCTAAATTCTTGCAAACTTTTAAGAGTATTGTCTTGAAGCTTCTGTTTGGACAGAAAGGGAAACCTTACATTTAAAAATACATACATTAAATATTTTCATGTCTCTGAGGTTTGAAACAAAGGCAGAAACAGAAAAAGTCAGAAGGGGCCTCCTGGGCCATCTAGTCTGACACGTGGCTCCAACCAGCTCCACTCATGACATGCCCACCACGTGCATGTCCAGCCTGTCCTTGAACACCCTCACTGATGCGGCCTCAGCCACCTCCCATGGAAGCCCATTCCACACCCTCAGGGTCCTAACTGTCAGGAAGTGCTTCCTGGCATCCAGATTGAACCTTGGTTCCCTGAGCTTTGCTCCATTGGAACACATCCTGCCCACCTCTGCAGGGGAAAACAAGTCTCTACGCACCCCCATGTGACACCCCCTCACGTACCTATATGTTGCCAACTGATCCTCTTGGAGTCTCCTCTTCTCCAGGCTGAAAAGACCCAGTTCCCTCAGTCTTGCCTCATATGGCTTTCCCTGCAATCTGGCCACCATTCTTGTGGCCCTTCGCTGCACTGCTTTTATCCTGGCTATATCCCTCCTGTAATGAGGGGCCCAAAACTGAACACAATACTCAGTTGCGGCCGCACCAGAGTCATATAGAGTGGGAGTAATACCTCTCTCAATCTAGAAGCCACACTCCTGGCTATGCAACCAAGGGTAGCATTCACCCTCTTGACCACTACATCACACTGCTGACTCATGTTTAGCCTGTAGTTGACCAGTACACCGAGATCCCTTTCACAAGTGCAAGTGGGCAAGCCACTTGTCCCCAACCTTTACTTACGACGCCCATTCCTGTGCCTCAAGTGCACTTGCACTTATCCGCATTGAACGTCATCCTGTTGTCCCCTGCCCACTTCCATAGTCTGTTCAGATTGTTCTGGATCTGGAGTACCTTCTCCTCACTTGTGGCCTCTGCCCCCATTTTAGTATCATCTGCAAGTTTGATCAGCAGCCTGGTCACCCTCTTTTCCAAATCATTGATGAAAAGATTGAACAGGATCAGCCCCAGGACAGAGCCCTGGGGGACCCTGCTTGTCACCGGCTGCCATCCTGATGATTCCCCACTAGCAGTTACCCTCTGCCTTCTGTCAACCATGCCCTAATCCATCGGACAGTGCATTGGTCTATCCTGAACCTCCTCAATTTCCCAACCAGAATATCATGCTGCACTTTGTCAGAGGCCTTCCTGATATCCAAGTAAACCACATCCACTGTGTTCCTTCAGTCTGGCCACCTTGAAACCTTGTCATAGAATTCCACAGGATTCGTTCTGGCAGGACCTGTTTTTGCGGAAACCATGTTGCATGGCCACCAACCTACCTTCCCTATCTACGGGTACTAGACCCCTCACTATTATGAGCCTTTCCATCATATTCCCCAGAATGGACCTAAGGCTAACCTGTGAGTAATTCCCCATGTCCCCTCTTCTACCCTTTTTGAGAATGTTCTGTGGCTGTGCTAGAGGAAGCAAGCCTGGTTAGAGAGGTAGACTTCTGCATTGCCTTTCTGCATATCCAGATTCTGTAATATACTGCTGGCTGATTGGCATGCCTACTTTTATTTAAGACATTTGTAGGGGGATAGTGAAATATTTTACACCCTGGCGGCTTTAGGCAAGACACTCGGCTGATGAACTTGCAGCAAAGGCTCCTTCTGTTTCTCCAGTGCTGGTGACTACAGGCTGCCTGGAACATTCAGTTATGTCAGCTGACATTTGGAGAGCAGCTTGAAGGACAGGTTCTGTAGTTCATTGGTAGCCTGAGAACTGTGATGTTACATGTTAGAACACATGTATATAAAGAGCCAGTGTAGACAGCATGTACTTGTATTTAAGAGTGTGGGACTGGGACTCAGGAGATCTGGGTTGTACTCGCTCAACCCTGGAGTGTCTGGGTCACACTGGGCCAGTTACAGACTCTTAGTCCAACCTGCCTCACAGGGTTGTTGTGAAGATAAGATTGGGAGGAGGAGAAATATGTAAGCCTCCTTGATTTTCTTGAAAGGAAAAAGGGTGAGATATAATATTCATATTTGTATGAGTATTTATGATGTTGGAAGCCGTCCCGAGGCTTATGCGAATGGGACGGCATACAAAAATTCCAAATAAATAATAATAACAACAACAACAACACATCACAATTCCTTGTTACTCTAGTGGCCCTAGTCCTGGTAATGAAGGTGATTGTATCTCTCCTTGTGAACTTTATTTTGAAATTCAATTACTACAGTTTGTCAAAGAAGGAACTATTGACTGAAGTAGTTCTTTACTTAAATTGCTGAAAAGAGGCTGAATTAAATTTCATGCTAGATGTTATATCAATCAGTCTTGAGGATATTTCATCTGCTTGTAGTTTGTGGAAAAAGCTGTATGTTTTCTTCACAAGTCTTGTTAGGGAGGGGTTGGGGGCTGGGTTGACCGCCTGCTGAGAGCAAACCACACCAGCCCAGAAACAACACTTATCTGGTCCTCTCTTTACAACTTCACTAAAAACACAGCAAGAAATTTGAGCTGGCGATGCAATTGTCTTCATTTTACAGAGGCATTTTAAAATGACCAGATCAATTTAAAGGATAACAGTCATAATTATTGTGTGATCAAAGCCTTTGATCATACAAGAACAATGGCATCCTTGAGAAACCAAACACAAGGTCAGGAGGGACTGATATCATTAATGGTCAATGAGAATGTTTGTTATTTTAGAAAGCTTGGAGGGGTCACCTGGACTCTGTGATCATTATTTCCCTTACAGCTGAGAAGTTGGGTTGGTTGAAAGTGTAATCTGTTAGATTTACTAAGTGATTGCACTTCCAATACAGTTAAAAAGCTAGTTGGCATTTTGCTGTATTTACAAGCAAAACTTTTGTGCGTGCTCCAATATGTTCCTCAAATGCTTTGGTTTATGCAAGTACCAGTTTACTGGTGATGGCAGTAAGAGCAGAGAGTATGGAGTCAGCTACCCATTTTCCCCACTTTTAACCCTGACATCTTCATAGTCTGGAAGAATCATCAGCCTGCTTGCAAAATTGACGCTTCTGTTAACACATGACACAGGTCTGTTGTTTCTGACTTCTGCATGTGGTGGTGAGCTCCACCAGAGAACAGGGTAGGTGGTGAATGCTTTACAAATGGTGTGTAAAGTATGTGTAACCTTCTTTACAGCAAACCCTTGAAAGCCACTTAATCCTGCCTCCTGAGATGCCAGGCCAGACAGCCACAAAGAATATCTTGCAGGTAGTATGAAGTTCTAATTTGTTGAGAGCCACCTTGTGTGAGGTTGGGGGACAGTTTTTGGCTAAATGGAAAACTGATTTATCAAAGTTTATTAAACTTATTAAAAGTAAACTATTCTAACTATTAAAGCATGGATGTTATTTTTCATAGATAATATTCTCACATCTGTTCTGCAAGTTGTACTTGTTGCATCATGCCTTAAATTTGGGCAAATGAAGTTTATAAAGCTTGATGGCAAACTGCCTGTTATGTAAAGTGCAGCTCAACAGGGACAGTGGTTTTTGTAAATCTGTGAGCACAGATGACTAGCCGACTAAGTCTGGCTGTGTATAGCTGGAATTGTGTTGTAAGCCAGTCCTCCTTCCACAGAATTTATAATCTGCCTGTCCCTGCATATGTTGTGTTAATAATCTTGCCTCACTGATAGTCCCCTGAAATTAAATTTTTGAGAAATTTCTGGCTGCCTTGAGGTACTTCAGAATGCCTATAGCAGACTTGTATTTCCCAAATTCTGGTATGTGCTGCATGGAAGAACTTAATACTGGTTTTGTCTGCAGGCAGTTCTAACTGCATGTATGATCTAAAATAGCTGTATTTCCTCAAAGGAAATCCTTGGACCGCCTACTGGCAGACCTTCATCGAATGTCCTCAGCACCTTGATGAGTGGCTTGGAACCTGTGTCATCTCTCTTGGGCCAAAGGGCAACTTCTCCACCACAGCCTCCCATCTCTCAAATGTTTCCCACTAGGGCTGCTTCTGCTGACTATCTGAGACATCGCATTCCCTCCCCAGTTGGTAAGTTCTGGTTATAGAAATATTCTGCAGCAGCTTACTTTGGAAACCTTCAATACTTACATAACAGAATTCACATGAAGTTTACTTCTCACTCTTATTAGATACCTATTAGCTGTTACAGCTGAAATTTTCCAACCAAGATAAGTCAGGCTGATGTTCAAAATCCACTTGAAATGCAGAGAAACGTGTTGAGTGAATTCATTATTTATTTAATACATATTTATATCACCATTCTGTCTAGGCAAATAAGAGTGCTCCCAAGCCAGTTGCAGGGCCTTTCAGGAATGGATAGGACAAGCTTTCTAGTCTTGGCTTCACCTCCTGTGCCTTTTTATACAGGATAGCTTTCTTCTATATATTGGAGAAAGTTTCTGCAGTATTGATGTGCTGCAATGGATAACATTTCTCCTTAAAATAACAAAGGAAGAACCTCAGTTTCTAGGGTTCTTTAAGACTAGAAGGTGATTGCATAACATAACGCTGAAGTTGTTCACTTTATTTGTAGGCTTTGGGCCAGGTTCCCAGCAGTTGCTTGGTGATCCATTTTCAGGGATTCAGAAGTCCATGAGCCCAGCTGCAGCACAGGTAAGGTCAAGAATAGCTGTTCCAATTTTGCACAATCTAAGCTAGAAATACAGTGTACAAAATGAATGTGTAACACTAGTCATGCTATATGCAATGGTCCTACTTCATTGTGAATGAGATGATATTTTCAGTAGAATGTAACTGTGAAAACAGTCTTCATAAATTACATACAAAATTACATGACATGTTGAAAAGTATGAACAAACTCTCATTTGTACTACTTATGGAGAGAATGTTGATAATAGAAAACTAACTTGATATAGCCAAGAAACAGGAGGGTGAAATAATGAGAGAAAAATCTGCTTTTCAAGATTGTACCTTTTTAGTCTTCAAACAATGCGATGCGGCTGCCAAAAGAGCAAATGCTATTTGGGATGCATTAACAGAAGTATTACTTCCAAATCACAAGAAGTAATAGTTCCTCTATATTCTGGACTAGTCTGACTTCACCTGGAATACTGTGTCCAGTTCTGGGCACCAAGATATAAAAAAGATGCAGGTAAATTAGAAAGGGTCCAGCGGAGGGCAACAAAAATGATCCAGGGTTTTGGGCGACTGCCCTATAAGGACAGACTGAGGGAACTGGGCATGTTCAGCCTTGAGAAGACTGAGGGGGGACATGAGATCCCTCTATAAGTACCTCAAAGGCTGTCACAGAGAGGAAGGTCAAAATCTCTTCTTGCTAATGCCAGAATGTAGGACACGGAATAATCAAGTCAAGTTGCAGCAACCCAGATTCAGGCTGGACATCAGGAAAAGCTTCCTCACAGCCAGAGCAATACAACAGTGGAACCAGCTGCCTAGAGAGGTGGTGGGCGCTCCCACACTGGAGACATTCAAAAAGGACCTGGACAGCCCTCTGAGTGGGACGGTGTCACTTGGTGTCCTGCAACAGCAGGGGGTTGGACTGATGGCCTTCATGGGCCCTTCCAACTCTTCTATGATTCTATGTAAAGCCCCATTCTTGAGAAACCCTGAAAGATATGTGATCATCAATAACTTTATTTGCCTGTTTCTGCCCTGTAAATACTAAACAGCTAAGAAATGGCTTTTGGCTTGGTTAACTGTATATTTGGATTCTCCTTGAATATAAATGGCTGAATATGGCGTTCTCAGAAAGGTTTCACAGAGCGGAGGAATTAGAAGCAAAACAGCTGTGCTGTGATTACGTATTTTGATCTGTACTGGCTGAATCACCATCTTGGTTGGGTAACTTACCAGTATAATACTGCTTTGTAGATTATAACCTGAGTTAAATTTACTATGAATTTGGAAACCTGCTGCTCCAAGCTACTTACAACTGGAAAAGAAACCCCATCTCAAAAATAAGAGATGATAGAGTTATATAGGCACGCTGGACAACTATGATCTTAATGCTATATCAAATTGTGCCTACTAAGTGACATTCCCCCCCCCACACACACACACACATACACACCTTCCAAAGTGCTGATGCCACTAACTGGAACTGATCTGAAACTTTTGCTCCATTACTGTATGCAAGCAGACCGAGAGTTTCAGGAAGCTACCAAACATGAGATCTCGTGAAAAGTTTGACATAAATGGCTTTAATTTTACATGGTATTTCCCGGTTCATTGTTCTTTGGCTTGACAGGGTCTCCAACATTAAAGGTAGGTGGGCAGGTTCCTGGAATTGTGCTGGGGAGCAAGACTAGATGTCTCTTTTGAATTGGGGCAGAAATCCCACCCTTAGCCCATTGCTTTGATGAACGAGGATGCATGTTTACTGTCATCTGTCATGGAAAATCATAGCTACAGGTGACTAAACCTAAACATTTCCCCAACTGGACAGGCTTCCTCCATTGGAAGCATATGTGATGTTCGGACACTGGGCTCTGTTCTTGACAGAACAGAACTTTCCTGCAAACAGATGTATTCTCACTTTACCAGTTCAAGCTGGAACAAAGCGTGCTTGAGACTTACTTGGGGGGCACAGCAAACCTGCTCACTGTCCCCCTTGCTTTTTGCCCTAGTCCTCGCAAACAAGGCCAGAGCCCACCCACTTATGTAGGGAATACTGGCCAACCCTGATGATGGTGCTGGATGGTTTCAAAAGAGAAGCTGGGTTGGAAAAGTCATTTTTCCCAGTTACAGCTGCCTGTCATCCATGCGCTACATGAGGAGCAGCTGTTCCTACAGCAGATCTTGGGCTTGTTACCGTAAAGCAACTTTGGGTGTAATCCTGTGTGTCCTTAGACAGAAGAAAGGCCTACAACATGCCTTTGCATGCCTTTTCTGTCTAAACCCACGTAGGATAGTACTATTAAATGAAAAGATCTGGCCTACTTGATTCTTGATTCTAACTGCACTTCAGCTGGCAGGGCAATATAGTCACAGTTAAGCTGATGGTTGAGCTCAAATTTCACTTCAGCTCTGTTTCAGGTCCTGTGAAGGTGGCAGTTGCTCCCTGGCTTGTTAATATGGTTATGAATATAGGCAAAATAACACCAAGAAAGAATGATATTCCATCAGCAATAAAGTCACGGCAAGAGGAAATAAAACTTACAGCTGCATTGTGATACATCCCAGATTAGGCAGATAAGACCTACAGCTGCACAACATAGTGTTGTTCTGTGGACAGATTCTGGTCACATGTGCTAGTGCCCTCATCTTCCTCAAGTTCTGCATTGTAAAAGCCTGGATAAAAAGGGGTGATGCAGTTCTTGGAAATCAAAGGATTTTTATAGATGACGGAATTTATATCGATACTGTCACTGCCTGACAGAGGCCTGGCTTGAAGTAACACTGCAAGACTATGAAAGCGAACTTTCAGAAATTGTTCTGGCAGTTTCAAGGATGTAGCTTTATCAGAACACTTAATGGCCTGTTCTCAGTCAGTGGGGGAGAGGAAAGGCTGGACTCTCACGTCAGAGCAGATCCCACTGCAAGGTGAAGACCCTGCCAGTCTTGCTCTGCGTCCTGCAGAAGAGCCACTTGGGTGGTTTGCTCCCAGAACCTTTGGGTGCAGAGGCTTTATTCTGATGTTCACAGCTAGGCTCCCTTTGTGGGTGCGGTGAGAGACCATTCCAGCCCCCATTTCCCCTCCCCTCCCTCTCAGCTCAGATGTTAGGGTTACCTAACCTAAAAAATGCAGAGGGAGTGGGGCTCTTTTTTCAGAATGATTGTTGCCCATGGGAGCCCACTTTTCACATAGTGGTTGAGTGCTTTGGGAGTGTTTCATGACCATGCTATTTTAGCATTTTCCCTCATTGGTGGAGGGATTGTCCCCTAACAGATTTACCAGGCCAAACAGTTCCAGTCGCCACTTCAGATGCCACATTTCGATGGAGCTGGTGATAACCACCTTCATATTCCTCCTCCAGGCATGAAAGTGAAATTACATTGTGACATGCAGGAGGGAGAAATGAGCCTCAGCAAAGAGGATGGTGATGTACCACATGTGGAAAATCTCTCTACAGTGGTGGCAGCAGCAACCACATCTGGGGCTTAGGAAAGCCCAATACGTGGTACTGGTCTGTCATCCTCAAGCCTTCCCAGTGGGCTGCATGGGCGTTTCAGGCTCGCCAGAAGCAGGCAAACCAAACTGGACTCAAACACACACCCTGCGCTTAAACAAGCAGAAGGTCCTTGAAGCAGCTGCAGTGCTACAAGGAGTCCTGGGACCACAAGCAAATGCGGGATAGGTTTTGCACTTCATCATATAGCAGCTCTTCATCATCTAGCAGAAGAACCATAAATATTATCACTTGCTGCTGTTGTGGCACTTTTCAGCACTTAAGATGGTACCACCCCTTTGCCCATTAGCTTCTGTTCATTATCAGAAGCACTTGGGGCAATAGACTGACAATTTTGGGAAAGCTTGTCCTCTTGTAGGGAGGCCTGTCCCAGATACTGAGTAAGGGCCCAAAGCAAGCTCAGAGCAAGGGAAATCTTGGCATGGTCACTCCAACTTCACTCTCACACAACACAGAAGTTCATTTCAATTATTCTGGCTACAACCTCCAAGATCTCAAAATTAAAGGCTCTTTCCCCAGCTGAAGCTGCAAGGAGACCTTCCTGCTCAGGCTGTAAGACAACAGTGCCAGCACCGTATCCTCTGCAATTGCAAGAGCATTGGTTAGGTGGGCGCAGTCCTTATTCCTGAGGTGTTCTCCCAGTCAGGGTCCTTCTCAGAAGGACTCAATAAACCAGCACAGATAGCCAAGTTCCTGGCAGATTCCTCGGTAGGTGTCCTCCAGTATTTGGCCAGGGCTTACCAGACTCTCAAGTAGACTTACTGTCTAAGGCTAATCCCTGTATTAAACTTTGCAAAACGAACATCTCATTTAAAAGAGGAGAATATTTAAAAGGATGCTATAGAGGTGAAAGAAAAGAAGACACTCTGACCCCCCATCTGTAAAAAAGAAGGATGAGGCAGGGCAAAAGGGGGAGGCTCGGTAGTCCTTTTGTAACTACCTTTCAACTGCACTGCACTGGCACAAGACACCCTGGTGGGGGCATCCGTCTGCTAAGCCTGCAGTGTGATGGGGCGGCTGCGGAGGCAAAGCAACATCACACACCATCTATACTGTGTGACACCAGAAATGGTTCCTTGGGTTAGATCACATCTCTTCCTGCAAGCCTGGCTGCACACCACAAGTAGGTTCTTCAGGCTTCCAGCATGGCCATGTGCCAGAACTCAAATCCAAACTTCGGGGGGGGGGGGGTCCTGATTTCTCTGTGATCCCACAATGCACTGAAAATTGAAACTGGCCACAGAACCTGGTGCCTTCTTCAAAAAGCTCCTCAAGCAGTTTCTCAGTATTTTCCTTTGTGCAAAACCAAAAAGCCACTGGAATTTCCGATGCTCAAAAGGGAAGTGCAGGACCATCACAGAAGCAATGCAACCCAGAGATGCCTTAGTCAACTTGAGAGAAGCAGGGCTACATGTAACAGCCAGCCCAGCCCACAAGCACCATCTTGCATTTCCAGTACAATGCTACACATCAGTGCAAAGTGCTTTCCTTTGACTTTTCCTCAGTCTCCAGGGTGCCATGAAATCATGGTGACAATTGAGGCACACTCGGGGTGCAAGGCATTCATATTTAAGTGACTTACTCATCAGATGGCCAAAGATAAATGAGGAAAATCTTGACTTGTTCATTACAAAATCATGGTCTGAGAGACATGTTCAAAAGTTTTCTGTGATGACCACAGCACTTTGCTGTGATTTTCAACACCAAACAACAAAAAATTCATAACACAAGGAAAGGTGACAAACAGATGGCAGTGTAGCTTCCGTAAGGACATCAGGTGGCTCCATTGTTACAAGCCTGACCTGCTGGGGCCTGAAGATCACAGCCATTGATCTATCAGCATGGATAAGGTTCTGCTGCAGGAGCCTACGATGGCTCTCCTCAGGGTTCAGAGACAAATAGTGATGAAAACACAAATGCGGCCATCCTGGTAGAAGTTCTGTTGATAGTGCAAACAACTCAGACTGACTTTGGAGAGACTTTCCATTGCAGAAGTCCTTAATTTCCTTCAGGAGGCTTGGAAAAAGGTCTGGCATCACCCGTGACAGCAGTGGGCATAGTGCTTTGCCTAGGAAGCTGCCAGGCAATCTCTCCCTGCCAGGTAACATGCTTCCTGTGGGGAATAACTCTTATTGCTCCAGCAGCAGTTGATTTGTTCCCCTCCTGGGACCTGGCAATTCTCCTTGAGACTTTTTCAAACTGTGTTAAAAGGCCTCTCTGTACATTCCTACCTGGAAGATAACTTTCTTAATAGTGTTAACTTCAGCCAAGGAGAATTGGTCACACAAGGATCATGGTACCGAATAGAACACTTTGAAGACCTAACCTAGGATTCAAGCCATAGGTGGATGGCATATTTCACTGCTTTCAGGAAATCATCCTACCTGACTTCAGCTTAAGCGTTTTTGACCTGAAGGCAAAGAATCTGGTACAAGCGGGCATGCACAGTCACAATGGACAGAAGCACTTTCTGCACTTTACAAGTCAGAAGCCTAGGGGGAGAAAGTCATCTTCCACCATCAAATGAATAAAAGAATGCTTAGCACTGCTGGGAACCTCCAGTAGATATTGCAGTGCTCAGTCAAAAGTGATTTCCACAGCTGCAGTAGAGACCAAGGCAACACTGGGAAACATTTGAAAAGCAGCTTGGCCTTCCACATTCATGCGCCACTGTAAAATTAACAAGTTTCATTCCTCTGAGGCATCCTACAGACATCCGTTCCTACAACAGGTCTCATAATCACAGCCTGCCCTATTTGGAATACAGCTGTTATCAATTTCTTTCCTTCTTGCTCATTGACAGAGAATGGAACATTGGACTTGCCGTGAAGTGGTGTTCTGGTCAGTGCGGTATGGAGCGGGGTATCCCTGCGCCATTCGTAAATGCAGAGAGTTTTTCTTGTTAGGGTGGGTAGTGGCTTGTGCTGCTTCTGTACTGTGCAGAACCTCAGGGATTCTGCTCGATCCTCTCCATGTTCTATATGCATCACAGTAGTTCAGTTAGCTCTAGTAAGTATTTTGAATTGTTGCAATTTTCAGGCTGTTCCCATAGCAGCAGCAAATTCTGCAAGTGATGGGGGTCCCTCCCCTTCCTGTGGAATGCAAGTTTGATAGGATTGGCCCTGCCTTCTCCCAAACTGAGAGTTAACTATTTCTTTTCCTCCCTGCTCCACATCTCGATGAGCAGAGCACCATATCATGGTAAGTCCAACTTTCCAATCCAGATTTTTGAGGGGATCTTGCAAAACCAAACAGCTTCTTTATGGAGAAGTGCTGTTCTCCTATTCCATACATCAGCACCACCTCACAGGCTTCCAGATCACTTGCAACTGTCTTTGCCTTCTGAAGGGACTTTCTACATGAGTAAGAGGTGCAAGCAGAGAATACAATAAATGAGTGAACAAACAAGGATGAGGTAAAATAACTAGTTGTTTGTTATTGTGCTCTGTATCAAATGCACAGTGGACTGTATTTATTCTCATTTTGCTTTGCTGGTTTTCTTGTTGAGCTTGTAATGGTGAAATCATTGTGAAAAAGAAGATGTAGCATATGGTGCCTGCACATCTGGTTAGTTGCAGTAATAGAAAGCCACCTGAAAAGCCTTGGCTTTTGAGTTATTCCTTAACTGAAACTTTCTCAATTTCAGATGAGTCCTCTTGAGCTACAGCAAGCTGCACTAGAAGGGCTGTCTCTTCCACGTGACTTAACCATGCAGATGTCAAATTTCTACCAGCCAGGCTTTGGCAAACTGCAAGTGGACAAAAGCAGAGATGGTTTCCGAAACAGGTGAGCCTGAACTGCAGATAGTTATCAAAGGCCAAGCAACTTCAGTGCTGCCTCCCTGCCTCGACCTCTCCTACACGTAAAGCAAATCATTGTAGAGCCTTGTCGGCTCTTCTGGAGACATGGTCTCCTTCCTTCCTCGCTGGGCAGGGGGTGAGGGAGCTCCCCGCTAACTTGGTGTGCTCTTTCCCTCCTTCCTAGGCAGCAGCGCATGGCGAAGTCTCCTGCACCGTTGGGCCACAGGGGGAATGCCTCTCCTCCCGCCCCTGCTGCTTCCATCACCAGCATGGTGAGTCTCCACATGTCCTGACAAATGCTTGGGAGCCAACTTTTTAAAACTGTAAGACTTGTATGGAAAATGGAAGGTGAATGGAAGGCATTTCACAATTCACTGTTCAAACAATGGAAGTCAAATATGAGAGGGTGTATTTTAGTTCATGAACTTGATGCTTCATAACAACAGTACTTTTCCTTCCAATTCTCTTGTAAAATTTCTATTGAACACACTCTTCTTGGCATTCCTGGACACTCTTGGTTCTGAAGGGCCCTGTAGAATTTTCCCAGTTGTATTTTTGGTTTTGCTTGCTAAACTGAATACTGATTTTTAGTATTGATGTTGTTGCTTTTGCAGTTGTCTCCTTCCTTTACTCCTACCTCAGTGATACGCAAGATGTATGAAAGCAAAGACAAAAGTAAAGATGAGCCCAGCTCTGCAAAGCTGAAATCCAGTGAGCGAGACGAAGGTCTGAAGTCAAATGAAGGTACGATGTGTTGAGTCTGTAAAAAGAAGAGCCAAAAAGGCTGCATGGAGAGGGGACTGTCAGGGTGGCACCGCTGCGTGTGCCAGACTGAGTGCAAATGCCACCGAGTGCTTCTGAGGGGCTTTTCAGCGGGCAGGCGAGCAGCAGGCAGGCATGATGCTGGACTCTGCTCTTGGGCATCAGGGAGTGGCCAGGCGGGCTGCTCGAGGCTGCCAGCAAAACCACTGAATCTCGTTAGTCTTCGTATGGAGCGCAAATGGTCTGCAGGGCCAGTTGCACCTCCTCTCCAAATCCGAATTGGGCGAGCCTGGCAAATATGCCCAGTGTGCAGGTCGTGAGGGGCCTCCTGGGCCATCTAGCCTGACTCCAGGGCAAGGCACTCTGCTCACATAACGTCCCATCTGCCCCTGAACGCCCTCACTAGTGGGGCCCCCACCACCTCCCGTGGAAGCCCATTCCCTGTCCTGGGGGTCCTAACCATCAGACAGGACTTCCTGGCATCCAGCCTGAAACCCGGTTCCTGGAGCTTTGCCCCACTGGGTGACATTATTCCCTCTGCCACAGGGGGGAACAGGTCATGACCCTCCACTCTGTGGCCCCCTTTCACATACCTGTATGTTGCTATAAGATCCCCTCTCCTCCGAGCTGAAAAGTCCCCATTCCTTCACTCTCATCTCGTATGGCATCCTCCACCATCCAGCTGCCATCCTTGTGGCCCTGTAATGAACTGATTCCAACCTTGTTGTAATGTGGAGTTTAGAGCTGGACACAGTACTCCTCTCGTGGGCGCACTGCAGTCCTGTAGAGCAGCACCAGCACCTCTTTTAATCTGGAAGCCACACCTCAGTCTATCCATCCAAGGGTGGTGTTTGCCCTCTTAACTGCTGCGTCACTCCACTGGCTCATGTTTAGCTTGCCCCAAGATCTCTTACACAAGTGCCCCTGTCCAGCCACTTGTCCCCCTCCTGTATCTGTGGCAATTATTACTTTGCACTTACCTGTTTTGAATGCCCTTCTGTTGTCCCCCACCCACTTCCACAGTCTGTTCAGATTCTTTTGGATTTGGAATGCCTGCTCCTCTCTTGTGTCCACCCACTGTGGTATCATCTGCGAATTTGGTTGGCAGACTGGTTACCCCCTCCTCCCCGTCATTGATGAAGGGGTTGAAGAGAATCAGTCCCAGAACTGAGCCCTGGGGGATCCTAATTGTCACCAGCTGCCACCCTGATGACTCCCCACTGATAGTTACCCTCCCCTTGTGGTCCATCAACCATACCCTATTCCATTAGACAGTGCATCAGTTTTTCGGAAGCTCATCAAGGTCTCCCTTCCCTATCCAGGGTTTTTTGAGCTTTCCCTATTACGAGCTTTTCCATTGTTTTTCCCAGAATGGGTGCAAGGGTAACCAGCTTGTAATTCTCCTTGTCTCCTCTGCTATCTTTTTTGAAGATTGGAACCACTGACGCCATCCTCCAGAACTTCTCCCATTTTCCATTAGGCCTCAGAAATTGAGGCAGAAGGATGTGGGAGCATCCCTGCCAAACCCTGAAGTACCCTCAGGTGTAACTCACCAGGACCTGGTGCCTTCGTAACATCCAGGGTCCTGAGTCTCCTCAACATCTAGGGGAATGTGCCTCCATACCCCCAACCTCATCTGGTGTCCCAGGCACATCTCCCCCGACCTGCTTTGGGTGGAATACAGTAGAAAATAACCATTTATCATCTGGTTGGTGGTGGGGCCAACCATTTAAGTGGCCCCACCACCTGTCTCCTCTCCCTCTTTGCATAAGAATAGAAGCTGTTTTTGTTACCCTTGACATTCTTTGCAAGTTTCAGCTTGTAATCAGCCCTAGCCTTGCAAAGAGCATCAAGCTGCCTCCCCTTGGTGTGCCCTTGCCCCAGTGACCATTGCCTGTGGAGGTTCCTCTTGGGGCCTAATCCCTCTTACCGCCTCCCTTCACATCCACGGTGGTGCCCTCCTGCACCTCCCCACTTTGCTGATCAGTGGAATCATTAAGGCTTGTACTTCCAAGACCTCCCTTTTGAGCGTCATCCACCCCCCTGAACTCCCTTGCTTTCCAGTACTCTCTCCCAGGAGTCTTTTCCCAGCTTGGCCTTCAGTTGACCAAAGTTGGCCCTCATGAAATCCCATCTCTTAATACATGACTACTTCCCATAACACCTGTGGAATGGAAGATTTGAGCACTCAGAATGGTTTAGTGGATGCTGGGGAGGAAGTGTAAAACATAGAAACAGAGCGAGTCAGAAGCGGTCTCCCAGGCCATCTAGTCTGACCTCTGGCTCCGCTCACGACATGCCCACCATGTGCATGTCCAGCCTATCTAAGAAGAGCCAGATAAAGGCTCCAGTGGAAGTGCCTGTTTGCCATTCTTCGGGGCTTCCGCTAGGGCTGTTTAGGATGGGGCAGCTGCATGTGTCCAGCTTGGACCAACTGGGCCACAAGTCCCTTTTCCAGACAGGAAGCTCATCTCTCTCCCAACCTTCCTGGCCTTGGAGAGCAACGCTCTACGTGGGGCTGCCCTTGAAGATGGTCCGGATACTTCAGATGGTGCAAAATAGAGCTGCCAGGTTGCTGACATGGACTGGGCATTGTTCTCATATAACCCCAGTCCTCTGTCAGCTTCACTGGCTTCCCATCGAAGTCCGGGCCCAATTCAAGGTGCTGGTTATCACCTATAAAGCCTTTAACGGCTTGGGACCTAGTTATCTAAAGGAGCACTTGCATCCATATCTGCCCTCCCGCCCCTTGAGATCGGCGGCAGAGGCCCTTCTCCAGGAACCCTCCTTGAGAGACAGTAGGAGGGTGAGTACCCGGAGCAGGGCCTTCTCTGCAGTGGCGCCCCGCCTATGCAATGCGCTCCCCAGAGAGGTCTGCCTAGCGCCGTCATTATTTGTTTTTCGGTGCTAGGCCAAGACCTTTTTATTTAAACATTATTTTAATTAACTGCTGATTATTTATTGGTTTTATATTATTTGCCAGGATGTTTCCAATTTTTATGTATTTGTATTGATATTTATTTGTTGGAAGCTGCCCCGAGGCTTATGCGAAGTGGGCGGCATATAAGAATTCCAAATAAATAAATAATAAATAAACATGAAAAGCCAGGCTAGAAAGGGGGTTGGGGAAAGTGAGGGGGTAGGTGAGGCTGAGCTCACAGGGTGATTGGGAGAGAAGTATGGAGCAATGCTGAGGTAACTTGGCTGTGACTGCTTGTAACTGGGGTTAATTTAGTTTCTCATACTTAAAGCATGCTCAGGTGACTGCTTTGTGTTCCTCTACAGAGAGCCTACTGTCATCTCGGTCCCTAGAGCACCCAGATCCAGAGAATTCATCCTCCCTAGGTACCAAGCTATCGTGTCTGCAGCGTTCTGCATGTTCAACACCACTTTCTCAACCCAATCGTTGCACCAAAGAACAAGACTACAGGCCGAAGTCCACAGGAAGGAAGACGCCTACCATGGCTTCCCCAGTACCAGGGACTGCTTTCCTCCGCCCTGTCCACCAGGTTCCCCTAGTCCCTCATGTGTCAATGGTACGGCCACCTCATCAGCTGCCCCCAGGATTAGTCCAGAGAATGTTGGCACAAGGCATCCATCCGCAGCATCTTCCACCACTGCTGCAAGCAGGTAGGCTGGCTTGTGATCTCCAGGTGGAGTGGGATCCTGAGGCCATTTCATCCAAACCCAGTGCACGAAGTTCAGAGCCAGAGTCTGTGTAAAGATGCCGTGCAAAGGAGAAGTCCTCATGGGGAGAATCTGTCATACATGCATACACTGCAGAAATACTTCAGCTCGGCTGACGGTGGCAGCAATACCTTATCAGTTCAGGTTTACCTGGAACTTCACTGAGAATGATGGAGGTACTCAGACTATCGAGCATACTGAAAAGACCAGTGTTGGGCTTCGGATGCCAGCTTCCATAGTGGTGGCTTCTGTGGGATTTCTTTAATGCTGTACGAAAGGCAGAATGAGAGCCATACAGAATCTGCACAGGTTTTCAGTACCCTTCAGTAGCTGCAGGGTGGGGATGATTTGCATCCTGGCCCCGATGACTGGATTATCTTCCCGGAAAGTTGGAACTATTGATTGACACTTGACAGCCACTGACAAGCCTGTAGAACTGTTTAGTGCTGTTATCTGCCTCAAATTCTTGAATAGGATGGACTGGGGATGCACATGGATACATTCAAACATACAGGTTACATTAACTAACTGTCTTTTGGTTCAGCAGGTATGATTCCTCCTGCGGTAGACCTGACTCATTTACAGGGAGTATCTACCCCCATCCTTGGCCAGCCTTGCTACCCACTACCAGCAGGTGGCCACCCTCTCTTGAACCCTCGCTCTGGGACACCATTGCAGCTGACAATGATGCAACAACAGCTACAACGATCAGGTAATGTTGTTAGAGTCAAATAACGCAATTCTTATTTAAAATACTGGTTGCTTACCTGGCTTGGTAGCCATATTTGCACATGCTAAACTATCCTACAAATAAAGTACAAAGAGTTCATGGAATAATTCAGGCTGTTTTCCTGCTTTTTTCTCTTTGGCCCTCCATCCCTTTTTCCATTGTCCTTATAGCAGAATCCATCTTGTCCTTCTTCCTAGCACTTAATCGCTTTCAGTTTTCTTTCATTTTTTCCAGAGCCTCAGAAATGCAGTGTTAGGATTCTGGCTTACTTTCACTCCCCCAAAAAATGTGGAATGTTGCTCACTTGATTTGGTAATTCCAGATGAGCATTTCTTTTGTCTGGCCAATTTCCTTGTACGTTTCAGTCATCAAAGCAAACTGTTGAGTAGGTAAAATGTATTGGAAGGAAGAAGTCAGGACTGCAGCTAGGCTGATTTTCAGGCAGTTACAAGCGGGATCCAATCACCCCTGGGACGTGCCACAGCGAACCTTCAGGCAGACCCTGTCATTAGCACCAACTGGAAATTCCCCCATTGCCTAATTGAAGGTGGACTGAAATTGCCTTCAGTGGAGGAGGGTTAGGTAGAAAGCAGACCACAAAACTGTTGTGAACCCCCCTCATGCCTATTGGATGCTGGGGTTCCTACACAAAGTGGTGGGCTTTGGCAGATCATCAGAATGCTGCTTCTGCCAGGTGAATGTTCACATTCTAGGTCACCAAACAATTACGGATTAACAAGTCAGTTGAGGTTCTGTGCATGCTTGCCTTCCAAGTCTAACGGATTGGTAGTCTGCAAAATTTCTAATAAGTACATGAAGTAGGTCCATTCTGAAATAGGAGATCTCCAAGAGTGGTTTGCACTATGATGAATACATGGGAGGTAGGTATGCTTGAGCTCTCCTGTCCAGCTAGGAGAATGGAAGCCATCAGATCGGAGAAGCAATGTTTTCCAGCCCGATGTTCTGTTCCAGGGGGTTGGGAACAGGTGTCTTAACAGCACTGCTTTTACTGTGCCCTAATTCCTTCTGCACCAAACAGAACTAGCTGGCTGAAAAGACTGGGATTCTAGCTAGTATTTGCCTTGTGGCTTGGCTAGCTCTAGCGTGAAGGAAGGGGTTCTAGTATTCAGTGATGGGATGAGCCTTGCTCATGCCATCTGCTTCAGATGTCCTGAGTGATCTTACACTAGGCTAAAGAAGACGTTCCAGAAGCCAAATGCCTGTTGCTCTCCACCAGCCAAGGATTGGTAATGATCTGGGGTTTCCCGAATTATGGATTCTGTTTCTTCTTTCTCACCCAGGCTCAAACACACCTGGATCTGCAGTCAGTGTACAAGCTACTCCGAATGCGCCATCCCGGCCTGGATTGCCTCATATGCATGCACAACTTGACCACCGTGCTCACCAGCGAAGTAGCTCCCCTGTTGGCCTAGCAAAGTGGTTTGGATCGGATGTCTTACAGCAGCCACTCCCTTCTATGCCATCCAAAGTAATCAGCGTCGATGAACTGGAGTATCGGCAGTGAGGAGCCTGGGAGGAGAGCAGGAGTCAGAGCTGCTTCTGACTAGACGCGGAAGTCCTTGGGCAGCTGTCTTCAATGTGCTTCACTGGTATTTGTTTTGGGGCGCTTTGGTTTTAGCACTTTGTGCAAATTTCTTTTCTTGAGTGACTAAAGCACATGGCACTGTCCCAGCTCCATGTCTGCCTTGATTGAAGAATCTACTATAGAATGAACAGTGAACCCTGAAGAAATTTGGATGCAAGATGGTGTCAGTTTAATTCTGGAAGCATCTCCCTTTTTTCGTTCTGCTTTTTTGTAAAATATGAATGAAGTGCTGATATCCTCTTGGGTAGAGGTAGCAGCTAAGGGTTCATCACAGGAGATTATTTGTATAGACCCTTGTGTACAGACCAATGTATAAACATCTTTTTGTATATATCCACAGGATAGCTTTTTTTGATCCTATACAGCTGTACATAAGAGTAGCTAGTAAAAAGTTAAGCTTTAGTTTGTGTGCCTCTGGTTTGGATCTTTTCACTGTACATGTGGGACTTGTTTAAGATTAAAGGTGCCGCATATGTCAAGAGCGAGTGAACAGGGTGAAGTTGCTTTGCCTCTTGCCATTTCAAGTCTTTCTGAACTGCTGCTTCTGTCATCTGCAACATGACAGTTGAAGCAGGAAAAGAGCAACTGTGTACATCCTGCATTTCTCCAATCAAAGAAATGTGTGTGAACTCAACCCCCTTGAAGTTAGGATCTTCAGTACCTTAAGCACACAAACAGTGGGCTGCTGTATACTGACATTTATAACTACCTTAAACAAATGTAGGTACAAGAGTCCTTGTGCCTGATTGTTCTTGCTATAGTGTGGTGTATCTTTAAAGCTGCCTTCCACTAGCAAAGGTCAAACAGAGCTTATCCCAGTGGCTAACCATTACTGGTTCTTAAACACCAGCAGCTATAGTGATCTCTTCTCATTGCCCCCTGCTATGAAATGACAGCCTGAAATCACAGCTGCACTCTGTCTTCAGTCCAAAACCAAACACCTTGCTGAATTTTTCCAGCTTTGCATGCTATGACTAGTTTGGTGACACAGAATAGTGTTGAGAAATGAAAATTGCTTTAGGTGGCTGGAATACATATGGCTATTCATAACAGAACACTTGAATATTTTGTTTTAAAAAAAGAAAGTGAACTAGTTGAGTAGAATTGTGGTCACAGGCTCCTCCCTGTAAGATTGTTTCATAAATTTTTAAAAAATGATAACTTCCCCCAAACCCATTCTGTAAATAAAGTAAATTCTGTGAGCTTCCTGTCTCGCTGTGTAAGCGACATTGAGGTGACTTAATGTCTTCTTGCAGCTTCATATTAAGCTACTCTGTGGAACTTACCTGAAGTTGATACAAACAGGTGGCCTAACTTGCCTGGAGCAGCTGTGGGTTAGCAGAGTTAAGCTACTTAGAGTGGGGCAGACACCACTGCACTCTCGGAAACCTTTCCTGGTGCCCACTGAGTTGCCCCACCCCTCCCATTAAACAAAGATAACAACCACATTTCTTAATAGCAGTCGAGATAATTTCAAAAGGAAAGTGACAACATCTATGCCCAACATCTTGGCCCATGGATGCAGAGCTCAGGCATGCTTCAGTGGCATGTGGCAGCAGGCTGACGATCTCTGTAGGGGGCCCTTTTTTGGTTGTGCCCAGGCCAGCTGCTTAAACTGTCAGATGGACCCATGGGCCCAAAGAGGTTGCCTAGCCCTGCAACTAGAAGATGGGAATTTACAGCTAGCTGTAATTGTACAGGTTGGCAAAATCTTTCCAGTGTGTTTTCAACTGGCCAACTTCCAGATTGCTAACCATTGCTTTGTAAATAGAGAAGCCTTAAGATGGGTAAACTAAACAATGGGGAAGTGTATTTCTTCATGGACTCTACTTTTTAAGTCAGAAAAGGGCCTTCTTTCCTCTCCCACACTGCCAGAAAAATTGTAGACCTTAATGAGTATGCCAAGTAAATTGGTGGAAAACAAGATTAAAGGTAAAATTATCCTGGCATATTGAAGTACCAACATGGCTTTTGCAAAGGTAAGCCCTTCTGTCTCAAGTTGAAGGGCTCTCTGAGAGACATGTGGACATGGGTGATCAGCTAGAATCATAGAATAGTAGAAGAGGCCAAGAAAGCCACCAGCTCCAACCTCCTGCGCAGTGCAGCATTCCAAGCTAAACCATCCCTCTCAGATGGCTGGCCAGCTCCATCTTGAATACCCCTAGTGTGGGAGAGCCCCCCACCTTCCATTGACCCACTGCTCTTAACAGGAAGTTCTTCCTGATATTCAGCCAGTCTGGCTTCCTGCAACTTGAGCCCATTATTCCATGTCCTGCACTCTGGGATGACTGAGACCCTGTCCTTGCTCTTTCTGACAGTCTTCAAGTGCTCTCCTCTCTCCCCTTTCTCCTCGAGGCTAAACATGCCCAGTTCTTTCAATCTATCCTCACAGGGTTTCATTTTCAGTCCCCAGATCATCCTTGTTGCCCTCCTCTAAATCCTTTCCAGCTTGTCTACCTCATTCTTAAACTGTGGTTCCCAGAACTGGACACAGGACTCCAGAAGAGGCCTAATCATTGCTGAGTGAAGGGATACATCTGTTAATATAGTCCAAAATAGCATTGCCTTTGTTGCAGCCATATCACATTGTTAACTTTCGATTGACAATTCCAAGCTCCTCCTCACTTGCAGTATCGTTGAGTCAAGCATTCCTCATCTTCTGACTATGCATGTGGTTACTCTTTTGTGGGTGTGGAACTTGGCATTTGTCCCCATTTTAATTCTGCTTTCAGACTAGTGTGCCAACCTAGCAAGATCACTTTGAATTTTGTTTTGGTCTCGCAGGGTATTTTTTGTCATCTGCAAATCTGGTGTTTGTTGCATTTCCTCATCAAAATTATTAATAAAAATGTTGAAGAACAATAGGCCTACAACCCAACCCTGCAGTAGCCCACTCATTATCACTCCCCAATTTAAGAAGGTCCCATTAATAAGCACTCCCTGAGTTCAGTTCTGTAGCTACCTGTGGATCCACCTGACTGGTGTTCTATTTAGCCCACTTTTGGCTAGTTGCTTAATTGGGCTATCATGCTGCATTTTGTCAAATGTTTTGCTGTAATCAAGATCCACAACGTTACCACAATCCATCAGGGACAGAGGCATTAAATCATATTCTAAAAATGAGTGGGTCCACCTTCTCTTGTAGAGCACAAGACCAAGATGTCTTGATGACTTCTGTTTCATGTGTATGTATCAATATGATTGAGGAGAACCAAAAACACAAAATGCCTGAAGGACAAGCAAACAGCTCTGGGTTATAGCCAATGGAGTGCCTGCTACTGCAGCATCTCAAAGATGAGTAGGTCTTTTATCTTGACAGTGTGCTTTGCGTTTGGCTTAGCACTTCGGTGTGCACCTGCTGCAACTTGAACCGAAGTCGGTTCCATCAAGGACAAGGTTCTCAGCTGTGTCTGGGAGCAAACACCCTGACAGTAGTGGCAGTGTCACATGTTAGGCAATCTGGGCCCAGCAGGGAAGTGGAGGCCACTGCAGAGTTGATGGGGGCTGTCATACAACCCCGCCATTGTGCCAGCTCGATCAGCAGTGGCTACTTCTAGCTGTGGATGTCCAGGATGAGGAAATGGGTCTTGACGGCCCTTTCCGCTTTAGTTTTTTCAACAGGGAATCATTCTGTAGATCATTCTGTATGAGATCTGTTCTACAGACCATATGCCACGTACGTGTTCTATGGCTGTGAATCCTGAGGTGATTGCCCCAATGCTTAAAAACAGAGGGGGTAGCGAACAATAGTTGAGAGAATTTGGAACCTGTGTGCAGAGCCCAGAGGTATGGTACAAAGAACACACCTGTCCAAGGAAATTAAACCCCATCTGTGCCAAAAATTGTGGACTTGCCCCCCGCCCCCCAATCCAGAGGGTGACAGCATCATGCCAGAACTGCTTCCCTTGTTGCTTGTCTTTTCAGTTGGGCTTGGAATATAGTTTGGACTGCTAATTTTGCCCAAGTCTGGGGAACTGAAAGGCTTGCTGGCCCAAAATGTAGAGTATGCCCTAGAATGAAAATTGATAGGCTGCTTCTTTTCAGTCTTGTCTTTTTTATGGGTTTTGCTTTAGTTTCTGAGCGGGTGAATAACAGTTCCCCCAGCCAACCTCCCTTCTGAGCCTCACTGAAAAGTGAACAGTGGCCAATTTTATTTTTGACTGGGCTTCCACCTCCCAATGCTTGTCGCAATGCATGGGACACAATATGGCCCAACAATGTATCTGTACTCTGAAGACAGTACACAGAGAATCCTGTTAGTTCAGGCCTTCCCTGTGATGGCTAGGCCCAGTCTGGGATTGTGGAGGAGAAACATGCCAGAAGACTGATGCCCTGAAGACCGGTGTCTGTGGGCTGAAATTGCTGCAGCCACTTGTATTGCCAAAGCTGTGACCTCATGCAGCCAGCAAAGTGCCTTGTCAGTTATTGGCCACCAAGATCAGTTATGGCTTCCCTCTTCTCCATGGAAAGTCGGCTGAGTGGTGAGGGCTGCCACCAACCCATCCCCAGTGGCTCCGTGAAGAGTTGCTTGTGCGTTGCCAAGGCAGCCCTGTTTGGCAGGGCTTTGGACAAAAGCCTTAGGGAGTTCCTCAAAAAACCTCAGCATTCTGGTGGCTGCTTTTTGGCAGTGGTTGCCTTGGGCTCAGTGAGTTTCAGATTTTCTGATTTCAAATCTTGCTTGCTCCACTGAGAATGAGGAAACATCCTGTTTGAATAATGGCTGCTGTGCAGCAGTGGAGGCATGGTGGCTTTCCTCTCCTCTGTGTCCAGCTCTCTGTGGGAAAGCTTACCTAGGATGGAGGCTTCCCAGAGATGAGAATGCCAGTTCCTAGGAAACGAGGAGCCACCTCACCTGCTATCATGTCCTGCACCAAGGTAATAAACTTCATCCAATGCTGCAGGCTTCTTAGGATCCCAAGGCAGGTATTTTATCACCAATGGGCTGATTCTTTCTTTAGTGGATGTTTAAAGGACGGCTGAGCAGATATCAGCACTGGGGAATTTTTTTTTTTAAGTAGGCTGCAGTGGGACAACTGAAGCCAGCCCCAAGGTGGTGGCAGCAGAGGCAAGTCTTTCCTGCACTGGGAAAAATCCACATGCCCACACCCAAGCCCCCAAGGAGCAGGGATTCTACCCCATCACCATGGGCAACAAAGGGAACTCAGAACCACTAGCACAGCTTCACTGAGGAGGAGCGCTGAGGCGGAGGCAGAAGCCACGAGCACAGCCACGGCCAGAGGTTTGTGGCACTGCCCCTTGGTCTCATTCATGTTAGAAATTCTTGGCAGATCTGCTGTCAACCACCCCAAGGTTTACCCGGGGATCCCACACTACCTTCTGTTCAGCTTGGCTCAAAAGCCACTGGGCAGCTTCTGCCCAATAGCCAAAGTTAGTGAGAGTAGCTACTGCTAAAGGTACCTTGAGTTTGTAAACATATTTGTATTAGTTGAACCTTGTCTGGTGCAATTTAGGTCTAAGACTCCCTTGAAAAAACAGTTTTTACCTGCACACCTCAGGTTATGGTACCTTTAATTCCCTTTATATGGTCAGTATATATAACATGGGGACACTGGGGGCACAGTGGTTTAAACCACTGAGCTGCTCCGTTTCTTGAGCTGCACAACAAATTAGCAGGATCAGGTGAGCCCCTGTTGCTCCGTCCCAGCTCCTGCCAACCTAGCAGTTCAAAAGCACACAAACACGAGTAGATAAATAGATGCCACTTTGGTGGGAAGGTCACAGCATTCTGTGTGCTTTGGTGTTTAGTCATGCTGGCCACATGACCACAGAAATTGTCTGTGGACAATGCTGCCCCCACCCTGGCAAAGAAAGAGATGAGCACCGCCCCCAAAAGTCAGACATGACTGGACTTTAATGTCATGGGGAAACCTTTACCTTTATATGTAACACAGTCACACACTTGGATACTAAACCAGGTTATCGCCCAGCTCTGCAAAGGAGATAACACACTTGGAAACTGTACCAAGGACAACAGCCTTTCTGCTGAAATCAAGAGCAATAGCTGATTTTTTAAAGGTGGTCTTCCGCTATACCATTATTCAAACACTGTTTTAAACAGTTACAGAACTAGGATTACCTTTGGCACATCATTCAGAAACAATTCAAATAATATAGCAACCCATTCCTCTATTTTAACTCTACATGCTAGCAAAGCACAGGGTCAGGTGGGAGAGAAAGAAGCAGCTCCATGCAGTCTTGCAGAAACTTGAGGCCCGCATAATGCTAAGAGCAGGCTGGACAACTCCTATGCATGCCTCCCTCTTCTAGCACTAACTCACCTGGGCAGGCCACATGCAGTGCCGCGAGTGGCGAGTGGCCTCAAACACCCCTTTCCTCTGTTATTACCAGCAAAGGAACAGCCACCTGGGTTCAGAACTGCTGGGGAGGGTGCAACCTTATCCCAACCCCACTGGTCCCATTCTGTTCTTGGCAGGAAGGTCTGAGCCTCCATGTCCTCACATGCTGAGAGCAGGGGTGGAGAGGAGAGTGACCGAGCAGACGTATGCTGCCTCTGGTGCTGCACATGACCCCAAGGGCCAAAAGAGACTGCCCGTCCCTGCATGCGCCGTTTGTCTAGGTATGTAACGAAGAGAAGGCCACTTCTGTCTGCAGAGCCAGACGGCAAAAAAGGCTCGCACATTTTCTCCCTTTCTTGTATAAGCAGTCTAACATTTGCTAGTGGCACATGGGCTACCTATGTGAGTTTATACATTGGTCCAGCTCTTCTGAGTGCAAGAACTTGTAATCTGCTAAATGACAAACAGATTAGCATTGACCCTATCCGCAGGGAAAACAGATCCGAGGCCAGCAGCCCACGCATCTGACTGTCTTAACCAAGTTCTGATGACAACATACACAGTAAGTCATTTAGCGGATGGATATAAAGATTTACTATTTAGCCTTCCTTCTGAGGTCTCTGCAGGAGTCATGACTGGTGAGAAGAGCTTTTTATTTTTTCACAATCTGAATGACATCTTCATCTTCCATGGTATGATCTTTTCCAACTTTCTGTGGGTTGTGCTTGACAGATGATCCCCACACAAGTGCACTGCAAAAGAAGAATCATTAAACATGGGGTCCAGCACTTTCATCTCAAGAGCTGAATCTTATTCCAAAGACGCTGTCAGAAGCCCCAGTCCCGTGACAGGCGGCACTGAAGGCAAACAAGGGTGAGTCAAACACACCAGAATCTTGGGAGCTTAAAGCTCTTCAGGATGCAGAGGCATCACAGCCTTTTAGGATGAGGAAAAACAGGCACAGAGGCCAAGCAGCCACCAAACCAGTGGGTGGAAATGGGGAACCCAGAGGCCAGAACTGGCCCTCACGCCTGAGGTTCTGCACCCGTGCATGAGAGGCTTCCATCTGACTTTCTGTTGTTTAAAACAAATAGAAATTAGACCAGCCCACACACATTATTCAGACACTAACACAGATATGTCACAGCCGGCCTTCTTTGGCCTGGCCTCTTCAAAGAAACTTGCTCATACTGGAAGTGAGCAGTGGCATTTTCCCTAGTGCTAACCCGCTCCCTTTCTCTACCCCATAAAGTTTTTCCCCTTCTTCCCCATCAATTCCACCATTTCCCCTTCAATTTGCTTTTATCCAATTGCAAAGCACAGTATATATCACAGTAGCACACAGTAAGAGCAGATGGAGACAAATGCTTCAGGAGCCATACTTACTACTTAAACTCTTTAATGAGATTTTTGTGAATCTTCATACAGAAATCCTCCACAGTGGTCCGAGAGTAAGGCAATACCACTGGAGACGTGTAATCTGGTAGCTGTCCTTTAGGCTTTGTGTAGCTGCATTTTCAAATTAGAACCGTTAATCCAGTTCTGGCCCTTGGAAGCATCATGTAAAATTCCCTTAGTACCCCCTCATAAGAGAGAATGATTCTAACATCTGCAAGAGCTTTACTGAGAATTATTTGAAGGGCAACATGCTGCACTTTCAGGATGATTATCAGCAGAAAAGAACAGCACTGCAGGAGCCAGTGTAGCGTGGAGGTTAGAGTGCTGAGGACCTGTGAGATCCAGGTTCCATTCCTCGCTTGGTCATGAAGCTCAGCTGGGGCTCTGGGTCAGTCACTCCATCTCAGCTTCACAAGGGAGTTGTTGTGAGGATAAAAATGGGGTAGAGGAGAGCTAGGTGAGCTGCCTCAGGTTCCTCAAAAGAGGAAAAAGAGGCATGAGTCAAACACAGCATAGAGACAGTAACTGCAGAGGCTTAGCTGGAACCTCCAGTAAAACCACACAGCAGGTTTTTCCAGTGAGCACAAACTGGAGGTAATTTTAGCTTGGACAAAAGAAAATGAACTCACATGCGCACAAGTTTCAGGTAGTCCCAGATTTTCTCCAACAGGTCATCAAAGTTCCATCGGTGGTGAGCCGAGATTGGAACACAGTGCGGCACTTTGTAAATTATGTCAAGTTCCTCAATGGAGATCTGGTCAATTTTGTTTAATACATAGATGCATGGGATATATACTCTGCAAAGATGAAGGCGCACAAGATGTCAGAATCAGTGGTTCTGTTATTGCTCCTTACCAGCCTTCTGGTAGACAGGAATAGCCTGGAACGAGTCCTGCAACTATATATGCCTGAACAAAGGACAAAAGAGTGGCATCGACTGAAGGAAAGAAGCCTGCATTTCTGGCCACAATGCAGACCCATTCCTTAGATAACTGTCTACACTTTCTAAAAATGCTAGAGTTAAAGCAGGACTTGTTGCCACCAAAGAAAATGCACAGTGCGAGTCCCCTCCCTCCCAGAATACAATCCCTTCCTTGTATTCAGGAATATGTAAGTGTCTGATTTGCATAAAAATAGCTACAGTGGATTTTGGTTTCCTGAAAGACAAGAGCTCAGAGTGAGAGCCCTCAGCAGCAGAACCCTTCTCTGTCAAACGGCCTCTGTCCACCAGCCTAGTCTCCAGCCCTGCAGGCACCCTACCTGTTTCCTTCAACAACATCAATAAGGTCGTCTGCAGTGACATCGCTCCGCAGTGTGACATCCGCATTGTGGATTTTATACTCTGCCAGGATGCTCTTCACAGTTTCAGTATCTAGCTCGCTCTGGGGGCACTGATCAAAGAACACAAGAACATTTCACCATGACCCAGAACCTTGGCATCAAGCCCCACTCTCCATGACCTCGGTGGCTTCACAGCAAGGGCTGCAGGAGTCCCATTTCTGACAGCTGAGATGGAGTCCTGAACCTCCCAAAAGCTGAGGACAAGGAACAGCAGACAGACCGGTTTGGGGTCATGAGGACCAGGTGAGCACAGATGCCTCCTGGAAGCTACAAGTATAAGAAGCAGGACGGTATCACAGTACTGCACAAGGAGCCTAGTGAACCTTCTCTGTAGCCAAATGATTTCACCAAAGATGTTCCAGCTCCTTTCCAAATTTGCTCCCCAAAGAAGTTCAGAGCACTTCAACGTCTGTGTGTTTGTAGTCTGAGACTCTCTGGTGAGGACTAATGCAAAAGAGCTCTCCCCTCGGATTAGGGCAACCATCCCCTTGCTATACAGACCCAGGAAGCACCCACTGTGGGCAGTGCCTAGTCCCTCTGTTGAAGCACCAAGTAACTCCTAGTCCCTCTGCTGAAGCATCAAGTAACTCCTAGTCCCTCTGTTGAAGCACCAAGTAACTCTATCACAACACCAATGAGTACGTTTATGCTGTATGTGAAAGACTGGCCTTGTTTTAAGCAGTGGGAGCCCAGATCAAAAGGAGAGACCGAAAGAAATGGGCATGTTTAGCCTTAAGAAGAAAAGAGTGAGGGGAGATAGGATAGTACCTTTCAGATACTTGAAAGACTGTTACGCAGAGACGGGGCAAGATCTCTTCTCCGTCATGCCAGAGTACAGGACACAGACAAATAACTTACGTTACAGGAATTCAGATTCTGATTAGACATCAGGAAAAACTTCCTGACTGTTAGGTCAATGGAACCAGCAACCTCAGGAAGCTGTGGGCTCTCCCACACTGGAGGCGTTCAGGAAACAGTTAGACAGCCTTCTGTCAGGGTTGCCTTCACATGGGAGTCCCGCACCGAGCAGGCGGATGGACTAAATCGCCTTCCAGGCCCCCTCAACTCTACTGTTCCAGGATTCTCTGATCAGCACAAACCATCAGCTGCGATGGCTTCCACAACCGCAGAGCCATCAGCACAAACGAAACACTTTCAGACCTTTCACCACTAAGACATGGAAAGCACCCTTCCTGTCATTGCACCAGCGCTCAAAGCACATTATCCAAACCCATACTCACTGTGGCTGTGAGGTTGATGCCTCCTTTATCCTTTTTCTTAAAGCCAATGTTGGGAGGTTTACTATTCAAACGTATCCCAAAGCCCTCCAACTCATTCTCAATTATCTTCTTATGTCCCAGAGGCTTCAGAACATCCAGAACTATCAGAATAAGGTTGCAGGTTCGAGCAACTAGGAAAAAAGAGGATCTTAAAAGGTGTTTTCACAGCCCCTTCAAAGAAGCTGGAAATAATTAAGAAGCTAAGTACATAACTTCTTGGTCCACGCATGGTAATTTGCTGCTTACATGTGACCTCACCCAACTTTTAAAAATCACTTATACATAAAGGAAACGGAAAGAAGGGAAAAAAACTATGAAGATGTATCAGGGTGCCCAGACTTGCTCAATGGAAGAGTCACATTTGGTAAATGTCTGATACCGCAAGCAGACACCCAAGGGCCTCTGCCTTAGGCGACCAGCGGGTGCCCACAGGCAGCAGCAACGGGCAGCACAGGGCAGGTGGCTGCCCACCTGTGCACACAGCAGCCAGCAGCTACCGCAAAATAATCTCAAAGAGCCGCATGGGGCTCAGGAGCCTTGGTCTGGCCACCCCAATATATGTTCTCACACCATAAAAACGTTATCACTGGCCAAAAAAAGCAGTCTTCATTTTCTGCGATTAACACAGCAAAGCTTCTGCCTTACCCACTGGTAAATAAGGGAAGGATTTCTGGTCCTTGAATCACAAGCTCACCTGCAATGACTTGACGACCTCTGCCCTTCCCATCTTTTGCACCTTCAATGATTCCTGGAAGATCAAGAAGCTATAGGATTTATGGAAAAGAAAGGAATTCAATTACGAAAAGTTAGGAACTCTTTCCTGGTCAAGACTCTTTTTAACTGAAGATGCTATGAACCAATCCACATGAGGAAGCCAAGCAGGTGCTCCTCCTCTCCCTGCAGGAGCCTGCAGCTCCTCCCACCAAGGCCTATCTTTCCCCACACTTTGCCCTGCGGTGCCACTGACGGGGTGGGGGGCTGGCTCAATTCTCACTCCACGAAACAACTCATGACATGCTTTTGGCTGAGTTACTGTTGCTTAGCTAAACCCACCTCTTAAGGTTGTCACAAGGAGAAAATTCGGGCAAGAGAGGAGGACATCCTATCCTGAGCTTCTGGAAAGCATGGATAATGATGTAATAAATAAACTATCTCTAGTTTTATAATCTGTTTACTGAAGTGACCATTCGAAGCCCACCCTTGGGACTTTTAAACAACATGTGACCTCATTTGAAGCTCACACATCATGCCTGGGTCAGAGATCAGGATCACATCCAGCAGTGCTCATTATTAAGGACCCGATACCCCACCGAGGCTTAATTTAACTGCAGGGACGGTTATGTTGTGCTGAGCTTATTTTAAGGCAGTCTGAGCTTGTCTAATGCTCAAACAAGCCCTGCTACCTCCAGTCACACAACAGCTATGGCAAGCTAGGTGCACTGGGGCCCAGTGTGCCATGACAGCACCCGCAGGTAAAGTAAGCCATGCTGAGCCACTCTGCAAACCAGGCCACTGCATGTCATACCGCAAAGCAAGCAGCTACTGCCTACGGTGTCTTATTCTGCGGTGAAGCCCAGGCTTCAAAGCATCAGAACAACCCTGGAACCAGTGACAATTATGTCATCCCTAAAGCGCACGAGCTATCGAGCAGGTAAGTCGTTTAGAATTACAGCAATGGAAGCCAAGTAAGATGGTCACGCATGCTGTTCAAGCCCTTTGCTGAACACGCAAACTGTCTCCAGTGACTGCAAGCTTTCGATGGCGAGGCCAGGCAGGCAGGCATTTCCTACAACAGCCACTTCACGAAGCAGGAAAAGGCAGCAGCTCAGTGGCAGATGGCAAATCCAAGTTCCCCAGTTCATTCTCTGGCCACATCCACTGGCAGGACTGGTAAACAAATATCCTCGACAGCTGCTACCAGTGGACAGTGCTGAGCTACAAGGATCAAGAGCCTGAAGTGGAACAGGCAGCTCCCGATGCTCACAGCATCCACTGCAATTATCTTCATCTAGTTACCCCCAAATATGCACAAGGTCACCTCATGTGGATTGAGTAGGGAAACCAACCCACTTTCACCAGAATGATGTCAAAACAATGGGCTGGGTTGAGTCAAGGCAAGGCAGCCCTTCATGCGCATGGTCACTGAGAAGATACATTTGCACACCACCAACTGCAAAGAGCTCACCTGTATTTTTGCCCCTTTGTACCGAATCACCCCAGGCACAGTAGTCAGTGTGGTGAACTCATAGGCTGCCACTTCTGAGTACACACCTGCGAGGTTGCTAAGCAGAGTGGACTTCCCCACAGACGGAAAGCCCACAAAGCCGATTCGAGCATCTCCAGTTTTCGCAACATCAAAACCTACAGTGCAACAGCAAAGTTCCGGTTACCATAATGCTACAAATGAAATGAGCCCCCCAGCTTTACGAGGCCTCTCCCAGGCAGCTGCAGCAAAAGGAGCCAGAGGCGCAGTTTCCTGCTCGCTGGGAACCAGGAGAGTCAGGCTCAAGTCCCCACTCGGCCATGGAACCTTCTGGGTGACCTGCAGCCACTAACTCGGAGCCTAAGCTGCCTCACAGAATTGTTGTGGAACAGAAAAGAGGACCATATTGGCTGCCTTGGGCTCCTTGCAAAAGAAAGTAAGTTGGGGTGCAAATGCAGTAACAAACAAGAGGCGCTGGCCTCCAGAGATGGCCTGCATTCAGATTCACTTGGGGACTCCTCCCTGCTTGCAGAACTATCGCCTCCCACCCCGCACCTTGGGTGTGAGAAAGCTTAGCTCACCATGCTACCAAACATTTGCATCTTCTAGTGGATTTTAACATTCCTCTGCTTGAAAGGGTGTAGTTCTATTTTAAAAATCACAGTATGCTTCATTAAGAGTATTTCCTTTAGCTCTCCAAGTCCCAAAATCTTGCTTGTTCCATGAGCCACACTATATGAACAGGCCTCAAGATCTGACATTTCCACATTCTCCTGAACAGACTTATGCGAGGAGGAATATAGAAAACTCATTTCCATTTTTACATTATTTCCAAAACTGGACAATCTGTTCATTACAGTGATACCTTGGCTCACAAACACCTTGGTTCACGAACAAATCAGGTCACGAACAAAAATTTCTGAAAAATTTGGACTTGGGTCGCAAATACCACTTTGGGCGGCACCAAGATCGCAGCCATCTCCCGCGCCCCGAGTGGGGAGATGGCCACAATCGCAGTTCCGTTTGCACAGGGAAGGCGTGCGTGATCAGAGGCATTCCGCTGAAGGAAAGATGGGAGCAGCAAAGCAGAGCTGTGGGGAGATGGCCAAGATTCCGCCTGTCCTTCCTACAGGAGCGCGCCTCTGATCAGGCACACCTTCCCTGCATGAACGGAACTGCGATCGAGGCCATCTTCCCACCCCCAGTGCGCCCGCAATCACGCTAGTCTCTCCCCCCACCCCCCAGCGCACTGGGATGACAGGCACCTGCAGGGATGATGGGCGCGATCTCAGTCGTGTTGGGGGGGGGGGGAGATGGCCACACTTGTGCTTGGGGTGGGGCGGGGGAGGGGATGGCCGCGATCTTTGTTGTTGTCACTTTGCTTCACATTTTTCTGATTTAAAAAATGGTTACAGAACGGATTAACCTTACTTACATTGAATCTGATGGGGAAATTTAACTTGGCTCATGACCAAATTGGGTCATGACCAGAGTCCTGGAATGGATTAAGTTCGTGAGCCAAGGTACCACTGTATATGCTAACTACATCAATATCTCACAAGTGACCCTGCTTTCACAAGAAGCTTACCAAGAATTCTGCACAGGCCCACATCACCCATTCTTTTCCATGCTGCACACTCTGCAATTAGACATCCCTGCGTGGGCCTTTAAAGTACTTGCTTTCCTTCCTTTGTACAGAACAGGCCTCTGAGGGGATCTTTTAGTGACCTATAGGTATGGGATGGGAGGGGATGTCATGTGGAGGAGGGTCGTGACCTGTTATACCCTGCAGAGGAAGGCAAGACATGTTCCAATGGGGCAAAGCTCAAAGGCTTCAGTTTGGATTTTAGGACCCCTAGGAAATGGAATGGGTTTCCAAGGGAGGTGGCAGAGGCCCCATCACTGAGGATATTAAAGGAAAGACTGTACAGCCATGTGCTGGGGATTATATGAGAGGAGCTGGCTGGAGGCAGGGGTCAGACTGGATGACCTGGGAGTCCCCTTATGACTTGCTTTGTTTCCATGTTTCTAAAGTATTTTGAAGTTCGGGCACAACAATGGACTCAGAAATAATGCTCCCAGAAGCTCCTTAATCCTTACCTCAGACACAGTCAAGTGACATATGCGAATCAATGAAAAGGTCAGCTGCTGGTGTGGAAGGAAATGTATACACAACCCAAGCATTCCAAAATTCCGCGTTTTAACTACACGAATTAAATATGTTCATATATTATTTATTTATCGGATTTTTATCCCTCCACATTAGCCAATGCGGCTCGTTAGCATACGCGGCATACTTTGTTACGATCCGGCATACGCGGCATACTTTGTCTGCGTCTCGTCCCAAGGCAAGGGCACGCTCGAGAGCAGGCCACCCACCTTCTCCGGGGCCGCCCCCTCCGCCTCCTTTGGGGGTGATGAGCTCCCGACGCAGCTTGGCCAGCCGAGCCTTCAGGAGCCCCAGGTGGTGCGCCGTGGCCTTGTTCTTCTGCGTGCGGGCCATCTGCAACAGAGCGGGCAGCCATGGCGGACGCGCAGCGCGGAGCACCCGGCTCTCCGCCGCCCCCCCGTCCCGCCGCCCCCTTCGAGAGCCCCTCGGGCGCGTGCCGCGCGGCTCCCCGCCGCGATGCCCGGGCCTCGGGCCCATCAGCCCCTCTCCGGGCTCGCGCTGGGACAGACGGGCCCGCCGCCGCGCGTGGAGGCCCCACCGAGCCGCCCGTCTTCGCCGGCCGCCGCGCCCGTCTCTCACCTCCGCCTCGATCTCGGCGATCTTGGCCAACGTCGTACTCATGATGCCGATGCCGATGCCTATGGCGATGGCGATGGCGATGGCGATGGCGGCGGCGGCACGGAGCGCCGCACTCGCCTCAAGCCGGCTCGGCGCAGGCGCAGGCGCAGGGCGCGAGTCTCGCGCGACGTCCTAGGAAGCCTCTTCCCCGCCTCCCGCGCGCGCTCCGCCTCTCCTCGCGCGCCCCAGGAGGCGAAGGGGAACCATAGAGGAGGGAGGCCAGAGCGGAGCGCCGCCGCCGGAGAGCCGGTCGGCGAGGGCAACCGCGGCGGTACCGCCCTTTCCGCCCCCGGCCTGGGCCTCTCGGCAGGGCGGCGGCGGGGGGCGAGGCCCACAGGCTCTTGTCGGCCGCCGCTTTCTTGCCCGGGGGATGCGCGGTGGCGGCAGCGGCCTCCTCCGGGCCGCCGAGCGGTGGGAGGACGCTGCGTCCTTCTCCCTGCTGGCGCGGGGCCGTGTGCCCTGCGTTACGGAGAAGGGGCCTCCGTGTGAAGGCTGCAAGGAGCGGCCGGTCCACCTGCAACCGTTCTAGCGACTGTGGAATGGCGAGTAGCTGGGTCTTCGGTCGCCCATGGACGGCCCACCGATCCGCCGCCATGCAGGTCACCTGGAGACCGTCTTCCCCAACATGACGCTCTGCATTGCTCTTTTCTTTGTAATACATCAGAAACTAGGTATATATCAGTGCATGCAAACACCACACACGTCCACCTTTTGACAATATATTTCCTCCTTTTGAGGGGTGTTAGTGACTGCTTGAGAGACACGTGTACTAGTTGAGGACAGGTTTGAAATCCCAGGGGCTGCCTCCAGTGTCCAACTTTGTGCCCGCATGGCCTCTCTCTTCTGAGGTAAATGCACCTCGCTTCCTGCTGTTTGACTGTAAAATGTCCCAGGTCCGGTGGAGCATGGGCTGTGTCTACTTCAAATGTCAAGTTTGTGTGAAGGATTGCAACCACCTCGGAGTACATCTGGAGTCCACCATTTGAAAGGGGAGATGTACAAGTCTCCTCTTTATGGTTCCTTGTCTGCAGAGCACCTAGGGAAACAAACCAAATTGTAGCAAGAACAGCTAACTGCTGCTTGTAAGAGTAAACTGAGTATTTTACTAGGCCAGCACAGACAGAACATTCATCATCAGCGCTCCTCTTCTAAGATGAGGTGAGGCCAGCAGCAACAAGAGAGGGCACTTTTACTTGTGGTACCCATAGTTAGAATTTCCTTCAGGGAGGCTGCCTGACACTAAATTTGACATCCTTCCAGCCCTGGACCGTTTCTGTGCATCCTGTGTAACATCTAACAGCAATTGGAGTATTTTGAGTGTAATAATTGTTTGTGCATGCCAGTCACGCTGGGGGGTTTTAACAGAACCCTCGATTTCCAGCTCTCTGTTCAGTGGGGGAGTTTTGCCATCTTGCTTACTCTTAATGGCCTCCCCTTTGAGGGCAGGAGCCCCAGCTGCCTGAAGCATCTCCTGCTCTGTGCTGCCCCTAAGGCACACCTTTTTTATTCCCAGCCTTCTCCAGAGAAAGGCCAGGTGCAGGACTGGATGTCAAGACCTGCCCATGGTAGAATGCCGATCCTGCTTTCCCTTTGTGTTTTGTGAATGGCATGCAAACATATTTTTGGAGGCTCACAGTTCTGTAATTCTCACACGTGTTTGCACTCTGGTGACATGCCTGGCAGGTTGTGTAGAACATCGATAGGTCAGCTCTCCATTGCTGCAGAGAGAATCCTTCTGTGGCTGCCTCTCAGGAGAGTATCACCACTGATACCATTAATGGAGCTACTGTGGACAGGAGCAGCAGGGGCACACAATACTTTGCTTTAACCTTTCTTTTTTCAAATGCTGTACTGCCCAGTACAGGATGTTAAGTAGGCAATGCCACCCAGATCCTTGCTTCACCTTTGTAAACAATTGCCAAGTATAGCTCAAATCCAAAATGAAGTAGGCAACACAGATATAAAATCTGATTGATTACAGAAAGGGAGCAGGGAACTAAAAAAAATTCTTTACAAATGCCATCCTACGCATGTTTAGACAGAAAAAAGTTCTACAATGGGCAGGAGCACATGGGAACTGCAGGGCACCTGTCAAGCACACATGATGGCATCCTAAACAGCAAATAAATGTGCCTGTGCGCCTAGTTGTTCGTTTGCAGGCACTGGTCGGAGGCCCAGCTCTTCTCTAAAAGCACATAGGAGAGGTTGGACACAGTGGTGCCATGGAAGCAGATGTTTAAAGCAAGCAGCATCACCCTTGAAGAGCAAAGAGGATAAAGAGGAGGAGGGAGTTGAAACGGGGCAGAATAATCGAGCCAGGCAAAAATAATGTGTTGCACAGGAGAGGAATTGTGGAAAGAATGAGATACAAACTCTGTTTAAATTAACTGTGCACTTTAAACAAATGAAATATCGCCCATTTAAATATGGAAGCACTTTTACTACAATTAAGTATGTTTTTTATTTCTGCAATTGTTATTTGCTTCCAGCAAAGAAAAAGGAGCTTGAAATGCTGCAGATGCCTCAGTCAGTGCAGTCTAGCTAGAATTAGTGATGGGACTGCAGGAGGACTGGACAAGGCATCCAGAGTTGCTACACATACACACACACTCTCTCTCTCTCTCTCTCTCCCTCCCCCCACATGCTGTGGGGGGGGGAGGAGCCCAGGGACACAAGTTCTCAGTGGGGGTCAAGCAGGTGTTCGGGGCCTGTTGGAGCGGGGCAGCTGACATCGCTCCCCCCCCCCCCCACGAGGCCAGTGCTGGCTGCTGGACCCCAGACGAGGACTCCTGCTGCTCTGAGGAGGTGTGCGACCACCCGGCGCGCTCCAGTGTCCTTGACAGCTTCCAGGGCTGCCCTTTTACTTCTTATTGGGAAAGCACAGTGGGAAGTGATGGTTTGCATGTGCGCCTTCTGATCATAAACAAACCGGCTTCTTCATCCCCCTTTCACAGGGCAGCGGAACTGAGGGGGGGAGGGCGGACTCGGGCGCTTTCCTTGATTAGCCCAGTCTTGCCATTTTAAATGGCGGGGGGGGGGTTATCCAGGGCCCCCTCCAGCGACGCCAAACATTCACTCCGCTTGAACGCAGAAGCACGCCCTGCCCGCGCCAGTGGATCTCGCCCGTAGGCCCCGAAAGGCGTGAGCCCCCTGCCGTGGAGGGCCGAGCGGAAGGGCTCCCCGCGGCGGCGAGGAGCCTCGATGGAGGCCCAGTGGAGCCGGCGCCCGGGCAGCCTTCCCCCACCGGCGGGCATCCAGCGCGCCTCGGCCCGCCCGGCAGCGACGGCGCTGCAGGCCAGCATCTCTGTGAGGCGCCCGCTGAGGAAGGCCGGCTCGGGGGGCCGCGCTTCTTCCCCTCGGCGCGGGCCTCGAGGGGCAGCCGGGGAGCGGAGAGCCCTCGCGGCCGCGCGCCAACCCCGGCCGCGCCAAGGGGAAGCAGCCCGCGCGCTCCCCCGCAGCGAGCCGAGCCGAGCCCGGCCGCTTCCCTGCCGGCCCTCCGAGGCCGGTCTCCCCCGAGGGGAACGAGGGTGCGGGGCTTCTCCGCCGCGGGGGGCGATTGCACTGCACCATCTGCATTGGGCCATGGGGGACGTTCAGACTGCAGCCCCCCCACTGTTCCCGGCTGGCTATTGGGCGGGGGGCTAATTCAGCCAGCCCGCCCCTACTCAGCCCAGGGCGGGGGCCCTTGCCGCTGCTGGCTCGGCATTGGCGGATCTGCGCTGGGGAGGGGGAGGGCGGCTGCAGCAGCCCCCAGGCCCCCGTGGCCAGGAAGGGGGGCTGGCCTGCCGCCTCTGGCTGCTTTTGCATTGGCGGATGCAGGGAGGGAGGGGGGCAGGAAGCGAGGGAGGGGGGAAGAGCTTCAGCGGCTGGAGAGAGGCGGGCGGGCACGGGGGGGTCCTCTATGTGGCGGGTGGGGGCCACCGCAACCGAAGAAGAGCCAGCAAAGTTTGCCGCGCGGCACTGCCCGACCTCCTCAGCTGCCCCGGCCACGGAGAGAGCGGCGCGCCGAGCCCCCCCGGAGCCACAGGCCAGCCTGCGTTTTGCGGCGGGGGGGTGAGGGACGACCAGCCCCCCTCCTTCTCTTCCTCCCCCCCAGGGGTGAAAGTGCAAGAGGAAGTGCAGCCGCTGCCATCTTTCCTCCTTTCCAAATACACACACACACACATACACACACACACCGAGGGAGGGGGACGGACGGACGGACGGACAGAGCACGCCAGCAGCCCCCCCCCCCCCGGAGACCTCCCAGCCCTGACGGCGAAGAAGGAGACCCTCGGCCGCCTCCTCCGACGTCCTCCGCGCCGGCCGTGCCGCAGCTCCTCGTGGCGGCCGCAAGAGCTGGCAAGGCTCGAAGCCACTCGGCGGGGCCTCCTGGCTGCCACCGCCGCCGCAATCGCCGGCCCGTGCGGCGCGCGCCCACCCCCCCGCCGTCGCCCGAGCCTTTGTTCCTCCGCGCCTGCCTCCGCCGCTCCCGCCGCCTCCTCCCCGTGGGGCGGCCTTGGCGAGCTCGCGCACCGCGCCGTCGGGGCCCGGGATCATCTGAGCGCGTGCGCCATTGCCTTTCTCGCCCTCCCCCGCCTGCTGCGCCTGCATTTTCGGTCCTCCTCCTCCCTTGACGGGGGCGCGCGGCAGCACCTTCGACGGGAGAGCCCGCGCGCACGGGAGCGCGCCCCCTGCCGGCCGCCGCCGGGCAAAACAGGCAGGCCGTGGAGGCCGGTCGCTAGCCCCGATGGAACGGGTGAGCGAGGCGGCCGCCGCCGCCGCCAATGCCAACGCGTGCGGCCCGTCCCCGCCCGGCTGCTACACGTACCAGGTGAGCCGCCACAGCGCCGACCTGTTGCACAGCCTCAACCAGCAGCGCAAGAACGGCGGCCGCTTCTGCGACGTGCTGCTGCGCGTGGGCGACGAGAGCTTCCCCGCGCACCGGGCGGTGCTGGCTGCCTGCAGCGAGTACTTCGAGTCCGTCTTCAGCGCGCAGGGGCTGAGCGGCGGGGCCGAGGGAGCCACTGGAGGCGGGGGCACAGGGCCTGGGGCGCCCGACGGGGCCTCTGGGGACACTGCTGGGGCAGCCGCTGCCGCCGCCGGCACCACCGGAGGGGTGGCCCGGGAGCTGGAGATGCACACGATAAGCTCCAAAGTCTTTGGGGACATCCTGGACTTTGCTTACACCTCCCGGATCGTGGTGCGCCTGGAGAGCTTCCCTGAACTTATGACTGCGGCCAAGTTCCTCCTCATGCGCTCTGTCATCGACATCTGCCAGGAGGTCATCAAGCAGTCCAACGTGCAGATCCTGGTCCCGCCGGCTGCGCGGCCGGACATCATGCTCTTCCGCCCTGGCGCAGCCACCACCGAGCTCGGTTTCCCGCTTGACATGACCAACGGCGCTGGGCTGGCGCCCAACGGCAACGGCATCGCCGGCATGGCCGAGGATGAGGCTGCGCGGGCAGCGCTCTCCGCTGCAGCCCCGCCCTCTCTGCCTGTGCTGCAGGGGGTGGACCGCCTGCCCATGGTGGCCGGGCCACTCTCGCCCCCCCTGCTGGCCTCGCCCTTCCAGAACGTGGGGCCGTCAGCCCCCTCGCTGAGCAGCAAGAGGGGGAGGGGGCGCCCCCGCAAGGCGAACCTGTTGGACTCCATGATGTTCAGTGCGCCCGGGGGCCTGAGGGACGCGGGCATTCTTCCGTGCGGCCTCTGCGGGAAGGTGTTCACCGATGCCAACCGCCTCCGGCAGCACGAGGCTCAGCATGGCGTGACCAGCCTGCAGCTGGGCTACCTAGACATCCCCCCGCCCAGGCTCGGGGAAAACGGGGTGCCGGGGCTTGAGGACCCGCAGGCCCCCCGAAAGCGGAGCCGGACAAGGAAGCAGGTTGCCTGTGAGATCTGTGGCAAGATCTTTCGGGACGTGTACCACCTCAACCGACACAAGCTGTCGCATTCTGGTGAGAAGCCCTACTCGTGCCCAGTGTGCGGCCTGCGGTTCAAGAGGAAAGACAGGATGTCCTACCACGTTCGTTCCCACGATGGCTCTGTGGGGAAGCCCTACATTTGTCAGAGCTGCGGAAAAGGGTTTTCTAGGTAAGAGGGCCACTGGTGATGGGGCCGGGTGTCCTGGCGCCAAGAGACTCCTGCAGGCACGTGGCTCACTGCGGGCCACCAAGATAGGCTGGAAAGGCCCAGGAGGAACCCGCTGTGGGTTGTATTGGCCTGAAGGACCGGAATGTTTTTTCTGTGGGCAGCAGGTTGAAGTTGCTTCCAGCTTCATGGCACAGCCCAGCTATGTGGTGAACAAGGAAGTGGCCTGTTCTGGGACACTTGGGGACGCGTGCGGCGTGGTGCAATCCATGCATCCGCGCTGCCTGGTGTACCCCACTGCATGGGTGCTTGGAGCGCATGTTTTCTCCTCATATTATTGTGGCAATGGCAGTGCCTTCCAGCTGCTGTGTGGGGAGACTCTTGGCAACCCAATATTGTGCATGCTTACTCAGAAGTAAGTCCCAGTGGGTTCCGTTCTACTCTGTTTTTAAGTGTGCACAGGAATGCCGTGTAAGGCTTACTAGGAAGCAACTCAGTGGGACATCTTTCTGAGCAAGCATGCGCAGCATGGCTGGGCGGCAGTGCCTGTTGCGAGAGGTCATGTGCGCGCCTCCCAGACAGGAGAGGAGTGCCCAACAGGCACGCGGAAGACCAGAGCCCGAGTCTCCAGGGGGCTTTTCCCTGGAACAGCCGCAACTGCCGCGCAGGTGGGCCATGGACCCCTGCCCGTTGTTTTCCCCAGGAGCCTGGTTTCATCTTCAAAGCCCCCAGCTCCAGGTCCTAAGTATTTTGTGCTGCTCTTTCCGCCTCCCCCACCCCCGCTGCTGTCGGCAAAGGTGATCGAGAGACCCCTTGGCAGGGAGGGCATCCCGCTGCTGAGCAGCAGTGCGAGTGTGCCATTGGGTTGCGCTGCGGAACGGTTGCGGGATTCAGGGTGCTGTCCCAGACCCTTCCAAGAAACCCAAGAGGATCCAGAAGGGGGTCAGCCTGCGTGCGATGACCTCAGGCAAGACACTTCCATGGTCCACGTGACTGGCTGAGCGTGGCAGTTCCCCATCATGCTCCTACGAGGGTGTCCCGTGCCTGCCCAACTAGTCTCAGGTAGTCACGGCGCTCAACCCGCTTGTGTGGATCCTCCACAAACCCTGGTTCATTTGCATCTGGGCAGGCTTGCCATGCGAGCGCCGTGCGGGAGTCTCGCTCCTGCAGGAGCACCCCGAGTTCTGTGCTTGGGCTGCTGCAGCTGCAGCCCAGAGCGTGCTGACCAGAGGGTCCCTCTGCCCCATCAGGTGGTGGGAATCCTGCACATCGCATGCACAGTGAGGGCTGCCACTTCTGGCCTGCCAGACATAGCCCAGAGCGACCAGTTGGCCATGAGTTACCCACCCTGATGTGTAGGGCTGAGCCGCAACCCAACAGGTGCTGCAACAGGTGCCCTTCAGGCCCTTCCCAGGCGGCCCATGCCGTCCTCTGCCACTGGCTGCCAGTGCTCGAGCCTGGCTTTCCTTAAGAATCTGACCCAGGGGGACTGGAGGCAGGATGGGGCCTGGAACACCCCTGGCAGGAAGCCCTTCCCACTCCATGGTAGGGCAGAGGCGCACAGGCCCACTTCAGGCCCAGCTCTGGTGGAACTGGCTTGCATAGGACTGGGAGTGGGTGACAACGTTCGGTCATGAAAATGTGTTGGAGCGGCAGCGTGATATGTATTGCCTCTTGCTGAGACTCCACGATAAGGCCTGCTGCTTTCCTGCTTTGTGCAGGCCGCCCACGGGCTGCTGGCTCGGCTGCCTGGGAACTGCAGGCCAGCGCACTTCAGGTGGGGAGGGCTGATCTGCTCGGCTTGGCTTTGTCCAGCTGTGCTTGGCAGTGGCTGCCCAGGATCTTGGGCAGTGAGGGCCGCCTGGAGGTGGTGGGTGCCGGAGGGTCACCTGCAGTGCATGTGCTGCGCTGTTGAGCTGGACCTCTTGGCCATGGAGCCCCTTGGGTTGCCCAGGGACCCCAGACTGGGGTGCTTGTGGCTGCATTCTGCCTTCAGTCCTCGTGTCGGAGAAGCTTTCACCAAACGGAAACTTGGTGGTGTCCTTGAGAGGAATCTACTGCAGGTTCTCTCGTGAAAGCACCATTGAAATGGGGGTGGGGGGAGCTGTGTAGGAGCACACTTGCTGGTCCGTGCTCTTCCAAGGTAGTCCTGCATATGCCTACTCTGAAATAAGGCCCAGAGGTTCAGTGGGGTTTTCTCCAAGGTTATAGGTTTGCCGAAGAGGAAACTGGATTTTCCACTTTTGAACTGACTCCTGCAGAATTTAAGAGGTGATCCAGCTTCTCTTCATGTTGCGTAAAGCTTGACCTGCTGTACATCAAGATGTGCTTAAAGTCCCAAGAGTAGACAAGGCTAGTTTTACTTTCTTCTGGTTAGCTAACAATGTATGGGAAAGGTGCAGCCTCAAAACCCCTTCTAAAGAGGTAAGAACCCATATCTGTGATTTAGGCATTGTCAGGAACAGTCACATATGAATGTTTAATCAGTTAAACCAACCTTTCCCAACCTAGTGCCCTTCAGAAATGTTGAACTACAACTCCCAGCATTCTCCAGCCAGTCATGATTGTAGTCTAGGGCACCAGAAAGGTACCTGGTTCTAGAAGGCAGATCAGGTAATCAAATTAGTGTTCTTCCTTGAAAGTTAAGTGTGTCCTGCTGCTTGTGTTAGGGGCACCCTCTCTGCCTCCTGCTGCCACACTTCTGAGCTGGTGGTGTGCGCTTGCAGGCAGAATGTGCTCACCCATGGCAGCACTCACCTCGCCTCGCCCCTTGGAGGAGCCACCTTCGTGGGGACGGGTGCCTTCCTGCTGGTTTTGCCATGGCTCTCCATGGCAAGGCGCTCGCATGAAATCAGCAGGACTTGCTTCCTTTGCTGCTTTTCTTCGGGGTTTTATGCACGTTAACATTTTGACTATTGCTTTTGATGTTTGCTTTGCACTTGTATGTTTGCCTGTTACCAGTCATCATTTCTGCATCCTGCCCAGAGGACGTTGTTGATGGGGGGCACGTGCCAATGACAGGTTGGTCCCACTCAGGTCCGTGGGGCAGAAATGGGTATTTCTGCTGTGGCCTGACATTCTTAGGGTTATTGGATGAGGGTTTTCGAACAATCCGCACTTGCCGTGATGAAAACCCAGAGTATGCCTCCCACTCCAGAGGAGAGCAAAAGTCTTCTGGCACGTTTGCTCGGCCCCCCAGCTGCGGGTGGCTTTGAGGCCTCACACAGCCCACCTGCCCTTCCCAGCAGTGCCAGGTTAGCCGCTTCAGGGAGGACGCCCCTCCCGGGCTGAACTCTGTGGAGCCGCACGCAATTGGCTGAGGCCGGAGGAGCCGGGAGGGACGGGGCAGCCTTGTTTCCAGGCCGCTCCTGCCTTGCAGACAATGCAAGGCTTCCTCCCCACCAGAGGAGCACCCCCCCCCAAGAAGATCGGTGCTTCTCAGGCTCCCCTTGCGCGGTCTCAGAAAGGCTTTGAGGATTCTAGGGAAAAAGAGACAAGCCACAGTCATGTTTGTTTCAGTGGCGCTTTGCAGTGAAGGGCTGACACGGAGGCCCCCAGCACTGCGCAATTCAGGCTGCTCTCCCGGGTGCCCTTCCGTAGGAGGGCCGTGGGTGGACCCCCCGCCAGAGGCTGCAGGAGGCCAACTAAGCGGGGTGAGCAATGGCAGAAGCCAGCCCTGCCGGATCAGGCCGGCGGTCCGTGCGCACGGTGGCGGACCCGCTGCCCACAGGACCCCTCCGGCAGGACGGTGCGAGGCCGCGCAACGGGTGCCGCAGGAGGCCGCCTCTGGGCAGGGAGGAAGCACCGAGCCCGCAAGGCCGCCCGCCCCGGATGGCCTCCTCCCTCCCTCGCGAGTCCGTCCGGTCCCGTTCTGAGGCCGTCCAGACTGGCGGCCAGCACCATTTCCCGTGGCAGCGGATCCCACAGTTGAACTATGTGCTGTGCAAGGGCGTTCCTCCTTTTATCTGTCCTAAGCCTCCCAGCAGGGAGCTTTGTGCGGTGACCCCGGGTTCAAGTGTTAGGGGAGAGGGCGAGAAAGGCCTCCTGCGCTGCTCCGAACCCTTCTGGCTCGGCTCCCCTTTCGCCTTCCCTCTGAGCCGACAGCCCCACGGGGGAGCTGCTCCAGCCTCCCCCCCCCCCCCGATCATTTCTGTTGCCCTTCGCTGCACTTTCTCCAACTCAGCGATGTCCTCTCTCACGTAAGGCAGCCAGAACTGAACACAATAATCCAGGTGCACCAAAGGTTTGAATAAGGGAAGTAAGACTTTATTTTATTACAAACATATAGTGGTACCTTGGCTCATGAACTTAATCCATTCCAGGACTCTGGTCGTGACCTAAATTGGTCGAGAGCCAAGTTAATTTTCCCCATAAGGTTCAATGTAAATAAGGTTAATCCGTTTGGTAACTATTTTTTTAATCAGAAAAACGTGAAGAAGCAAAGTGACAAAGAACAACAAAGATCGTGGCCATATCCCCCCAGCATGATTGCGCCATCTCCCCACTCGAGGGGGGGGGGGATGGCCGTGATCACGGTCGCCACCCATTGCGGAGTTTGTGACCTGAGTAAAAGTTTTTATGAAATTTTTGTTCGCGACCGATTTGGTCATGAACTGAGGCGCTCGTGAGCCAAGGTACCACTGTATTTATTTGCTGCCTATAACTGGCAAAGGCCTTCCTAGGAAGCTTGCAACAACATATTAAACATATGTATAAATAACAGCATTTAAAATCTATTAAAACAATTAAAAAATTTAAACATCAATATAACAATATAAAAAGGCCACCAGCATTCACAGGGCTAAGTATTTAAAAAAAATAAGATATGTCCTTGCCTGGCGCCAAAAAGAGAATAGAGGCTGTGCCAGAGATGGGGGGTGGCAGTGGAAAAGGCCTAGCGCCTCATTGCCCCACCACCTCTCACAGAAGGGCCTCCTGCACTGACCTGGGGGGTGGGAAGGTCTCTACAGGCAGGCGTAGGGGGTCCGTCAGATTGCCTGGCCACAAACAGTTCTGTTTTCCATTCCCTTCCTGAGTTGCCTCCCTCACAGCACTGAGTGCTGGCAGACACCTCCATCAAGCTGCCCCCCACAACCCCGGGGCCCCTTTCTTGCTCAGACACGGCTAGCTCTGCTTGCATTACATGGGATCCCATTGCCTGAAGTTGGGGGTTTTTGCCCCAGTGCAACCCTTGCTTCTGCTGAAGTACTCCTGCCATTTTGATGCCCATTCTCCCTCACAATCTCATTTGTTTTTAACCAGCCTACAAAGTTTAGTGTCATCAGCAAACTTAAAGCAGACTTCCAGTAGATCGCACATGGAAGCCCAAGCCAGTTCCATGAGACGGAGTCATCAGTCTCTGCGCAGGGTTTGCATCCAATTGGAATTCCACTTATTTGAATGGCTACAACTCATTTTTGCAATTAATTCCCTTAGCACACGTATATCCCAGGCAGAAATCAAAATTGTGAAAGATTTCACATATGTGGGTGTAGCAGTCAGTTCAGAAGGAGGCTGCAGCCAAGAAATTCAAAGAATACTGAGGCTTGGAAAGGCAGCCATGAAAGAACTAGGAAAGATCAAGAGTGAAGACGTTTTCTCTGGAGGCCGAGATCATCCAGCGTGCGGGTGTGAAGGCTGGGCAGCGAAGAAAGTCGACAGGAGGACAATTGATGCATTCAGAATACGGTGCTGAAGGAGAGCTTTGTTAATGCCCTGGGCGGACAGAAGGCCAAGCCCCGGGTCGAGCCAGAGCTTTCCCTGGCGACAAGCATGGCAGAGCCCACCCTGTCCTACTCCAGGCACGTCATGAGAAGTTAAGACCCCTTGGAGGAGGCAGTCGGGTTCGGGGAAGCCAGAGGCAGGAGTCGAGGGAGGAACGAGTACGGGATGGGCCGAGGCCGCCAAGGGAGCCCCGACTCTGAGCGCCGCCAGGGCCAGGACAGGCTTTCAGCCCGAGGGCCGCCGGAGGGCAGCGAGCCCCCGGAGGCACAGGGGTGCCCCATTGCAGCTCCCAGCGCCTCTGGGGCTCGAGGCTGGGCAAGCCCACGCCAGCCTGTTCCTTGCGAGTAAACCTGCAGCCAGCTATGCACAATGGAAGTTCTTTCTGCCATCCACAGCTCTCCTTTCAGGCTGGAGCACTCGAGGCAGCGCAGCGCAGGCTTCAGTGGGTCACATTCCGCTCTGTGACTGAATTCTCGAGGTCATGAACAGGGAAAGGCTCAAGACTGGTGGAGAAACCCCAAATGCATTTGCGCGAGAGTTTTAAGAACGAGGCGAACGCCTGCTCCTTCCTTTTGAGTGGATGCGAAAGGGGTCTACACGTCTTGTGTGTGTGTGGGGGTGCATTCACAGGGGATGCCTCCTTTCAGATGCACAAAAAGCAAGGTAGCCATTTTTGTCATAAAAACAACCCCCAAAACCGTACTTATGTAACACCTCAATGAGGGCCTTACCCACAGGACACAGAACATTGAACTGTTCAGATCTGGAGATTTTAGAATCTTTTAAGATGGTGCTTGCCCTCTGTAGCTTTTACAACTCGTGTTCTAAACATCACATTTTATTGAAATACCTCATTGAGGCACCTTTTTAATCAGTCAGACTTGTTCTTAATGGGGTGCACGCTGCGGCCTTGGTTAACGCTTGACTGTTGCTCCTAGCGCTTGCGATGGGCCGGGGCTGTGGACAGGTCGGGACTGCCTGCAGAGGTCTTGCTGTGCAGCGGAAGACACAGTCCTCGGGGCATCTCTGGACAGGTGGGCGAGACCCTGGGGAGGAGCTGACAGGCAATCTGGGCCGGCCTCCCCCGGCCTGGTGCTCTCCAGATATGCTGGGGTCCAGCTCCCTCCAGCCCTCGCTAGTATAGATAGCCATAGACAATAGGAGTGAAGGGAGCTGTAGTCCTCAACATGTGAAGGACATCTGGTTGGAGAAAGGTGATCAAGGTAACACCAGAAGCCGCTTCTGACGTGAGCAGAAATGGAGCATGCAGCTTACCTGGCCACAGTTCTGTGTGGGACTGTTGAGATGTCATTTCTAGATCTCCCAGTTCAGAAAGAACAAGGATTCTTGCAACCACCCGGCGCTCGCATTGGACCCGGCCAGCTTGGCCTTTGTTTGGGGACATGCTTGTCCCAGCAGAGGCGGTGTGTGGAGGGGCCCCGAGGGCAGGGCGGCTGCATGCCAGGGCTGCCTGTGTGGCTTCCCTTGCTCTCCCAGCCCTCGGCATGCCCCTTCTCCTCAAGAGCAAGTTAGGGTGGCAGGGAAGGTAGGTGCGGTAGGTGCTTGACACCGAGTGCTGGCACTTACGGAGCTTCCTGGACGGCTGCATAAAATAAGGCTGCCCACTTCTTGCAGGTGAAGCAGGGCCGAGCTCTGCGTGGACTGAAATGATTGGTTGGGAGAAAGCCGTCATTGCACATTTAACTCCTGCTTATGCTTGCTTCCTTCTAAAGGCCTGACCACTTGAATGGGCACATCAAGCAGGTGCACACGTCGGAGAGACCCCACAAATGTCAGGTAGGAACTGTGGGGTGTGGGGGCGTGTATCCCGGCGGAAGGAGGCATGCGCAGGGGACGGGTGTGGAGCCGTGAGGTGATCCCAAGAGGACTGCTCCGCCGCCTGCCCGCCACATCGCTTCTCCTCCCTTGCCCACGCCCTCCCCTCCTGCCATCCCTTCCGCTCGGCTTCTTCCACCTGCCCTGCCCAGACGCTTCCTCCTGCTCCCCTTCCCCGGTTGGATCCCTTTCGCTGCAGCTTTGCCTTGGCACAGCCAGTGCTGTAGATGGTTCTCCCCTGACCAGCAGGACTGGTGACAGCCTCAACTTCTGCGGACCTTCTGGGTAGTGGCTGGATCTTACTGTGCAGGCTCCGCTTTGAGCAGCCTTCGGAACATTGCACTGAGCAAACTCGGAAGCTTTTCCATTTTTCCTAGTGAGGAGAGAGCTCTGGACGCTTTGGCTCCAGCAAAACCGCGCACAGCTCACTTCTCTCGGTTCTTCTCTTCCCTCTCAGCTGCACGCACATTTATGCCTGAGCAGGCGGACCAGCCAAGTGAGCCACTTTCTGGCTGAGCTGCCAAGTGGACTCTCCATTGTGCATTAATGGGATCGTTCTTGTTTCTTCCCTCCCTCCTTTTGGAATTAAAAGTGAAGTGTCTTTACCAAGACTGACACACAAGCAGGAAGGGCGTTTGGGCGGCCTCACCATGTTGATAGTGGTCTCACAGGCTAGTGGGGCAGGCCAGCTCCAGGGTGAGGGGCCCAGACAGAACCCAGAAGAAGCAGGGTCGGTATGCAGGGGGTTCTCTGTACCCACTCTGTCTTCCTCGGGTGCTCCGTGCAAAATTGGGACAGTGGGCCCGGCAGGCCCTGGGCCCCAGTGAAGGCCCTCCAGAGTCAGCCCTGAGAGAAGGCAACTGGCTTGGTATGTGGGGGGCGGGGGGGGGGCGGCTGGATGTAAGCCTGGGGCCTGGTGGTCAGCTGCCAGGCGTGGGCTCCAACAGTGGGAAAGAAATCCTAAGGCACAATCTGTTGAAAGGGAAGCCATGAGCTGAGGGGGGAAGAATGATCTCTTCTGACTTGCCAAGGAGCCCATGGGCCGGCAGAGTGGGCCACGGAAGATTTCGGCCTTGCCCTCCTGGAGAGGCGCAGCTCACGCATTTCCCCAGCTGCGTCTCCTGGGCAGAAAGGGACGCACTGTGTCTTCAGCACGTCGAGGACGTGCCAGTTCAGCCTGACCTGCTCCCGGTTCAAGCCTTTGTTGGCCCTGTGCAATGCTGGTGCAGAGGAGGGTGGGCGACATGCGCAGCCCTCGGTGCGTGTCTCTGGCTCATGGCCACGTGGGCCGGAGCAGGATGCGGGCCCCCCACCCTTGGCACTCGTGGCGTATTCTGCCCTTGCACGAATCGTCTGGTGTAGGGGCCTTGCACACTCACAGTATGGCTGCCACAAAGGCTCGTTACCCGGAAGGCAAACTGGGGCGAAAGAACTTGCCCAAGACGAAGTATGAGGCGAAGGCGGAGGCAGAGGCGGGCTCCGAGCGCTGAAGCACAAAACGGGTGGTGCTGGACGAGGGCATTTGGGTTTGTCGCGTGCCATGCCATGCCCAAAAATACTTAGCTGAACAACCTTTAAAAATAAAACTAAAATGGGGGGTGGGCGGTTGGCGCCAAGAGAGGCGCCATGCCAGAAACCCGGCCACGCCTTTTTGTCTCTGACCCGTGTGACAAAACGGTTGTGGATGGCACTGGGCTCACATTTGCATGGCGAGGCTGCGGCCGTGCCCAGGCCCGTGCGAGCCATCGGCCGAGCCGCTCTTCTTCCTGGGGCAGCGGCGGCCTGGCCCGGCTGGCCCGCTCCTACCGCCTCCGTGGCCTTTCCTTCCGCCACCATTTGTGTTCTGCGTGGCTCATGGGGCTTTGCAGGCAGGCCGGTCGCTCTCCTGCCTTTTGCGCCGGTGGTTCATTTTCATGCACGGACATGATCCTCCGTGAGCCCTGCACGGACCAGCAAGAGAGCAGCGGCAGGGGCCGCTGGCTGGGCAAAGGATTTCCCCTTTGCGAAAAGCTGGTAGAGGCATTTATGATAACTCGTTCCCGCTTGACTTTTTTCCTCTGGCTGCCTCTGCAGTTCATACCCTAAATTGCTGGGGAGACACTGGGCCTTCTCTGTCATCCAAATAAAAGTGGACCGTCCCCCAAATGTTGTGGGAGTTGTGAAAAACTCAGCACTTCGAAACACGGGCCTGACAGTCTCGAGGCCACTTGTGCCGCTTAAACTTGCCTCGGGCCTGCCTCGTTTCAGATAAACTCTCACTGGTTTGCATCCTAAAAGTAGTTTTCACTCCAGTTCTTCTGGAAATAACTGGAGCATCTAGCATGGTGTGCGGACGGTCCTGAATTCCCGAGCAGCGGTTGAATTTACCCCCCAGGCCTCAGCCCTGCAGCCGCTTATGATGGGAGGTGACCGGGTGCCTCCCGGAAGCAGCGAGAGGTGTCGGCCTACTCGGCAGGCGCAGCAACGGTGCCCGTCGACGCAGGCCTGATGGGCAGGCCCTGGTGGGCGAGAGGACCCAGCGCCGCTGGCAGAGCACAGGCCCCGCCCGCATCGCGCGCCCGGCCGGGTCCGTGGCACAGGCTGCGGCTTCCAGCCCCCTGAGGCTTCCTCGCTGGGCGGCCCGGGGTGGCAGCAGGAGAGGGCGGCCCGGGAGCCCTGCAGCTGTTTCAGCAGCCTTTCCGAGCCAGGTGCCCTCCAGCCGTGCTGCAGCGTGCGCTCCATCGTTGGGCGCTGCCTGGGCCGGATGAAAGTTGAAAGCGATCGCAGCGGGAGGGCGCCCAGCTGGGGAAGGCTGCCTCGGGCCACTGGCCTCACTGAGTTAGTCAGCGAGTGAGGGGCCCGATGCCAGAATGAAGCCCTGTCGAAACAGGGAGCTCCTCGGGAGGCGTTCTCTTAAGAGCCATTTGGAGCCCCCAGTGTTTTGGCCCACAGCACCCATCAGCCCTAGCCAGCTATGCCAAGGGTGAGGAATGATGGGAGGTGTAGGCCACAAATCCCGCCCCCGCCCCCCAGATGAAGTGGGGGGGTTGATGTGAATTGGTAGCACTGTGACTTAAATCTGTGTTTTGTTTTTAGGGTATTTGGGTTCTTGTGGGTTAACTGTCATAGGGAATAAAGAAATGCCACTTTTCCTCCTATCAGCCCTTAAGTTGTAAGTTATTTTTATATCCTTCTGTATGTCACAGAAAATATCTTTATTGAGGTTTTGATAACCAGTACATTTATTTACATTTAATTTGTTTATGTAATTGTGCTGTTTCAGTTTTCCACATTCAGCAGCCCAGAGAGCAAGTGCAACTTTCCCGAGACACGCTCTCTTCTCCCTGCACCCTGCTAGACGTGCCATCGCTAGGGCTCCTTTCCCTGGCGGAGGTGTGTGTGTGGGCAGCACGTGCCTGGCTCTTGGTCGGAGGAGGCTGCCCGCGGGGGCCCCGGCAGGGCTTGGGTTTGGCTCAGCGCCGCCTGGCTTTGCGCGCCTTTCGCGCACACGTCGTGTTGTGTCTGAGCCACATAAACTGTGGGAGCAGCAGCTGGGCATGCTGGCCTCTCTTCAGCCGTTCCCTTCCTGTGGATCCTTCAGGAGACCGCTCGCCGACCAGGGCAGGGTTTGGACCACCGTTCCAAGCATCCACATGAGTGGCTCCTCGAGACAGAGGTGGACATGATCTACCGCGTGGGGCACAGGCCTGGGTTGCCCGCTCGGTTCAGCCTGGGCAGAGGTGATCTCCGCGGCCGGGGCCCATGAGTGGGACGTGCCGGGCTCTGTCCCGGGTCCGTCTGCAGCGCATGGGGTGTGGGGGGACCATGGCCGAGGCGGCCGGCAGGGCAAGCGACGTGTTGCAGAAGGTTGGGCAGGGTCCCTGCCGTGTGAGGCATGCTTCTAAGTGACCCCCTTCCCCCAGAAAGATGAAGGGCACCCGGAGGGTGGGGCGGGGTGAAGCTGCCAGGGGACCAGAGATGCACCATGGTAGAACTGCCTAGCAGCCCCCTTGGAGCAGGGACTGGCCCGTTCTGCCGACGGACCATGAGATGCCCCATCGGTCCTCTTCAGAGGCCGGTGTGGGACATCCTGGCCCCGAGTGACCTGCGTGCCAAGGAGAGAGCCACTGGATGGTCAAGGGTCTTGGAAGGAGGAGGGCAGTTCTGGGGGCTGGGGCAAATCTGAAGCGTCTGTTGCTGCAGTGCAGGACCTGGCATCTCCCCCTCCCCTCGCCCCAGGAGTGACGTGATGCAGGGCACATTCCAGCTTGGAAAGGGGCACCTCGGCACAGTCGCCTCCACTTGAAAGCCAGCCTTGCAGCTGTGCCCAACCAGAGGCCGCTGCATGTGGGGGGGGGGGCATGATGGGCACGAGGGAGGGGTCTCTTGGAGGGCGGCTGCAGCTTTGTGAAGAAGTGCCCTGTGGCCTGGTCCCCAGCCCCACCTCCGCTTCACCAGGCCTGGCCACGCTGGAGCTCCCCTGTGGAAGGGGCCACGGGCTGCTAGCCCCACTGCGGGCTCTGGCGGAGCAGCCGCCGCGCTCTGTCGGACCGTGTGGCTGTCGCAGTTGGTTTTGCCTTGATTTGTCACATGCACAAGAACCTCTGATCAGAAACACTGGGGCAGGTTCAACACTCAAGTGTTCCCAACTTGGTGGTATCCTGCTGTGGCTGACTACAGCTCCCATCAGCCCATTATCGTGAGCTGTCCAGAGACGCAAAGCGATTGGACGGGTTGGAAACATCCCAAACGAACAAACAAGCCCCATGGCCACGCTTGCTGATGGAGATTTGAAACTGTAGTCTGGCACCTCTGGAGGACATGGTGCGGGGGGCGGATCTGAGTCGCCACCGGGGCCACCCCCCAGCAGCACTGGGGCAGCCCTGGTGCCCAGCTTGCTCATGCTCACCTCCCGCCCAGGGGCCTCCCAGAGGCTCGGTGTGCTCTGCATGTGCCCTGCGCGGCACACGGACCCCCTTGGCACTGCGCTCATGGGCACTCTGCCTCATCCCGCAGAAGCCCCGGTGTTGAGGAGAGCTTTCTGGATGCGATGGTGGGAAATTGACCAGATCGGTGCAGGTGACGTCTGCCGCCGTGTGGCTTTAGCAGCCAAAATCCCACTCCCAGAGTTAGCGTGTGCTGCCTGAAAAACAAAGGTTAAAGATCAGCATTTAGCAGCCCCGCTCTTTTCCCAACTGATGTCAATGCAGAATGAGTCTCTTCCTTTGCTAATCTCTCTTACTTCCTGCCTGTTAGCAGGAAATTGCCAGCCTCCATGGAATAAGCTCAGAGACATCTACATCCATAGAGCAGTTGAAACTTCAAGAGGTATTTCTTAAACACTGTTTATCTTTTAAGAACTTCTCTACTTTTTAGTGTATTTAACTGCTTTTGCAATGTTTGATAGGAAAGCACTGGCATTTTCCATGATTATTATTATTGCTATTATTGATAATTAATTAACAACATCACTCTGATAACAGTTTATTCTACTGTTAAAGATATTAACATATTAAAAATTGCAATGTTTTGATTTGCTTTGAAGCTGATCATGTGTCTTTTTGTTGAGTTTTTAGCTCTGACCGCTGATTTTGCTTTCTGGATTCTCTGTTTCTTTCACTTTCTTAAAGATATGGTTTTCAGTGATCCGTGCAGTAACTGGCCCTGGTCAAGAGTGACCTGGCATCAAGGGAGATGAGTCAAATAAGCACAGCGGCCGAGAACATCCCCTTCTCAGAGCTGTTGCTCGCAGGGAGTTGAGGGGCATCCTGTCTGCCGCCCCACCAGGAGGTTCTGCATTGGCCATGGGCAAAGGGACGGGGACAGCCGGTGCTCAGCCCCCTTTCCTTCCTGCAGGCCCTCGGTCGACAAGCTTCCCGTGGGTAGTCCTAACATTTGCTGTGTGGGTTTGCTATGCTTGCTGGCAGGTTGCGTTTTTTGCTTTCATGGTTCTGCAGACGACTGAATCATTTTAAAGTTACAGCTGATGCTTTTTCTAACAGCTGGAAGATGTTCTGAATTTCAGTCCACTGTCCATTTTCCACTGGCACCACTTTCCTGGTTGTGTTGGTTGAACTACTGGGGCTGATGGACTTCATGCATCTGGTTCATTGATTATGAAAAATCTCTCTTAAAATTACAGCTGGGATGCCTTCTGTCAGAATCTTTTCTAAAGTTTCATTTTCCAGACAGTGTTTTTGCAAGATGAAAGCTGTACCTGTTTTGCTCAGCGCAATGTCCTAAGCGGTTGCACTTGCCGCTTGCACCTTCTTCTTACTCTGCCTTTTGCAATACCAGAGTGATTTTCTGGTGAACTCCGTTTGTCATATAAATTACAATAATTTTGCTTTTTATTATGATGCACTGGCCCAGATCCTGCGCAAGGAGGCAGCATTTTCTGTTTAGTGCCCGGTCTATACCCTGCTGGACCTGTTCTCAAGTCTGCCTGCAATGAGGAGAAACCGTGTTGCCTTTCTTTTAACAGGCTTTTCTCCCGGACTTTTACACAGTAACAAACAAGCATCATTCAGGCCTCATCATTTAAACTCCAGCTTCAGTAGATGCAGAACTAAATTGTTCAGGATGCAGAAGTGTGCAGGGGACGCCTGGCAGGGAAAAGGAAGGCGGGAGCATGGGGCCTCTCTAGCAGAGCATTCAGGGTGGCCCCGGCCCCGCCAGGACATGTGCTGGCTCAGGCCCTGCTGCCCAGTCTGGCCAGGTGGGCTTTGCCGTGCCCGGCAGGGAAGGCACGTCCCCCGGGATGCTGAGTGAGCAGTGGGGCTCTTCCACCCCCTCCCCGCTGCACTCTGGCCTCTGAATCCCAGAGAGGACTGGAGCTCTGTTCTTCTGTTTGGCATTAAAGGGGGTGAAACCTGCCCCCGGATTCTGAAGCCTGTCTCAGTGATGTGAGTGAAGCCAGTTTCCATTCTGCTGTTTCCGCACGTTTGCACAGCGGATTGTGCAGCTGCTAGTCCAGGGGAGACCTGCAGGGAAAGGGGGGCCACACTCGGCCCCTGGGAAGCACATCCTGCCATCCCCTGGTTCTTGCGGGATCCACGGTCAAGAGGGCTCAAAAACGGACTCCTCTCTTTGCCTCAAAGGACAGGAGGTTGGGCTTTGTGCATCGTGCCCGGGCCACACCGTCCCGGTGGAATTGCCAATGGCGTGTCCCTCCCCCCTCTCCATACCGCTGCGTGTGCCCCTCTCCTCTCCCCTCCATCTTGGCCGCCTGCCTCCCGCTTCTCCCATCCTCCCACCTTGTGCATGTCCGTCCGCGCACCTTCACCTGTCTCCCGCTTTGCCCTCGCCCCTCTCCTCCAGAGCCGCTTCCCCTCCTGCCCCCTCTGCCCCCAGCTCCCACTGCCTTCCTGTGTCCTTGCTACTCCTGCTGGGGCCGAGGTGAGATGCTTCCCTCCCTGCCGCCTGTTTCCGGGAGAGTCTCTTGATGGGACTGCGTTTCCCTCCAGGGTTTTCTTAGGGGCAGCAAAAAGGAGTCTTGGCTTCTTGGAAGGTCATAAAGAGGAAGGCATTGCCTCCTTCCAGCTTTCCCCAGCCTGGTTACAGCCAATGTGTTGAACTACAGATCCCACCATCCCTAACTAGCATGGCCACCTGTTGATGTGAGGATGACGGGAGCTAGAGACCAGTGCATCTGGAGGGCACCCAGTCAGGAACGGCTGCCTGCTGCCAACTTGAAAAATGTGGCACTGCCAGGCACCCCGGGAGCCGGGGAGGTTTTCTTGCCTGGGCACAGCGCAGCCATTCTGGCCTCAGAGGGGAGAATACGTACTGGAGCTGCAGTATTGTATGGATGCTAATTCTGCGCTCAGCCTTTCCAGAGCTGCTTCTCCCCCTCCCTATTCCAGTCCAGTGCTCCAGAGAAGCTGCCCAGGCCCCTGGAGTGCTGCCCCTGGGCGTGTGGCGTCCTTGCCTGGGAGGGGAGGGGCGGGGAGGGGCGGGGAGGGGAGGGGAGGCGGCTGTGTGGAGGGGGCGGAGCGGCACACGCGTGCATGGACAGGCGCGTGCAGTGGCCTGTGGGCTTGCAGAGCCCCACTCTCGGCAAGGCGTGCCTTCCCTCGCAGGCCTCTTCTGCAGCGAGGCCAGAAGTCACGGGGCAGCACACGGTCCAGACTGGGCACGGGGCAGTCGGCCCGGGGGGGGGGCTTGCAGAGGAGGTTGGGGGAAGGGAGCCTTGCCTCCCGTGGCTTGAAGAGCACCAGGCACCCACCTGAGCACGACCGGGGCCGGTCCAGGCTGGATTCAGGCCCGGTGGTGCATGCAGCGGGCCCGCTCACATGAGCGGGACTTCCCTGTCCTGGCTGTCCTCAGTCCCACTGATTTTGGTGGGAGCCTCGCTCTGCCCCTGCCACTTGGGGGGCTTGGGGAGGACTGGGGCCAGGGTCCAGTGCCCCGCGGCAGCCCTGCTTGGAGGTAGCAGGGCGGTTCTGCCGCCCCACTGCACGGGGGCCAGGGCCCCCCGTCGCCCTGCAAAGTGTCTTTGGGAAGCTCGGTGCCCCTCACCGACCGGCCCTCCTGCCTTCGCAACACCTCCCGGGCGGGGGGCTGTCCCGACAGGGCCTTTGATCTTCCGTCATGTCCACCTGCCCTGGAAAACGGGGGGCAACTTTGAGGTTGTCGGCCAGCGGCATGTGAGGCGGGCCACGTCCGGCAGCGCTCAGCCTTGGCTTGCCCGGGCGTCTCGGCCAGCTGCAGCACCTGTGCGCAGGAGAGCCTGCCCCGACCTGGCACCCTCCAGGTGCATATGGCCTGCATGACCCATTATCCTCAAGCTGGGGGTAATGGAAGCAGTGCTCTAAGAACTTACAGAAGGCGCCAGCTGAGGAAGGCTCGCCCCGCTTGGAGGGCGCCTCGCAGCCCTCAGGGTCCCGCGCAGCTCTGCACCCAAGCCCAGCTGGGCGCGGCTCAGCTGACTCCTTCCACAGGCTCTGCATCCCTCCACCCATGGCTGCGTGGCCCAGCCCTCCTCAGGTGCCCAGCCACCGGCTACGGCTCATGCCCACGCCCTCTCCTGCACTGCGTCCGCTCGACCGGCTGTGGAGGGCCCCCCGCCTCCCCCCGCGCAGCCCTCCCCGCTGTCGGCTGGGGCCCCACTTCCCTGTCCCTGAGAGGCCCCTTCGCCTCTCTCAGAGCCCTAAGTGAATGATGGGAAGGCTGCCGTGCGTAGGGTTCCTGGGGGGATTCCCACGGCCCACTGCCACGCCACGCTCCCGGTCTCCCCAGCGTCTCCGTCTCTAGGCGTGCCCGTGCAGGCAGGCAGCGGGGGCACCTGGTGCTGAGCCCCGCAGGCCACAGAAGGGCTCCTCTGCTCAGCGGCCGCCTCGGGCGACACCTTCCCCTCCGCCTTTTCTGCCCTTGGGCAGGCAGGGGACTTGGCAAAGCCGCTGTGCCCAGTCCAGCAGCTTTGATAGGCCAAGCAGCGCCTGCATTCTCTGCTCGGGCGACGGAGGCACACGAGGGACCGTCCGAAAGGCAGGCTTTGCCGCGTGGCTCCGATCCAGCTGGGGAAGTCTGGATGATCCCAGGAGCGGCTGGGGAGGCCGTGGAGGAACAGGACATTGCCCAAGGCTCTCCCGCCTTGCCGTTGACCAAGAACAGCGCAGAGAGAGAGTTCTGCAGCTTTGCCTGCCCACCTGCAGTGGTGATGAGGGCACATCCCTGCCTGTTCCCCTGCATCTTCCATCTGCGACCTGAAGTGTGGGATGAGCAGGAAGGAACCTTTTTATGGAGGTTCCCTGACTAGTCGCCCAAAGGCCATTTTTTCTCGCTGCAGCTGACCACAGTGAGTTACTGCGACTGGCCTGCCAGGTGGGCCACAGCAACCAACTGCTCCAGAGAGTTCGTCTGAAAATGGCCTCGTCCCTTTTCAGGGTGCTCTTTGCCGTCCCCTCTCGCTCTTCGGACAGAACTGATTCTCAGGTCCTTTGTATGCCCCTGCTGAGTAAGCACTGTTCTGCCAGGGATTGCCTAGCGCTAATGAGCCTTAATAGGTGCGTGTGGAGTTAACACCCCTCTGCTGCTGTCCGCAGACTTGCAACGCTTCCTTTGCCACCCGTGACCGGCTGCGCTCGCATCTTGCCTGCCACGAAGACAAGGTTCCGTGCCAGGTCTGTGGGAAGTACCTGCGGGCGGCATACATGGCTGACCACCTGAAGAAGCACAGCGAAGGGCCAAGCAACTTCTGCACCATCTGCAACAGAGGTAATGCGCACACCCGCTTGGAGGGGGGGGCCTGGGTCAAGCGAACAGATGCCCGCTGCCAGAAGGGAAACCCGGCGGTCGACCTGGTCTTTCCCGCTGCTGCACCCCTGGGCCCGGTTCTCACGGATGTGCCCGTCTCTTGCTGGCCGGGGCTCCAGACGAGCTGCCGCAGGCTGATCGCCACGACCCGGCTCTCCCGATGCTGCTCGGGCAGACACTCGGCGTGACCCAGCCTGTTCATGCGCGGCACTTGCTCCTCCGAGGCCGGGCTTGAGGTGTGGAGGAGGACCTGGCAGCCCGTGCCTGCACAAGGGGCATCCTGCTCCGCAGGCTTTGGCCTACGAGGCAGAGAGGTTCCGAAGGTCCAGAGAGGGCCACATAGAAGGGCAGACAGGTGTCCTTCTCAACCAGGCGGAGGGATTCATGCGGCGCTCGCCGCTTGCAGTGCAAGCCAGCTCTGCCTTCTGAAAGCCGGCGGTGGTGTAATTCTTTCCTTCCCAGCTTCTGAAGGGGCAGCAGGGGTTTAGTGCAGGTGTGTGCCCTTCCCGTTCTTGCTTCAGGTGTGCACCAGACTCCAGGGCACATTCCCAAGGAGCAAAGGGAGGGCTGAGACAGCACCTTGGCCCAGCCCTGTTGCTTGGCTTGCACGGGCATCTCATTCGGAAAGCATGGCGAAGGCTGTCGCCGTGCAGGGGGCCTCCCTGGCCAGGCATATGTGGCAATGAGCCCCCCCCCCCCCCAAGTTCTGCGGGACTCCTTAGGAAGTGGGCTTGTCATAAGGGTCAGGGCCTCGGGTGCAGATAGACAGGAAGGGTGCTTGATTCATGGTGAGGCTGAGGCTGCCTAGGCTGAATGTCCCAAATGGCAAGTAAGAGCTGTGTGCAGATCAGCAGAAAACAGAACTTGGTGTCTCGGAGCTTCCCGGCACGTGGCCGTCTGCCTGGGAATCCTGCGCGATCCGTGAATGAGCGGGGCAGGTGGAAGGGGAGGAAGGGGAAGCAGTGGACGGCCGTGGCCAGAAGCGCATCCTGCGGCCCTGCATGGGCTGCCTCAGTTGCACTTGACCCACCTTTGGCCTTTCTGCTCCGCTGGCTGAACAGGTTACGTGGCTCTGCTCATGGCGGGGCGGGTGAGTTGCGGATGCAAAAAGCGGGCCTGGACTGGCATGCTCCAGGTTGGGGCATCTTTCTCTTGGATCTGAATTATGTGTTGTACTTTGCCAAAGAGTTCAATTCACAGGCACTCATGTTTCCAAAATGGTGGTGGTGGTGGTGGTGGTGATGATGATGATGATGATGATGGGGAAGGCTGGTGTAAGATAAAAGGGAAATTTTGCTCACAGCCAGTTTTTGTGTGACTTATTCGGCAATAAATCCTGAAAAAGTGGTGCTTTTTCTCTAGCAAGCATGCCTGGAACTGCCGCCTCAGACCGTCCGCAGAACCTTGCTCTGTGTAGGTTGTGCTGCCTATGAAGGGTGGTTTGAATTGCATCCTCAGATTGGGTGGGGAAGGGAAGAATAAAGCTTGGTGCATCCTGAATTGTGCAGAGCTGGGATTCTCCTATCCAGCACTGGCTGTCCCCTGGGAATGTCGCCCACAGGCAGAAAGGGAAGGCTGGTTCCCATCCCCCTGCATCCTTCCAGAGTGCACCTCGCCTGAGGGAAGGCTTGGCCAGGCACACAGTGCTCTTCCCAGCTTTTCTGTTGCAGGTCTGAGTTTGAGGCACAGGCAGCACTCGGGGAGTCCCCTGAGGCAAAGTGTTCTGTGTGAAGCCAGATGCCTGTTGGCTGAAGCGGGGCTTGGGGGGGGGGGGCAGGTGAGGCTTCTGTGTGGCCAGAGGTCTGCTTGAGTCTGTGGTGACATTTCCTGCCCAGACATGCTCAGCTGTGCGGAGAGGGTGCTCACCCAGGTGTGGGCGGCCCCCAGCCTCCCCGCCCCACATGATCCGTGAGGCAAGAGTACCGGCCGTGGCTGCTGGTTGTGTGGGAAGGGAAAGGGCGGGCAGAACGAGAAGAGGGGGCAGCACCTCGCGCTGTGAAGTACGGCCCCCAGCAGGCTGCCCGGGAGGCAAGGCAGCCCTCGGCCATGAGAGGGAGAGGGCCAGCTTGAGGGCGGCTTCTGGCCCGTCCGTGCCTCGAAAACAGGTGGGTCTGGAAAGGCTCGGAGCAGCTCTGGCACCACCAGCCTCGGGCCGGCGGTGTGGCTGGCATGCCAGAAGGCTGGGCGCAGCTGGGCATCGAGCCGGGCGGCCGGCGCTGCCTCCCAGACGGAGGCTTTACTCCCACCAGCGCTTGTCCCTCAGGCATGGCCTCCTCACCTGCCTGTCGCTTAACGTTGCCACTGGGCGGAGATTAGCCTGAAGCTTAGCTCTGGTGCCATTTACTTTTCCTTTTCTTCCATTGCCTGTTGCTTAGAAAAATGGCGGGCTTTGCCTCGTGTCGTAATGGAAGCACGAGCTTGGCAAGCAGAAGCAGGGCGGCCATTTTCGTGGCCCCGCTGTGCTGGCATGGCTGTCCTGCTTGCAGGGGCGGGCGGCCACCCCGCCCACTCCTGAGGATGCCTGTGCCGCGAGGGCCCTCGCGCTTCCATGGGCCGCTCCTCCTCCGCCGCAGTGCTCCAGCCAGCTCAGGCGACTAACCGGGAGCAAGTCCGCACTTTGCCAGCTTGCCCTCCCCGCCCGGCCCGGCCCCACAGCACCCATTGCCCCCTCCCACTCCTCAGCTTCGTCTCCCAGAGCCGCAGGAAGGAGCACGTGGGGATGCCTTCTTGACGTGGAGATGGCATTTTCCCGAGTGCATGCTTTCAGCCGCCCAGCGTGTGTTCTTGTCCCGTCAACTTTCTCTATGTTGCAGCCATCAGGTGGCGCAGGTAGCGTACCTGAGCTAACATGGTGAGGTAGCACAACACTAATTGCCCGCTGGTTGCACCGACCAGTGGCCAGTGGCAGTAAAGGGGAGATGCAGCAAGAGCCCTGGCCGAGGCAGCAGCCCTGAGGCTGGGGGGGCGGGGGCCATCGGGACTGCGGCACCAAAAGGTGTGGGGAGGAGGCATATCCCCCGGCAGTGCAGCCTCTAGGGTGTGAGTGTCGTCTGGACTTTTAACACCTTCCTGGCTTGTTGGTTCTCCAGAAAGGGAGAGATGAATGCCTCATTTTGGGCCACGGGTTGCTGTGGTCTCGTTCCCAGCCGTTTTTCAAAAGTGTTGAACAGGCAGGGATGCCGAGCCGTGTCCGAGCAGCACTGCGAGCCAAGAGGGTCGTGCGGTTGAGTGGGAGGTGGGGCGGTCAGGGCGCCGCCCCTCCTGTGGAATTCCTTCCCCGGCCCTTGACACCTGTGTGCCAGCCAACCTGCACTCTCCACGGTTTCCTTGCATGTTCCCTGCTCGACATCTGTGCTCCCTTTGACCGCTGAAAAATGCCAGAAAAGACTGCACACACCACACTCTTGCACACCTGTGAAAGACCCAACAGCAAAAAAATAAAATTGAAAATTACGACAACGTTTGCACAGTTTTCAGGGTCCAGGAAAAAGAAAGAGGGAGAACGAGTGTCAGTTATTCCGGAGCGCTGTTTGACCCATGGGGGAGAGGAGCCAACAGGTGGCCGCACCCCAGGGCACCGCCTGGGTCTGCACGGCACTTGCTGAACAGCTCTTGAATCAGCCCCACAACCTACAGGGAAGTAGCTTTCTGGCGCCCGATGGCGCAGAAACTGGGCCCCTGTGCCTGTAGCCCGCCGTAGGGGCGGGCTCTTCCCCAGAGCCATGCCCATTGTGCAGACGCGAGCCAGCAGGCGGCGGCGTGCGGGGGCCGTTTCTCTGGCGGCTGCTCCAGAGAGGCTGTAGACCCCATCCCGCAGGACCATGCCAGGTGAATCTTCACACACACCGAGAGCGAGGAGCTTTCTGGGAAACGGTGCGACCCAAGCTTGCCCTGCTGCCCGGAGGCTCACCTGGTGGGGAGAAGGCAGCGCAGCGAGCACGGCCCACCGGGCTCGCTCCTCTTCACACAGGCCTGATTTGTTATAAAGGTCACTGTTTTTATTATTAAATTCTCTCTCATTTTCATCTACCCAACAGCAGATTACAGGCTGTGGCATGCTATTTATTTATTTCATTTCTGTGCTTTCCAGTAGCCACTTGGGAAACATTTCCCTTGTGTACCCGTCCTGCTTGGAGTTCCTTTGCAGAGCTGCTCTTCTTTTCAAGAGAGGGCCTTGTCTTTTTAAGCATTTAGTAGGGATGGGTGTAGCTAAATCAGTCACTGTTATTTGTGGAGTAAAATACAAAAAAGGAGGAAGCCCCCATTTTTGCCGGAATTGATTTTGGCCCTCAAGGGCCGATACGTGCAGCGGGGGGCGGCCACTTCCCCCGCCTCGACCTGCTGCTTCCAGCCCTCGCTCCTGTCCTGCCTGATCCCCTGCAGAGGAGCTCATGGAAGCCAGAGGCTCCCCTTCCAGTCTTGGCACGGTTGTGAGCTTCTCTGGTGGTCTTAGGCAAGCGCCCTTCCTCACCCCCCTTCTGCGGTTGAAATGCAGCAACGGGGCTTGCGCTCCATGTCGCTGGTGGTCTGTGGGAGAAGAATGCAGAGTTCTGCTGCAGCACTTTCAAAGCGCCGTGTGCACTTGGAGATGTGCTGGGCTTAAGGTGTGGGTGTGCGGCGTTCTCGGCTGGGGCCCGCATGCAGCGCTGGCCTCGACTAGGGGTGCGGGCAGGGGGCGCGCCCGTCTCGTTTCAGGTCACGTGCTCTTCTGCTAGAGACCAGCAGGAAGGGCTGGGGTGGCAGGCACGGGCCGTGCGCCCGACTTGAGGGGTCAAAGCCTTTTCTCCTTCTGCCAAGATGCAGAGAGGCTCAGGAGAAACTGTTAGAGATTTACAGAATAGCAAGTTTTGCTGACCAAGGAAAGGAACTGTACAGTGTGGAAAACATCTGGTTGGTTGACTCGCTGTATATAACAGACTAATGTTCTGTGGGTGATGTGCAGAATGTAAGACAAACTACTGAAAAAGATGGCACACGTGCTGTATCAGAAAGCAGCAATAAAAGAGCTGGCTGGCATACGACAGAGGGAAAGCAAAGATTGCTCCAAAGCATAGACGTTTTGAGAAACAGTCGTGGCCACGAGGCAGGCCAGTGGAGCAGACGCTGCCGAGGTGGAAACCTTGCCGGCCATCGGGGGCCTTTGCATCTGCCCTTCTTTTTGCACTGGGACCCCGTTCTTACTTCCCAGCGGGGGGGTGCAGTGCTTCCGCCGCACAGCCGCCCGTTTCTCCAGAGAATCTGACAGAGCGCTGCCGCTTTCAGTGACGTGGGACCTGGCGCTTCACAGGGCACGGGAGATCCATGGAGCAGACCAGGCTGGCCTGATAGGGAGTGCTGCGGCATAAAAAGAACGCCTTGGGACGCGTCTCGGCCGCTGCGGAGAAATGGGCCCACTTCTGCTTGTGTGCTCTGGCTACTCTTGGCCAGCCGACTTCCGCCTGGTGTGTCCACATGTGTGGGACCACAACTCCCAGCCTGCCCCGTTGGGCATTGTAGTCCAGTGCATCTGGAGAGCACAGGTTTGGGGAAAGCGGGCCCCCCAGCCAAGATGGCGGGGGCCAAGGGATGGGAAGCGAGCTTGTCACCAGCCTGCAGAGACCCCCCCCCCCCTGGCTCCGGGGACTGCCCAAGTGCCGCGCAAGTGCCGGGGGCAGCCGGGGGGCTGGAGGCCGCTGAGCCGGTGCATCCCCTTGCCCAGGCCGAGGTGCCCTGCTCAGGCCTGCTGCTCTCAAGGGCACCTGGAGGGCGGCAGGCCCTGCAGCCGGGTAGGGCCCTCTGGAGCCTGCTGCCCCGGAGCACCCTCGCCCAGAGGCGCCGGGCCCAGCCGCAGGGCTCCACGGCAGCTGGTCACCACAGCAGACTCTACACGGGGCGACCTTTGGGGTCGCCCGGGATCTGCAGCGGGGGGTGCAAGGGGGCTTCAGGCTCGGGATTGGAGGGTGTCCCCCATGCCACAGCACATCAGCGCTCGGTTTGTCTCTGTGTGTGATTCCTGGTCCCAGTTAAATGAGTGGAGAGGCTTCCATGGGAGGAGGTGGCCCTGTAGGTCTCCTCCAATGAGCCGCCTGACCCCGCGTGCATCCGGCTTTCTGGAGGGGCCTCTCTGCTCGGCTGCCGTTGCCTCTGCTGCCGCCGGGAGCAGGGGAGGAGAGGCTTCCGCAGGGCCATCGCCACGCCGCAGACCCCAGCGGAGCCCAGCTGGCCTCTCTGGCCATCTTGCCCAACGCGGTTCCTGGCAGGGGCTTGGGCCTGCCAGCTCATCCTTTGCTTGTCTGCCTGCTTTCCTGCTGTCTTTTAATTGTGAACTAAAACACCCACCATTTCTGGCTTCAACTATGTTCTCAGCCACCTTAGGTGTTTTCAGATGGGAAGACAGGGCACAAATGTTTCCAGCAGTCAGTACATTAAATGAAAACTCCAAATCAACCTCTGCATTTCTAAAAGCAGCATGTGGACCCACGGCAAGGGCTGGCTGTGCGTGTCGCAGTGTGAAGACGCGCTCCCGCCCGCGAGGGCTGCCATGCCATGGAAGCTTTCCCGTGCACCCAAACATTTCCAAGGGGGGCACTGTCTTCATAAGGGGCAGTTTGGAAAGGCAAAGCTTTGGCGTGTTGGTGGCTGAAACAAAAATGGATTACTCACAGCACCATCAGTTTCAGGCGCATTTGAAATAGTTGGCCAAGTGGCGTTTTGCCATTGCTTTCTGTCTGAAGCACTTTAGTTAGGAGAGCCCCCGAGTCAGACCAAAGGCCAGCCCGCCCCTGCACGTGGCCCCAGGGTGAGGGGGGGGGATGCATGCGGCGCTCGCTCTCCCCCCTCCCAGCCAGGGGCACGGGGCAGTGGGCTGGCCGCCTCCGATTCGGGACAGCCAGCGTAGGGTCCCCGGCACTGGGAGCCATGGGCAGGCTCATCCCACCCCCCGTGAATTCATCCCGCCCCCTCCGGGGCGGCCGGTCGCACGGCCTTGAGGAAGGGGGTCCACAGGGGACCCTGCGCTGCATGAGAAGGGCTTGCCTTCTTCTCGCCTGCGTCTCGTGCTGTGCAGCATCACGAGAGGGCCCAGGCACGAGGGCTGTGAGGGATGGGGAGCGCTTCCCTCTGCCCACTTTCTCCACCCCGGGAGTAATTATGAACACGTCTTAAACAGCCGCCCCGGCCGTGCACCTAAGCTCAGGAGCCCCAGGGCTGCCGGCATCCCCAAGGGCACTGCTCCGGCCCCTGGGCCGTTTCTGCTGCCCTTCCTGACACCTTCTCCAGCTCTGCACTAGCCCTAAAGCTTCTACTGGGACGAGTCCCTTTTTCCAGCAAGAGACGCCTCTGTGAAGGCAGCCGGCCTCAGGGCAGGCGGGGGCGGGGGCCTGAATCTTCCCCCCGCCCCCCCCCCCGGCTCCTTCTCTTGCACGGGAAGAGGAAGCCTGTTTTCAGCACAGGTGCAGCAAGTGAGGACTACGCAAGCTGCCAAAGCCATGTTACCTACTGAAATCCCCCCATGTCGGCTCTGGCCTTGCCCTGTTCTGCAAGGCGGAGTGAGGGGGTGGCGGGTTGTTTCCAGAACTGGACAGGCAAGTCTAGACAAGATGGCGACACACTTGGCTGTGAGCACAGCAAGAGGGGACTCAGCCCGGACTCGGTCTTACCTCGCGGAGGTGGCTTCGACGGTGTTTCTGTCTTTCCCTGCCGCACAGTTCCGTGGCTCAGGACACCCCGTGTGTGGACACGCCCCCCAATAATTGCTGAGTTTCCTTCTGGGGGCACACGGGAAAGGGCAGCCTCCACATGTGGATGCCTCCGCAGAAGCGTGGCGGCGGCCAGATCTTGCCTTGGCATCTGTGCAAGCTCCTTTAGAGGCCGCGAGTGGATCTGGAAGCAGCTAAGCAGAACCTGGGGAAAGGCAGAGGCGTGTCTGTGCTGTGGCAGGATCTCATCTCCTTTTATCTTGTTTAGGTTTCTCCTCTGCCTCCTACTTAAAGGTCCATGTTAAAACCCACCACGGTGTTCCCCTTCCCCAGGTCTCCAGGCACCCGGAGCCCATCCCGAATGGGGGAGCAGCGTTCCACAGCACCAGGACCTATGGCATCAAAGGCAAGCGACCCCCTGCTCTGCACTTTCCATCTCGTGGCGTAGGACTTTGTGGTCTGGGGAGCTGGGTGTGGGGAGGGGGCAGAAGGATCGGTTTGGGGGAAGCAAGTCTAAGATCTGCTGGGTGTGGATGCTGCGCTTTTCTTGCCCTTTCCCACTTCAGGCCAGAAGCAGAGGGTTGCATGTCTGAATACTCTCTTGTGGACAAACCTGCTCCCCCATAAAAAAATCTCCTTGCACGGAGAAGCTAGCCTCTAAGATCAAGAGAAGACCCTGCTGGCTCAGGCCAAGCTCTGCGGAGTCTCTCACCAAAGGGCTCTGGGAAGTCCCCAGGTCATGAAGTCCGGCAACTGGGATTCAAAAATCCCAGAGTTCAAATACAGGTCATGGCTGTACCATGGTTATTATGGTGGTGTGTGAACCCAGCCCACTAACGCACCATGGTTTGCTTGCCACAAGCAACCCACAGAGCAGCCAGAACCCGCACCCGCTCATCCTCACCCCTAAGCGAGAGGTGCTGTGTTGTATGAACCCAGCCACTGTCTTCGCACTTGGAGGCTTTTTGTCGCTGTCCCTTTTCATAGCCATTGGTTGAATTCTTCCTCCTGACCTCTCTCGCCCTCTTCAGTGCCACCCAGCACCTTTTGGCAGCTGTTTTCAAAGGTCAGTCACTCCATGTGTGAGGAGAGAATGTTCAGCAGGAAATTTCACCCAAAATGTTTGGACATCTCCCCCACCCCCGTAATGTGCTTTCTAAATGTCCCAGTGAGAGCCTCTGGGTGCCCATTGCCAGGCCTGGGCCCGAGGGGGTCCATCCGGGCAAGGCGGCACTGCTCCCCTTTGCGAGATTTGTACCTTTGGCCCCAGGAGGATGCTGCTGAGCTTCTGCCGGGGAGCTTTGGTCCAGGGGAGCAAGCCAGGGCGTCTCCCTTGAAAGGGGGGGTGAGCATCCCCCTTCACCCAAGCCTCAGCAGCTCAAGAGCTCGGGAGGAACCTCGGGCCATCCCCGTCTTCTCTCCATGCGCCTGAAGCGTCGGCCAAGGCGTTGCCTTCAGAAGGTGTGGCGTGTGGCGGGTGCCCGCGGCCCCCGTTGCCTCCCCTCTGCTGCTCCGGCCTTCTCCCCGTGAGTGTGGCTGGGCCACACTGCAAGCGAGGGTCACCTGGTGGGAGTCTGGGGGCAGATACCACACGCAACATTAACCGGTTCCCTTCTGTAAAACCGATGCGCACATTCAGGCTGTTGCATCCATGCCAGGATGCAGTTTTGGCTTTTTTCAACCTGGCAAGGGATGCAGCAAACGCCATTCCCCTCCCGACCCCCCCTCCGCACACCCACACACCCGGGCCGGGTTTGCATGCCGTTAAGGCCGGGTGGGAGCCTGCCAGAGGCCCCATGAGGCTTCGTCCGGCGGAAGGGCCTCCTGGGCAGCCCCAGGCCAGAAGCCCCCAGCGTCCCTTCCGCTGCAGTGGGGCCAGCCTAGGAGAGGTTCTCCGCTCGTGGTACCTTCAGGATAATGGGCGCTTCTGTGGGGGAAGGGGCACTACTCCCCATGTCAGCTCGGGAGTCGGCCTTGCTGACATCCCCCACCTGCTCTTTTGGCTTTGCTTTTCTGTGGTTTGGGCCAGAGTAGTTGACTTTATCAGTACAATTTGTCTGGAAAAGTTCGTAAGGTTTGTTTGGACTCCCCGCTGAACCTTCAGCTGCATCAGAGGACCCATGGTTTGTATCCGGTGGACTCCTCCTGCTCACACAAACCTTCAGCCACCCGCAAAACTCCGCTGCAACTCTTGTGCAGTGGTCAGATGCAAGACTGCTGCTGCTCGCGCTGGGCTGGCCCCTCCCTCGCCCCACGGCCCCCACGCGCTGCCCTGCAGCTGCCCTGCGCCTGGCGTGGGGCAGCACAGCAGGCTCCGCCGGGCCCAGGGTCGCTTTGCCTTGTGCATGAGCAGAGGCGCTGGAGGAGCCGGGGCCCTGCTAGCAGGACTGGTGCGGCTGCGTGACTTGCACTATGGGTTGTGCAGCGTTTTCAGAGGTAGCTTGTGCAAGCAGAGTTAAAGGTGTGGGTGTGACAGCTGCACAGGGGTGGGAGCCTGTTTCCCCCGAGTGGGAGAAGCGTTGCCCTCAGATGCACCCCAAGAACCGCCACGCCATCGGGAAGCGGGGGCGCTCTCGAGGGACTGCCTGCCCGTTTCTTCCGCGTTCTCCATTCGCTGGGCTTGCTGTTGTGGTCGTGGCATCCAGGAGGCACGGGAAGGAAGCCGAGCTCTTGCCTCGGAGCTCCAGGGAGAGCAGCGGGAGGCCATTGCATTGTTCCGTGTGACTCTGGGAGGCTCGCGAATTTGTCTGTGTCTTTCTGAGCATGGCAGCATGTTCTGACTTGTGAGGGAAACGGAGTTCAGTTTGCTGTACACTGGAAGGATTCCAGAGTTGCGAACCTCACCCGAGTGAGTGGATCCCGGAGGACCAGGCGGCAGCCGGGTCTCTCCCTGGCTCTCGCCTGAGCCAGAGAATGCGGCTCGGTCGTTAGAGTGAGTCTGCAGCAGGCACCCCAGTGAGAGATGGAAACGGGGCTGGAAGGCTTTTGCACACAACTCTTCCAAGCAGCTGTGCGCTCTGAAGGGGGCACTTGTGCTCTGCCTTTGCCTGGTTGTCCAGACCGGACGCCCTCCAGAAGGGGTTGCGTTGCGACAGCCAGCGCAGCCGGGCATCCCGCGGCACATGGGCCCCCTGGGGGCCTTCCGGCCACGGGGAGCAGCGCTGCATTTGCCTTGCGGGCCAGCACGCCGGGCTTGCTTCCACGGCTGCGGCTCCCGCGCCCGAGCCCTGCCTGCGCCTCGCGTTCTCGTGCAGCAGTGCATCCTTGGCAGGGTGGCGGTGGTGGCCGCACTTGAGCATTGTTGTGGCTGCGCCCACATGTGACCCCAAGACAGCGGGAGACTGAGCGTGCTCCGGGGGCCGGGGGGGGGGGTCTGCGCAGGAGTGCTTTCCATCCACGCCCGGGGCATTTTAGTTGGCTCTGCAGTGCCCATGTGGTTCTTGAGACCCAAAGCCAAGTGCCAGGTCGGTTATCCAGGTCCAGCTTAGCCCAGATTCGAACCTCGCCTTTTTCCTGCCCCCTCTGGCAAACCGGTATCCTATCCAGTTTGACTAGGGGGAGATCAGCTGGGCCTGAGACCAGCAGCCACTGTGTCTGGGCAGCAGATTCTGATGGTGGTTGTGGGCCAGTGGTAATTTTGGAGACTGGATTTGCTGAATGAGGAGCAGGCATGGGTTGCATGCAAGAGAGGGAACAGAAGGGTCGCCTGGGAAAGGGGGGTCCCCAAACTCTTAAAAACATGCCCTTTCTTTCTCTCCTTAGAAGGCCAGAAATGCTCACATTCGGACCAGATTGAGAGTTCGGATTCCTACGGAGAGCTCTCTGATACCAGCGACCTCAAGACTCCCGAGAAGCAGAATGCCAACGGCTCTTTCTCCTGCGAGATGGTGGTTGCCAAAAGCAAACTGGAGTCCGAGGGGGACAGGAAGTGCCCCTGCCCCGAGTGTGGCAGCTTTTTCAGATCCAAGTCCTATCTCAACAAACACATGCAGAAAGTCCACGCCCGCTCCCTGGGGGCCCCGCTGGGGGACTTGGGCCCTGCCCTGGGCTCCCCCTTCTCCCCACAACAGAACATGTCCCTCCTGGAATCCTTCGGGTTTCAGATTGTGCAGTCCGCATTTGCCTCGTCACTCGTGGATCCCGAGGTCGACCAGCAGCCGATGGGGCCAGACGGGAAATGAGGCCGGCTGTAGTGTTAACAAAGCAGCAGTCTGGGGGTTTTTTATGTATAACTGCAAGATGGCTGGGAAGGATGTGGGGAGCTAACAGAAATCCAGTTTTGTAGTGGGAAAACGTTTGTTTGAATTCCTTTTAGGTTATTGCCCTTCCCTGTTCTTCTCCCTAAATCTTCCCTGGGCAGAGATTATTTATCAGCTGACACTGCAAGGTGCCTGCACGACAATGAGCGGATGTGCGATTTGGGGGCTGCCAGGCATCTTGCCGGCCTCTCAGTGACCCGGTTTGGAGGCCCACAAAAGAAAGACGTGCCGGAGATGCTGGTCTGGGGATGCGCAGGAACTCTTGATCAAAATGCTATTGCTCTGACAGCGAGCCAGGCACCTGTGTGCCCTTCCTCCTTTCTCTCTGCCTCACAGCCCCATTCTAGGATTCGCATATTCGCATCCTTGTCTGCTCATAAAACACTCCCTGTGGAATTCCGTATGTTGAGGAGTTGCTTTCCTTCAAAAGAAAACACCAGAAAGCAGCATTCTTTAAAAGCAGCATTTCTGGTTAAAGGAATCGCTTGGCGAGCGTCCAGGTGCTGCAGGCGAGGCTGCCACCGCCACAGCCCCTGCCTGGCACCACCAGGCAGAAGCCAGCTTTGGTGCAGGCCAGCTCTCGGCTCTCCTGCTCAAGCCCCTTGCCCATGAGCGGAAGCCCCGGCGCCACGCGGGGCTTGGGCAAGAGAGCGCCTGGCTCCGTCGTGGCCCTCGGCTGACCTTGTGAGTCCCCCAAACCTGCTCTTGGTTTTCTGCCTCTCATGATTATGATCATTATTACTGCATTTATGATTTTAGGACCTGTTGTAGTGATTTGCTACTGAGAAGCCCTTCCGGGCGACTATACAGAGCGCTCTTAAAGCAGCAGTCATGTTAGGGTTAGTGTTGATTTTTCTTTAGATGTATCATAATTAATAACTTGGCTAGTTGATTGTTTTAAGTCTATGGGATAATATAGTTATGCAAAATGGAAGAATGGGGTGGGAGGGAAGGAAAGGAGGGATTCGAAAACAACAGTGCACTCTTGGTTGGTTGATGCATTAAGACCCTTGAAGATTACATTTTTCAATGCAACGCTACATTTTTCTGTACCACCAACCTGTTTAGTGCAAATTATAGAGTTCACAGAATGATTTCAATCAAGAAAATAATAATTGGTTGGACTGCATTAAAGAAGTTAGAATGTTACTTTACACCCACTCTTTTTGTCTGTTTTGTTTTGAGAGGTTGGGTGGGTATGTCGGTGTGATAACAGGGTGACTGCCCTCAGCACGGGTGTGGTGAGTCACAAAATTTTAGACGCTCCTGACCGTGACTGGGAGGTTAGAGACCGCCTTTCCATGGCAGCCGGGCCCCGTTTGCGCTCACTGACCTTTGTGCCAAGCACAGCTAGCTTTGGTCGTGGGTTGCCAGCCAGCTTCAGCCCCTCTTCAAGAGGGAGCGGCGTCAGCACAAGCATCGCTTGCAGGGGTTTGGGAACTGAGACCGTGCGTAGCCGTCCCCTTGAGCTGTGTCCACGGGGCTCGCCCTCGTGGCACCGCAGGGAGCAGGCCTGCGCCGTGCGTGCCGCCTTGTGGGCCCTGGCTTCCCCGGCTTTGGTAGCACCCGCAGATGCAAAGCCCTCCGGACGCGGTGGCCTGCAGCTCCAAGATGAACCGGGGATGATGGCACCACGGTGGGGGGAAGCTTTGTGGGCATCTCTGCTTCCCTGAATTTGGGCTCCCAGTGATGGGCAGAGCTCCCGTGTGCAGCGACGGCCAGGGGCTGCTGGGCCACGGGTGCGGCAGATACCCCCAGTGTGGTGCTGAGATACTGGAAGGAGTCCAGGCCTGGTTGCGGGGCCTCTGCCACAAGTGGGCGGCGGAAGAGGCGGGAGTGGGGTCCACTGTCCGTGGCTCCGTCTGGGGATGAGTCAGGGGGCATCTTGGAGGCAGCAAAGCTTCTTGGTGTATCGAGTCGCCGGCCTACCTCCCTGTGGATCCAAATTAACGAGAACGGCACTAACTGACCAGGTTGGGATTAAGAATTATAGTAATACTTACTATTCACCTGGATGTAATAATACATCTAGGCAAAGCAGATGAAAGAGCATGAAAAAAAAGAAAGCAATTTCAGTATAGCCTAGAAGTGGAACCATTCCAAGCACCCCTCCTGAATTCCTTCCATGCTGGAAGTGCATGGACCATCTAGGATAGTCAGAAGAATGCGAAGTTTCATAGGATGGTACCCGACTTAAGAATTCTGTGATCCGGGCCATGAGGACAGTGGGGAGGACAATCCATCGCTTCGAAGTGGGATGGGGGGAGGCGGCTCGAGCCCCGGGTCTGGGGCTTGGACGGGCCTCCTGGGGCTCTCCAGACTCGCCAGGCCACTCTCAGTGGCCAGTCGCACTTTGGCAGTCAAGCAGGGACACAGAGTGAGAATCCCTTCCCCTGGGTTGCCCCAAGAGGCACATTCAGGCCACACGCCGGGGGCCCCGCAGGCGCTGGAAGCAGAGGGGAGCACCTGGCGACATCGGAGGGCCGCCTGCATGACCCGCGTGGCCGCAGAATGTGCTGGCAGGCTGCTTCCGCGGGGGCCAGCCCACGCCTTCGCCCCACACGGCTGCCTGAAGGAACGGGCAGGGCCCGGGGCGCCACTGTCAGTCCCGGACCGGCGACGGCCAGGCGCTTTGGACGGCGGACCCCAGCGGTCGTGACCTCTGGCCATGCTGGTCGGGGCTGAAAGAAGATAAGATGAGGTGCACAACTCGAGGGAACCGGCCTGTGGGAGCGAGACGCTGAGCTGCAAGTCTGCAGAACGTGCACGACTTGGAGAAGGCTGTTTTGCGGCAGAATTGGCAGGCCAGATGCCTAGAGCAACAAGCTCCTCGGAACCCCTCGTATATTTCTCTGCTAGCCCTCCTCCGCAGCTCACTGAGCGTAACTGTCAGTCTTGCATCGATGCTGCAGAGTTTCCATTAGGTGAGCAACTGAGATTCCTTAACTCTCACCAGAAATCAGTGGGTTATATTTTCCGAGGGTATTTACTTGTTTGTGCTGTTTTTATACTGCCTTCCACGAGAACTACCAAGGCAATGCACTGCAGACAAAAAACAATCATTTAATTAAAACCAACAGCAAACCAAATGCCAGCAATACCCCGAAATGCCTCTCCAGCAGGTCTCAGCACCTCAATGGCTCATAGTGGGCCTGCTCAACCCTTCAGCGTTAGTTGCACCGGTCCTGTGGCTGGTTGCAGCGCCCAAGCCGTGTGGACGCGTCTTCACCAGCCCTTCAATGCCTCCTCCGGACCCTGCCGGGATTCAGCAGGAGACACGCTCTGGGCTGCTTGCGTCAGCAGGTCAAGCCAGGGAAGGAGGGAGGAGCCCGGGAAGCTGAAAGGGGGTGCGCGCCCTTCCACACCGAGTGGCAGTTCTGCACTTGTTGTCGCCGCCCAGGGCCCCTGCCGTCAGAGGCGGCTGTGCGGGGCCGGGGTGGCCAGCCCCGCACACTTGCACCTTGGCGCCGGTGGCTGCCGCCCAGAGCTGACGTCAGCAGAGCCCAGCCTGCCAGGGGCACGGTGCCCTGCGGTCTGGCTGAAAGCTTCCACAGTGGGCAGGCCTTGGTGGGATCTAGAAGCCAAAATAGCTGGAAGGCCACATTCCGCCCAGCACGGCCTCCTACTCCGTGTGCAGAGCATTGTGCCAATGGGCAGCCTTAAACACATCTAGTGAACAAATAAATAAATGCATGTTTTGCCGAGGTACAGAGAATGCGTAACTTTTCTTGCCCTCGCGCTCTGCCTTATTTCCGATCAGGGCCCAGGGTAGCTTCCGTGGCCGCCTCCGCTTGGCTCTGCCCTCACAACAGCAGCTGCTGAGAGGCTGAGAGATTGCGATGGCCAGCGAGCGCCATGGCCAAGCCCCGGGCCTCTGGAGCCGCGTGCCCCACTCACTGGCATGCCGCACCACGCCATGCCACACTGTCCCCCCCAAGGGCTGCATGGCACCACGTCTCTGCGGCTCCGGGGCCCGGGCAGCCGTCTCAGCGGGAGCAGCCCCAGTGCAGACGAGCCCTCTGGGAAAGCCGAGCACGCTGTGCCATGCTGGGGGCTCTGCCCAGGGCAGGGACGGGTGCCTGGCAGCTCTCCGGATGCTTCGGCCAGCAGTGCCCATTCACTGCCGCCAGCGTGGCCAGTGTGAGGAGCCAGGAGCTGCCACATCAGGCCGGAACACCGGGCTGCTTTGCCTGGCTCTGGAGGGACTGTGAGCACAAGCCCCGGCAGGGAACATCGCCTTGCCCTCCGCATACGGAACAAGCGATCGTTTCCAAGTGCTTTGGATCCTCATCATGCTTTGGGTGGGAGGCGCGGGGGTGCTTCTGCTCTAGAAAAGCAGAGCTCAGGGGCAGTGGAATTAATGTGCAAAGTCAATCAAGGTAACGAGGGTTGGCGCTTCCGAAGGAGCCTCTCTCCGCTCTCCCATCACGGGGCACAGGGTCCTAGAACAGCAGAGCTGGAAGGGGCCCGGGGGCCACCAGGTCCAACCAGCTGCTCAGGGGCACTCCAAGCTGAAGCACCCTCAGGTGGCTGCCAGCTGCATCTCCAGTGCCTCCAGGCAGGGGGAGCCCAGCACCCCCAGTCCTAAGATGCATTTGCTGCACAGCTCCAACAGCCAGGACCTGATGTTTAACCTGAGTCCGGCTTCCTGAGCCCCCGCAGCCCATGATGGCCCATCCTGCGCTCTGGGAAGGTGGGGAATGATCCTGGCCTTCCTCGTTCTGACAGCCTTTCAAGTGCTTGTGTAGAGTGCCAGCATCTCTCCACCCAGCCTTCTCTTCTTGAGGCTACACATGCCCATTCTTTCAATCTCTCCTTATAGGGCTTTGCTTCCAGTCTGAGGGTCATCCTTGTTACCCAACTCCGAACCTTTTCCGGCTTGTCTGCACCTTTCTCCAACTGTGGTGCCCAGAGCTGGACGCAGGCCTCCAGGTGAGGCCTGACCAGTGCTGCGACAAGGGGAACTGATACTTCATGGGATTCGGAAGTGATACTGCAATTAATGCAGCCTTAAAGAGCATCTGCCCTTTTTGCAGCCACAACACATGGTTGACTCGCGTTCAGCTTACAGCCTCTCCAAGGCCCTTCCCATCTTGCAACACTGCACTGGGTTTCTCTTTCCTCAGGGTAGAACTTGGCTTTTTTTCCAACTGAATTTCAGCCCAGTGCTCCAACCGGTCAAGATCACCCTGAATCTTGTTTCTGTCCACCAGAGTATTCACTGTCCCATTCCACTACCACCACCCTGGTTTCCTGACAAACCTTCAGCCCACTTTTTGCTAGCTTGTTAATCAGGTTGTTGTGGGACACTTTGTCAAAGTCTTTGCTGAGTCAAGAAAGATTATGTCCAAGCAATCCCACATTCCACCAGGGAGGTTTCCCAATCAAAAAACGAAATTGGATTAGCCTGGCACAATTGAGACGTCCATGATGACTTCTGATAATCACTGGAATGGTTTCCAAGGTGTTTGCAGACCAACTGCTTTATGATCTGTTCCTGAGTTTTCCCAGGGGTTGAGGTCAGATTGACTGGTCTGCAGTTCCCAGGCTCTTCTTCTTTTCCTTTCTTGAATATGGGGACAGCCTTCGCTCTTCTCCAGTCCTCTGGCACTTGACCTCCACGACTTCTCAATGGGAATAAACAATGGCTCTGGAAGTTCTTCCACCAGCTCCTTTATGACTCTATCACGGAGTTAATCTGGCTCTGCAGTTCTGAACATAGTGCCCCACAATATTCTGATAAGCAAATTAGTAAAAAGTGGACTACATAGAGAAACTGTTAGGTGGATCCTAAATTGGCTGCTAAATCAGACTCTTTGTGTGCTCATCAATGGCATGTTCTCAAACTGGAGGGAGGTAACTAGTGGGGTGCCACAGGAGTCAGTCCTGGGCCCAGTGCTCTTCAACAGCTTTATTAATGATTTGGATGAAGAAGTACAAGGAGCGATAATCAAATTTGCAGATGATACAAAACTTGGGTGGAATAGAGAACCTAATGAAGCTCCAAAGCAATCTCGGTAAATTTGAACACTGGGCTGAAAGCAACAGAATGAGATTCAGTGCCAAGTCCTTCACCTAGGAAAAAGAAACCAAATACAGCAATACAAGATGGGGAATACGTGGCTCAACAGAACTAAAAAGGAAAAAGACCTTG